TTGGGTCTCCATCTTCTTTATTTTGCTCCTCCTCCTTTTTCGGTAAGTCACGAGTTAATTCAGGGCTAACATTAACTTTAACATTTTGAATAATTCGTGATTTATCATCATTTACGTTATAACCAACCGTAATCTCTGCTTTTGCGTTTGTGTTCTTTTGACTTGTGAAACGTCTTCTCATTTATAATTGAATAAAAAAAAGAAAAATATATTTAAAGTTTTATTTAGTTGTTACGGTAATATCCCAAGGTTCATCATTGTTTGCTTATACTTTCTTTGTAACTGCACCAATTATGTTATTGATATTGCTTTGAGTTTCTTCCAGTCTTATTTTATCATTTACAATATCTTTAATCATTTCATTACATGCATTCTTAAAACCATCTGATTTTTCTAATTTACGTCTATCACTTTCTTTAATTAAATCAAAGTTATAACCTTGTTGAGAATAAAGTGGTTTCTTTATCAATTCCTTGAACGCTTCTGAAAGTGAAGATGAAGAAATTCTTGCCACTTGAATTGGTTTAAATTCTGCTTTCATTGCTTCTTTCTGTTCATTGAACACTGGATCGAATAAAGCAACTTTAAAGAATTTCTTAGCTGGAATTTCAGGTCTAATATTTGCATATTGACCATCAAACTGATTAAATATCGTGGTAATCCATCCGGTCCCTCTTCAATAGCATTTAATTCTTCATTGAAATAAGAATATGGATTATGACGGTATGAATTAATTGGACCATTTTCACCTTCTCCAATGTATTGTTTAACAGCTTTTCCATTTTCATCAAATTGTATAGGATAACGTTCATTATATGCTTTACGTTTAGGATAATCAGACATAGTTAATTTATAACCATTTATGACTTTAATATTACCTTGACCATCAGTAACGAAAACTTCATTTATACCATCAGGTTTTCCATTTGGACCCGTAATGTCTGCTTCGCGTGCTTCCCAATTTGGTCCATGACGTTTGGCATATGCTTGAGCTTCTGGTAATGTTAAAACGTTTCTCATTTGTTTAACATCCTTTTGAAGACCGGCAACAATGTGGACTAATTCTTTCATTCCGTCTGGAACTTTCATAGTTCTATTATATACACCCTTTTTGTTTGTCCCTTGTTTTAATGGAACCTGTAGAAGATTTGCTATTTCTGTCATGTTTAATTATAAATAAAAAATAAAAATTAATTATAAAAAGTTAATCAAATTTAACACTTCCTTTATTTAAATCAACTATTATTTTTCCATGTTCTCCTAATTGTTGATATTGTGTGTAAAGTTCATTAATGCTCATTGGTAAATTCACTTGATAAAGCATAACGTTCAACTGTTGACGACTAAAACCACTGAAAATGAAAAGGGTGGACAGGTTTGATTTAATGTTTGTGCTTAATGCTTTGAAATATTGAACAGCCATAAAGAATGAACACTGAATGTGTCGACATTGAGTTAATAACTGATTAAAATATGATTTCTCATTAGTTATTAGTTTTGATTTCACGGCATCATCTAGAAAAATTAGTGAATGCAAAAATTCTCTATCAAAATTTGAAATAGAAAGTGTTTCAAATAATTCATCCCGTTGTTTATCAATAATTTTATCCTCTAATCCTTGCTTCTTGATTGTATTATATAATTCTTTATACATTAAAAAGTTTTTTAAATAATCTTCTGCTTCTTCTTGTGATAAATAAATAATTGGAATTTTGATTAAATGCTTTAAAGATTCAAATGTATCATCTGAAGGTGAACCTGAACGGTTGATATAAATTAACACATGTGAATAGGGGGAAGTGTTAGCAATAATGATAATTTGTTTTAATATCGTTAATGTTTTACCTTTATTTTGTTTACCAATTGCTGCAGTGATTGAATTTAAGTAACATTCAGAATATGGAATTTTCATTAATTTTTCCTTAGATAGAGCATTTCTATTATCACTCAATGCTTCATTAATCATATCATCTATGTATGTATTATATACTCCTGCTAATTCTTCATAAGGGGTGGATGAATTTAAATCCATTTAATCAAAAATAAATTTATAATTTTAAACATTTCTATTCATCAATATTTCATCATATGAACTTCTATACTGTGGTGGTGTACCTGTTGGATGATATTTCAAACCTTCGTCCGGTGTCCATGTCCAATATGTTGTCCTAGTAAACCAAACCTGAGGAGGATTTGTCACCTTTGAACAGTAAGTGTCATTTTCACCCTGAATGATTGGATAAGCTTTCACTTGTACTGTAACTTGTGAATTGAAAGTTTCTAATCCATCAAAGAATATACCCGCTCCATCACGTTGAACTGGAATAGTGCATAAGAATGAAGTTTGGTCTTTCCATGTTCTAGCTAATGGTATGCCATTATCATCATTCAGTGGTCTAGTTAATGAGTCCTCGTATTCTTCCGTGCATTCATTCACTCCATCTAAATCAGAAGCTTGAAGCATACGTGTAAAGAATATGTCGCCCACTGTGGTCATCGCTTGATCGGGGAAGTTTCTGGAATCTATAGTGACCTGAAGACCTCGAAGCATTGGATTTTCTAAAACTGTTCTTTGCATTGCATTCTTCGGAAATGTTAACACAACATCTGTAACATTATGAAGAGCGTATGAGAAATCTGAGCTGATACCTTCAGGAGTGATGCAACCTCCATTTAGTGAACGAACGTCAATATGTTGAGCTGGAATCATGAATGGATCTTCCTTACTGAATAAACGTGGTATTGCTTTAACTGATTCTTCAATTAAACCGTATCCTGGTGTAATGCATTTATCCTCTAAAACTTCCATCTTTGTGCATGAAATAATAACGTTATCAACTGTTGCGTCAGCAGATGTAGCGGCTAAGCTTGTAATTAATTTGGCAGGAAGTCCGATTTGTTGGAATTTGCGATCATATTTATAAACATGATTCATAATCTTTTCATAATTTTCATCAGTTATCTTTTCATAAACGTAATTTTGTAAATCAGCAACTCTTAACGGGTCAACCTGACAAAATACTAAAGTATCCCTGAAAACATAATATTTAAGAATGATTTCACCAAATGATTTAGGATAATCATCGAACGCCTGAAATGCTAACAAATCATTTACCGGAATAATCATATCAAAAGTGATATCAACTTCTTCATTTGCTTCTTGAAAACTTCTGAAGGGTCAATATATTTACCACATACTGAGTTATCATATTTTTGAACATTATTATATAACGAATGAACAAACTTTTTAACTTTCCTTTCTGATTTTGGTTTATATGTTGCAAATGCGAAAGATTCACGGGCGCAATCCATCTGAAGATAACCGGCATCACCTCTTTCGGTTTCTACTTCTAATTGTTTAAAGCTTTGATTTGATGATTTGTAACCAACGAATAAACGCATGCATTTAAAAGCGGCATCACATGTGAAAGCTTTATTTGAAACTAGAGTTGCTTTAACTTTGCGTTTAATATATGTGTCACCTAATTGGTTCACATCATGAGCCGGATTTGTAATTCTTAAATGAGTTTGTTTATCATCAAAATATGGAGCATCAGAGTCATAGCATGAACTTTCAAGTTCTCTATAATATCTTCTACCGTCATTCTTTGCGAATATTTCATTTATCTTTTCGAATGAATGAAACACATTTCCATTAATCGGTTTAGTGTTTGGCACCAAATAGTTAGTCGTCATTTATTAATAAATAAAAAATCAAAATTAAAAGATGAAAATGAATTTTTAATTTTAATGAAATAATCAACTATGGCTGCAGGTATATTTAAGAAACTGTGGGATAAAGTAAAAAGAGGAGCGAGTAAAGTTTGGGAAACAATGAAAAAGGAGCAAATTGGATATTTAAGAATAAAGAAGCAATTAGTGACGTTGCTGAATCAATAACACCAAAAGCTGCCCCAATAAGAGAAATATTAAATAAAGGAGAAAAAGTTTATCAAAGACTTCAACCGATACTAAGATAAAAATAATATTTATTTTTCCACTATCTACCTCCTATTTTATTAAGTATTCCTTCAGCAATTCCACCAATTGCGTTACCTGCTTGTGCTCCCATCGCCGGATTACCTGCTTTAGTACCTAATACTCCACCTATGATAGTTCCTGCCGTTTTCGCTACTGGTGCCAAAAAGTTTGCAACGGGTTTAATAATATTTTTATGAACCCAACCCGCAGCTTTCTTAATTCCATCCCATAATTTTTTAAAGAATCCTGCCGCCATTTCTGATTTAATATTAATTAAAAAATATATTTCATCACTTATATTCTAATTTTTATTTAATGATAAATGAAACCGATTTTAAAAATAAATGAAACAGAGGAGGAAGAAATAAATGAAAGTGAAAATGTTCAACAAAAAATAAACGTTGTTAAACCAATTACTGAAATAAAAATTTTTTCATCTGTTGAAGAATTTAATGACTATTATGCTAACAATAAAAAATTATTTGAAGAATTGACAACGTGTAAATTGAATAAAATGTTTAAAGTTGATGGATTCAAAATTTCAAAAATAAAGGGGGTGGTTAGTTTGAAATCTATTCCTCAATCAAGAATCACCTCATTAATGAAAATAGATGATTTAACAAAAAGAATAGAAGAGATTGAAGAAAGAATAAATCAAATAATTGATATCATAAATTCAAATAATCATTAATTTCAATTTCTTTTTCTCGTTTATGAGGTCTTTGATTATGACTTTATTGATTTCATAAATTCAAATAATGTTTAATTAATCGCGGAATATCTGACATCATCTATATATAGCTTCTTTTTTTATTTTATTTCATTATGTTTGGGCTGAGTGTAAATGTCTTACAATTTTGAAAATTTTTTAAATCTTAATTTATTCAAAAACGTGAGAATAAAAACCGTAAGAATCATACATTTTTTACTTCATATGTTAAAAAAAATGATACAAAATCGTTCAATATTGTATGAATTCTTACGTTTACAAAAAAAGTCACACAACCCGTCCACATATACTACTGTTCATTTATATTAAAATCCTTAGTTAGATAACTATCGGTATCATAGAATTGATGGAATTGTGCAGTATCTTGTGTTCCAATTCCATATTCAGTATAATCATAGTTATTAGATAAATCTTTTGATGCTGTCACACGAACAGTTGCAGAATCTTCCGTTATTTCAACCATTTCAAAATCAATTACAAGAGGGGGACTTATTTCATTCTTTACTACTGATATTTGATTGATATTTTGATTATGGACACATTTAATATAAATTTTAAGTGGGGCATCTTCAGTGATTATGGGAGTAGTAAGATAAAATTCGAATGAACTTTCTGAAGAAGTATTAATTAGTTGATAATTGTTGTTATTCGAACAATCTACAAAATTAAACTCGCGTTCAGCATAGCTATCCAATCTTTTTTCTGCGGTACATCTAATGTATATAATATCGCCTTGATATCCTATATTTCCATTATCTTGACAAGAATAATTAATATATTCATTTAAATTCAAATCATATTCAATAATGACATATCTGTCAAATTTGTCAGTAAACTTGAATTGAATTTTAGTCATTTGTTAAATGTTAGCAGTCACATAAAACGCATTATATAAATAACCATAATAATTGATCTCTCTTAATGCAGATTTTGAAATAACATTCTGAAATTCGCTATTACTTGCAGAATCTTTATATTGAGCTTTCATTGATTCGAATTCACAAATATAGTCTAGACGGAATTGAAATTCCATTTTAGAATATTTTTCAACATTGAAGGTGTCATAAGAAGTTTGACGAATTTTAGGTGATGGTACAATCTTTATATCAGATACATCTGAATATTTGATGATAGTGTTTTCATTAGAAGAAATCATTGCAAATGAGAATGACATTTTTTCCTCATTTTGTACAGGAATTGTGACATAAACATTGAATTCGTTTTCATTTCCAATTTCTTCCATGCGCACATCGAGATCATATTGTTCATAATCAGAATCAATATGTGTATCGACTTTTGCTTTATAGTAAACAGGATTTGATTCAATGTTATCAATATTGCATTTGAACATTTGTTCACTATTATCAGGCATCATATCTTGTGTCTTATGGCATGAAATTGAGCTTTCTGTGATTTGTCTTCCTTGTGTGATTGTTACAGGAATTATGAAGAGTGATGATTCTTGTCCAATTGTATCTAATATTTTAACTAATAAATTCTTTTGACCTGGTGCAACATTATTTGGAACAATTAAAACAAACATGTAATCATTTTCAGTGTTGGAAACTTTTACTGGTTTGTAGGTATTGACAATTGTTGGATTTGACATATCAGAAACTCCTGATTCAGCAAATTCAAATTTTAATGATGAATCTTCTATCAAATCTGCCTTTATTATCTTAATAATAAATGTCATTCTAGAGTTTGTTGCAAATTCCTGTGTTGTACCTGATAATGTAATTGATTCAATTTCAGGGGGTTCCAAAATTAAAAAGTCGATTGTTTTATGAGTTATAATGGCATCATTATAAAGTAAGGCAAATGTTGCTTGTGTTGGCAATGTTTCCTCAGTATTGTATGTTATTTTATTTGCTAAATCTATTGAAAAATCATGGTCACTTTCTCTTGAGTCAATTTCAATATATGACGAAATCATAGATTCATATTGGCCAATTTTTCCAACTATTTTCAAGTGAAGATTATCAGCATTGGATATTATAATATTAATGTTTCCTCCTATAGTACCTGATTTTGGCAAGCAGTGATTGACATTGATCTCCATTTTCAAATATGAAAAATGCAAAGAGAAATAATCAGAATCTGATTCCACATTGAAATAGATTCTCAAAATATTCCATGAGTAGTCATCCAAATTTACTTTAATACTGAATGCAAACTTTTTACTTTCACCAGGAATCTCAGTAATATTGCCAATTAATTTATCTCTATCATCCGATACAGATATAAATTCTTTAGGAATTTGATTCTGCAAAGTAATAGTTCCAGTAATGAACTCTTCGGGAAGCAAAAGGTATCTATCATTAGTATCTTTTGGATGATCAATCGTATGACTTTTAATTGCAATTTTTGGAAGAATATCTATCTCGATTTCTGTGTGATTTAAAATTTGAGAACTACTCGTATCAACCAAAATAAAGGTAATACTGTGTTCAATTTCATATAAAGAGTTTGAAATGTAAAATGTATCTCTACCGTAATAGATATTTGTTATATCAATTTGATCTTCATATAAAGATATATCTTCTGAATATCCGCCTATTTTAGACATTATTTTAGCATAAGGAACTGTTGGATAAGCTTCATAACTAATCTCTAATCTCCCAATTGAATCAATGAATGTTTTTTGTTCGTCTTGTTTCTTTACAGAAAACTGGTTGCTATTATTCGATTTCACGATAGATGTGAGTGGAGAATAAGACAATGATGACTTTTTTGTTACTCCCTTTTCATCTATATAAATTAACTGTCCAACTATGTAATAATCTCCTTCTTGAACAGAACTTGGGATGAAAACATTATGTAAATACTCATTTGAGATTTGCAATGAATTTTCTTGAAAAATATCCTCATTTACATTTGTATTTTGAGTAAGTGCAAATCTATAAGATTCTCGTCCTTTTTCATAATAATCATAAGCAAATAGTTTGCCAAAAGAAAATTGATTCCATTGTCCAGAATACCCTGCAAAGGAATATACTGTTATTTGAGGGTTTGAATTAAATTTAACATTGATAAAATCAGAATCATAATTTGGAACTTCTATAATTTGAAATAACGTAAAGGGTTTTATATCCGTAACTGTCACTGTTATAGTGTTTGGACCCGTTACATTGCCGGTATAACCATAATAGTTATCTATATAAAGGCCATTTACGTAGAATTTAATAAGATATGCTTGATCTGTTAAACCGGTACAAGTTAGGGATATTGGCTGATTAAATTCAAGAAGTTTAGTTATCTCATCACATCTTATTGCTTGTTGGGCAAATTTGGCCAAGAAAAGCAATAACATCATCAAAAATACTAATAACTTTTAAAATTGTTTGCAATTCAATTTTGAATAATTTTTAAAATTGTTTGCAGTTCAATTTTGAATTACGACGATAACAACAATAAATTAACGTGTAACAATTTCTAGTCTTAAAAATTACCAAGTAGGAATTGTAAAACTTCTTCAGACGATTTTTTTGCACATTTTTTCCATTATTAAATTGAGAGCCATATTCAATTTTTTTGAATCCCATTTTTAATGAATTTGTAATGCACAAAATAATTTTAAGTGATTAAATTATTTTAAAATCCATCAAGTACTCAATCATATCTCGGAAATTGAGTTTCACTCAATTTCCAACATATGATGGGAATATCTACTCTGAAAATATTTTTAAAATATGAAAGGTATAACAGAAAACAACATTCATATTCTCAAATTAACATATCACAATTTCGCGGCTCGCTTTTATTTACGGTTTTTGAAAATTAAGGAACAAATTAATAACATCCCAATTCCATACTTATTAATACATTTAAAATTTAAATTCATATATCATCACGAGCCGGCATTTGCTAAATTTCTAATTCAACTACTCCTGTAAATATTTCAAAATTGGCAAAATTCAAATTGCTCGGCTCGTAATACCTCAGATGGGAAGCTATCCGTAATCCTAGGATAAATAAAAGGATTGAAAATTTATATGGGACTTTAAGATTTCAAGAATATTCTCTAAAGATCTCAAATTTGAAATTGTCATCTTAAGGATTTACTTACATCCAGATGGCCTTTATACAAGTTTCTAACAGCTTTTGTGAAATATTAAAGATTATCCTTGATAATATGCTTAACTCGATATTTTTTGATTTTGGTATTTTTAATATAAAATTAGAATCAAGAGTTTCATTTTCGAGCAGCAACGACAGAAATGACATTTTTTCATGGAAAAAGTCATTTTTGTAGTAACAGTTCGAAAACTCTGGTTTTGTATTTTGAAATTTCAACTACCAACATAAATAAAGATCTGATGTTCGGAATAATATTTGTTTCGGGAACAAGAGGTGTATTGCTGATTTGAAAGGATGTTCTTGAGTTTTTGTGAAATTATCGAAATAATTTCTCCGGTGATTCTTGAATAACCATATGAATTAGCACCATTTGGGATACTGATTCAGCGCCTTAAGCTCATTTGACATTTAGGTGTCAGAAATGTGAGATTTTATGTAAGGGGGTATACCCAAGTCTACCAGATTTGCCAAATTTTGAGGGGAAAAAACCGAAATTCTCGGAAGCAGATTTTTTATAGGAAAAAACGATCGACTTTTATTTATAATCAACCTTAAACAATACTTGGTATTAATGTGCAAAAAATTACCAATATCAAATAAAATACTTATTGCCCCACTTTTATGACATTTCATATTAAAATTTATTGCATATTCTGAGGAGTCTGATGAGGCACTCTCAGACATTACTGTGGGGGCTGTTATCCTGGCTGCCGTGGATATTGATAATAATATGCATAACCAGGTAGTGCTCCCTGCTGCGGAGGAGGCTGGTAATATCCATAAGGAGCAGGTTGATCAGGCTGTTGTTGACTATTTTGCTGTGGATGGATATAGGACTGTCCAAGTTGTCGCTCTCTCAGTGTTATTCCAAGGGACTTGCAGAGGCAATATCCCTTGGAATGGCACAATTTTCCGCATTCATAACTTGAATGTGGAACTTTGAGCGACAAGAGTGCGAAGGGCGCATCACCGCCGGAGGCCCCAAATTTTTGAGAATTAAATTTTTCTGGTGGTCCCCACTTCCTTCAAAAATGTGGTAAGTGGAGACTTTTTTTCTGAAAGGTCACAATGCATAAATCCTTTTATTATTATTTTTCTGATGATTGAGCAACAATTGAAACCTGGCTACTTGGCCAAATCAATTTTGCATCGATCAGTGAAAAAAGTTACACCCAATAGGGCTTTACAAGCTATGCAGGGCTATTTTAGACTGTTTAGAGAACATTATACAAATCGAGTTCAAGTTAATATAGCAGAAGAATTAACATTGGTAACATCAATTGCAGAAGCATATACAAAGGATGAATGTTATACACTTTTTAATGCAGGAATCGTATTATTCCCTGAAATTATGTTTATAGATTTTCGAAAACTTCAAAAAATAATATGTTTAAAAAAGAGACGACTTATCAAAGCCTTACAAGATTCATCTTTTACAGAAATTGCAGAATTACCAACAAAATTTAAAGAAAGATTATTCGATCTTGGTTTCATAGACTCAATTAGATGGAAAGGATATTCTTTCCAGGAATCATTAGAGTTTTACTACTTAGTTGTTCCACGAAGCGCCTTATTTAATCCTTTACCAGAAGATTTAGGAGATATTCTCTCGAATCTTACTAAAAAGAAATCCTCAATATCAGTTAAATCAATGGAGCCTGCTAAATCTGACTTTGAATCACCAATTCTCTCTCCCAAAGAAATTCCAGAGAAAAATATTGTTGATAATATCTTAGAAGAAATTGAGAAGAGCCATGATCAAGACGTACCAAAGAATGATGATAAACATGAAGAAGAGGAAGAGGAGGAAGAAGATATCGATGATGACGCTATGTTTGGTAGGTTTATGGATGATCAGGTTTTATAACCTCGATATTTTTGCTATAGTTTTTATGTTAGATAGATTTTAATAGAATGTTTTAAAAAATAATTTTGTTTTTTCTCAGATTAGTCATAATAACCAATTGATTTAAACCTTTTCTTTTTTAATGCAATCATAACAATTATAAATTATCCAGCCATTTTAAATTTTTCCACTACTTGAAAAAGTGACAAATTGATGGAAGAAAACAAAATTGATTCACCCGAATTTCGCAAACTAATTCCACTATACAAAGATTATATAAATGTTTGGCGAACCATATATCAGCTTAATACTGTAGAACAAAATGAAATTCTTCAGATTTATAATTCAATTAAATTGCATTTAATTGAAGCACAAAAAATTTCAGTAGAAAATATAATAATTGCCATATCAAATGCGGCACTTTACAATAATCGTTATTTTAGATCTTATTGGGAAATTTTCAAAAAATTATATGAACAATATCATCCAAAATCAATTCCTGGCATATCTCCAATTTTAAATTACTATGCTTATAAAGAATATGAAATAGTTCTAGATCCGAAAAGTAAGAAATTTATATCTGATTTCGAATCAAAAAATTATTCATTAAATGTCCACGAAAAAAACACTATTTACAGAGCAATCATGGACGATAACAAAGAGCTATTGATTGAATTAACAGAAAGAGACGATTTCGATAAAAATCAAAAGTTTTATAATGATTTTTACCCGTATTTAAATGGAGAATATAGTTTACTTGAATTATGTTGTTATTTTGGTGCAATGGATTGTTTTAAACTTTTAATAGCAAAATTTCACCCAGAAATCACCGAAAAATGTCTTCAACTTTCATTTTTGGGCAAAAATATGGAAATTAGAAACGAATGCTTGAAACATAAAAAACCAGACGAGAAATGTATGGAATTTGCAATTTTGTCTCATAAATTTAAATTGGTCGATTATTTGAAGCAAGAACATAATTTAGAAATTGTTCCAGAAGCATGCGTAAAGTATTGCAATCTTGAAGCATTTTTGTTTTATTTAGATTCAACAGATGATGTTGATAATTCCCCATTATATACACAAGTTGATTTACATACAAGAAAAACAGATTACCTCGTAATTCCTCATAAATATTCATTGGCATGGAGATTTTCACCTTTGAAGACATCTCGAAAAATGAATTTATCAAACAATGATAAATCTGAAAAGATTAATGTTAGTTTATCAACAACAAACGAAAAATTTATTGTCTCTCCTAATGAATTATCTATTAAACCGAATTCATCAGAAAAGATCAATATATCTTACAACAATCTACGCAAAGATGAATCTGATAGTTATTTGGTATTAACATACTCTGTTAATGGTCATAACTTTACAAAAAGAAGAAAACTTTTTATTGTCACAACTGACAGAACTTTGGACGACAATCCTAAGGATATAGACTCATTTCAATTTCTTCAGGAAGTATACTCGAAGGTTTTTTCGAATTCTTCATCCTCACTATTTCTTACAGACACAAATTGCTTATTAAGAATATTTACAGACAATCATGACGTTGATTCAAATGGTATTGCAAAGTTATTTTCATTTTCAACAAAAGAAGTAAAAGCTGATGTGTTTAAAGCTTACAAAGGAGAGGCTACAGGAAAGATTTCTCTGACTCAGTTAGATCATTCTAATCAGTTGTTGATTAAAAAGAATATACTTGATAATACTGATAAATATAGATTTGGAAACAGAGAAATTAGAATTTACAACAAAAATTTTGGATTTTTCATAAATACAGTTGTTACTCATGGAATAGAGCAACTAGTTGATCCGGATCGCCCTACAGCCTACATAGAAACATCATTACAACCATTTGCATCATTGGATGATATCATTTCCAGATATGAAAAGAATACTGAATGTCCATTATTTTTGTCAGATTTCTTCAAAATTTTCACTCAAGTATATGTTGCAATTGCTAATCTTCATGATGACAAAGTTATACACAGGGATATCAAACCAAGAAATATCCTTATTACTAGTGATTTGAATGCTGTTTTGTGTGATTTCAGCTTTGGTAGACAAGCTGATGATACATCAATCGAACATTGCATTCCAGGAACAATTCCTTACCAAGCTTATGAGAATTTCCAAAAGAGGTTCAAAGACATGTCTGATGATGTTAAGGAAAAATGTGATTGGCATGCATTTGTTACTTCAATTGTCAAGACTTTGTTAACAAGCGATCCTTATTCACATGTAAGTCTTCCACGTGATCAATTACAAAATCATGTCTGTAATTGTAACCCACCTTACTTGCTTGACAAGATGAGATTCTCGAGAACAGTTTACGAAGAGATATACAAAGGATGGAATAGAACTGACTTTGATCCTCTTCATTTGATCTATTTAATGGCAAATGAAGTAACATATCAGTTTGAACTAATTAAAAACGGCAATGAAGATGAACTGAAAAAATATCTCGATGAAGAATGCAATTCGAGGTGCGACATTAAGACATCGAAAGATTTTAATTCTCAGTTCATATTTTTCAACAAGATTGATTTCATTAAAAATATGCCTTTGGGAAAAAGAGAGATTGTTGAAAAAATTGTTCAAAAGAACATTTTGTTGGAATTCTATTTGAGAGAATTTTATTATTACGAACAAAACAAAAATATCAATCTTGTAGGTGTAGTTTCTGATGTCATGAATAGACAGTTCTTTGATACATGCTATCGAAAAGATTTATTCATGGCAATAGGAGATTCTTTTTATGACATAAAGAAGGCGAAAAAAAAGGTAGATATTGTTTGTAATGCACTAGGAAATAAAAATGCTGCCAGAGTTTATAAATCATCTGCTTTGTATAAACTCGATTCTATTACCACGAAAAATCATTTTGTTCAACAAAAGTATCAGTTAATTGACTCTTTCACGAACTTCTCTGAAAGAAACAAAAATCCAGAAAATATTTACATCAATGAATTAACTTGTGCTGCTTGTTCTATTCATAAGTTACCATTGGAATGCAAGGAACAAAAATACTTCAGTGATATATATCTTTATATAAAGAAAGGTAATATATATCAGGGAGCCAGATTCCATGTAAGAAAGAACTCCGTATCGGTTCAATATTACTCACAAACATCAATTCTTAATACAATATTACAAAACAGACAAAAAGTCGACTTTTTATCCGAAATTGTTTTTGAAAATGGTAGTTTGATATTTAAGGAATATCCTAATAACATAATCTCTTTGGAAAAGGCAGAAGAATATTGTCACAAGGTACGAATCAGAGAATTAATGCCTTACACAATTACAGCTTGTACTGAAAACAAAACGTCTTATTTGTTTAGAGAAAGAGATATTATTCCTTCTGTCGCATTTTTTGAATCTGATGCTAAATTCGTTACCATTAAATGCAATGGAAAAGATGTATGCAAATTGGATTGTGACGAATCTCTTATAAAGTTCGAAATGAACTGGGATGGAACATTGTCTGCTTGTTTGCCTGATAGCCACAAAAAAATATATTAAATTATAAAGTTCTAATTTTCAATATAAATTACCTTTTTTATGAAGATTAATTATTTACATTAGTCATTTTGGGCACATTATAATAAAAAATTTCTGATAAACTTGAAATCATGTTCTTCGTGCGTAAACCAATTGAGATATAGACGCTAAGAATATGATTTCAAGATGAGGTACACCTAAAATTTTCTATAAATTTGTGGATTCTAAAATTTGGATTTTTACTAAATTCGATTTTGAGTCGATGTTTCTTTGTTGATTAATTTTTTTTTCCAAAGATATAGTTAGCATTAATTTAAAATATCATTAATTTAAAATATATTCTCTAGATGTACGAGATAATATATACTGCTCCCTGATCCACAAAATGTCAGGGATGTAAGTTTACCCGAATAGGGCAATATTCCTTATGAAGTCTCTCATTGAATGAGAGACTTCGGAAGAACTTTGCTCTAAGGTAATGTAATTGTGGTATCTGGATATTTGCAGGTCAGGGAATGTAAATTTACTCGAATAGAGCAAAGTTCTTCCGAGGTCTCTCATTTGATGAGAGACCTCGGAAGAACTTTGTCCTAAGGTAATGTGGTTATGATGCCTGGATCGTAAAGAACGAGAGATTTTGTCTTGAATTCGTTTATGCCGAAGTTTTCGGGATTTCTGTCAAATGAGGAAGTAAATCCAGAAAACTTCGGCATAATTCAATGCTGTTGTGGTTTTCTGGCTCTTTGCCTGGCAGAGAATCTGTATCAATGTATATAATCATAATTTATGAATCTTAAGTTATAAGGTTAATTTACAATTTAATAGTCTGTAAATAAGGTTAATTCGTTATTTTTAAAGAATGCACATCATTTTGATTATATAAAATTGATTGTAATTGATTATTAAATTCTCCAATTCGAGAAACATTTTAATTGAATTTTGTGGAATATTAATATTGCCTGTTCAGTAGATATCGACCATATTAAATATGAAAAATTCATAATAAAACTCTCACAAAAAATTGAATAAAAATATCGGAAAGTTGAAATAAATGAGTCAAAAAATTTGACTTCAATGGTGATAAGTTACACATTTTGTTTTTTTAACAGCATTATGACATTGGGTTTGTTTGAAAAGGTCGAACATATCCTAGGTTATCAAGAAAGAGAGAAATATTTTCATTTCTCAGCAACATCATATGATATCTGGAATAAATTCTATAATACTGCTACTGTTGATACCTTTGTAAACAAAAGTAGAGAGGTTATTGAAAATAATAATGTCTTTGTCGATTATGTCTGTTTCCAAAATTTTGATTCAGGAGTTATTCGAATCTCTTCAATTAATGATTCAAAAGTTCTTATATCAACTTCCTCTTTTTATAAATGCTCTTCAGCAAATAATGGAGGTTGTATAAGTTGTTCAAATTCAGGATCTTGTGTTCAATACAAAGTTTCGGATTATAAATCAAAAATTCAAAGTGATTATGGATCTCATTCATATATTACAATGACAGATAGATATCTCAGCAAGAATTTTGTAATTGAATCATCATTCGATCAAAATAAGGGACGGATTTCGGTTTTATATAACAAATATGTATTTATTCTATTTTCATCAATAAATATTTCAAATTCAAATCTAAACTATAATGCAGCATTTATCAGTGTAGAACCATATAAGCTTTCAGCAAATTTCAGTAATTTCATCAAAATTTCATCAATTGCACAATGCGTTTTTTGGCATGGGTATGGTACACAAAGTTTCAGCTCAAGTAATGTTATTGATAATAAAGTTACCGAAAATGGCAGAATTTTCGCTAATAACCAAGCATCACTTACAGTAAATCAATGTTTCTTCAAAGGAAGCAGTGCTGCTACATTATTTTTAATTGCTTATAGAATAACATCAGGTACTACAAATGAATGTCATTTTGGATCAGACAATACATTCCAATTGAATGGAAATATTCAGAAATCACAGGAAATGACAGAAATCATACTATCAAATTTATTTCCTACTTTTTTATGCATAATTCCAACAAAATTAATTACAACTCCCCCTGCAAAATGTTGCACCGTCGTCCCTAATTTGCACAGGCGGCATTAGACTTCAATTGATCCTTTCTGCAGACTTCTGCTCTGTTTAACACTCTTATGTGTTTCAGGGTTTCTTTGCATAGATATATATTTGCGCGAAAATGAATTCAAGTTTTTAATGCATCTAAAATCTAAAAACCTTTTTTTGGTCTCAAATAAGATTTTTTTTATAAAACAAAAAAATGATCATTTGATAAAGATCTTGCAGAACACCTGGATCACTTTAAAGAAATAACAGAGACGCAAAGATCATTTGATAAAGATCTTGTAATCAACACACTTGAAGAAATGAAGATATTGCTGACAAAAAGTCACTGCTTATCCAATGAAGCCACAAAGCTTGCAAAATATGATCGCTTGATATTCCGCGAAATACTCGAATTGGGCGCTACATTAGCCTTAAGAGCGAAAAATGATGTAGAAGTGAGAAATGTTTACCAACAATTACGTTTCTTGTATTTTGAGAACGAAGATCTACCAATTTCTCAAAGGATGCTTTCAATTATTACAATCAATCTTCTTTCATGCTACTGCCAAGGTCTAATTGTTGATTTTCAAACTGATCTAGCGCAAGTAATGAATAAATACGACAAAAACATGTACATTCAATTTATACTTGATGTAGAACAGGCAATAACAGATAGCAAGTTGAGTTGAGTTTAATAACAGAGTTCTGCTCCTTTCATGGAAAGATTAGTTGATCATGTAAGAGTTCAACTTACCAAGAACATTTGTTCTCAATGCAGGATTGATCTTAAGGGATTTGTTTCGATTTTGCACATGAAAGACTCAGAAGAATGCGAAAAATTCTTAACCCAGCACGGTTGGACCAATTTTCAGGAGTATGTAGTTGTTCCTTTAGAAAATCACTCTACTCCAATTTCTCCTTCTGTAAGGAAATTGGATGTCGTTATTAATTCAGCGATGCGCTTTAATTCATTGCTTTAGTCACTACGCATCTTATTATTTGTATAAATATTTAGATATAATCATTAGATTTTCAATGTTTCAAATTATTTCAAAAAATATTCATGAATTTTTAGATTTCGTTGGAAAAATTGAGACATTAGGAGTATCCAAAACAAATAGTTATCATTTTCATTAAATTTTGCTGAAATGTAAGACCTATTTCTTTATATTTAAACACATTATCACAAACTCGACCACTAATCCTATCTCTTCTATGAGGTTATTTCAATTTACAGGAGAGTGCAGGTTTTGGAGACTTAAACTCTGACATTATTATTATGTTAAACAAAGAATCTGAGTATTCACATTTTTTTACTACTGAATAATGAAAGTCCAGAAAGAATTTTCAATTCAATGAGATACAATTGTATACACTCAATTTTTTACTTTTCCAACTCAAAATGGAGAAGATTTTTAAAATTCTAGAACTATTTGAAATCCAATAGAGACATACAATAATATGGAAGCATAGAATATCCAAGAAGCTTTATAGTGGTAATACTGCATGTATCACTCTCTATCTGGAGTGGATTTTGGTAAGAAATTGTGCCATTTTGCAGAAGCCTAGTTGGAATTGATATTCTTCCTTTATTTAGGTACCAAAACATGCTTGTAAAATCTCTTTTTTAGACGACAACGATAATTTTGTCACTTTTCCAGACGACAATAAAACATCCTCAAAAAAAAGTCAAATTTTATAAAAAAGCATAAAAAACAAGAATTTTTAATTATTAGACAAAACCTTAGTTACATACACAGGATAACCAACAGGTGGATTTATACTCTGATTTGTAATATTCCTCAATCTATTTAAGTCCAAAGTGATTGAAAGTCTCTCTTCACTTGCAGAAGCACCGAAAATCAGTTCTCTTATTAATCCAGACCAAAATCCTCTGACAACTCCGGTGTTCATCTGGAAAACAAACCAATCTTGAACAGATTTTCCGTATCTGATCAATGTTCTCCCTTCATTCGTCGTTCTGAGGAAAATAATTGGTGTTCCTCGCTTCGTTATCTCTTGTAGTTTCTTATTCGATGAAACAGGAACTGCTTCTGTGTCAAGTGAACTGTCAATGAAGTCAAAAATGTCATCAAGGATTTGCTGCTTTTCTTCTTCGGTTTCTGCGGTATTTGGATCGAGAATGTCTGGAGCAATACCAACAGAATCCATGAGAAGAAGTAAAATGTAGTTTCGAGTGGCTTTTCCGATGTTTTTCTTGTCATCATTGAAATTATCATCGAAAATTGTCTCGTTTATGTTTGCAACGGAATATTTGAGATCTTCATATACATTGTGTACTATTGTTTTGTCAATTTGAGTATTATATTTCATGGAAAATTGATTTATCATTTCTATTTCTTCTTCTGTGAATTGTGACTCTGTTTGTTTGGGTATTTGCACTAATGGGATGGAGTTATCGCTAGTTTCTTCAATTTGCTCGGAATTGTTTTGAGATTTTTCTAAATTTTCTTGGATTACAGCGAGAATTGAAGAAAAGAACTGATATCTCAGCTTTTTCTCATCACTGCATCCTGCATTTACATTCTCAAGCGAAATTGATGACAAAGAGAAGTTATTGAGGGAAAATTTCTTTGATTTCAGTTCATAAGCGCTAAATCTATACATATATGACTGCAGGAAGTTTCCAAATGGCTGATGGTCAGCAACTAATCTGTTCAAATGTGCTATTTCATTATGATGGCAGCTTGTTGTTTGTTTAAACTCCATACAACGCAAATCAAACCTAATATCATGGATAGACAGTGATATCACATGCACTATGCCAAGTAAATCATTAGAAGTGAACAAATAGAAGCTGTCTGGAAGGACAAATCCGAGCTGACCATTTTTCAACCTATCGTTCAAAACATTTTCCAACTCACTACCGAGAGAAATATAAGCAGGGAGTTCTATTCTCTGGTTAGTCTCATTGGTATGGAACTCCTCGTCATTTGACATCGAAATCGATTCAAGAAAACAATAAGGTCGTGGAGCTGAAAAAGTAAATAACTTACTGGCGCCAAATATCAAAGATTGGGCTTCACCCGTAAACATAGAATACACTAACGAGATCGTTGTGAAGAAACTCGTTGGATTAATATAATATGTGCAAAATAAATTGAAAAGTCCATATAAAAGACTTTCAAGTAAACCCTCTTGTGGGTTTATCCAGATCCATTGGCTGTTAATTGTCATAGCAGAAACTACCCTTATCACTGATAAAATCTTCAATGCAATAAATGCAGCGAGAATCGACCCAACAGAGGTGTTCTTCGCCGAAAATTTGTAGTATACAGTGAAGCAGGCAATGACAATAGCGAAACTACCCAGTTGCGGTGAAGTCATCGCAATTCTATAGAGTAAAAGTGCCAAAAGAGGGGCGTATATAGTATTTTCGTCTTTTATAGAGTATGAAATAAACATTCCTACTAAGAATGATCGAAGAACTGACTCAATTTTCCAGAAAATGTCAGGAAAAACGATACTTTCGCAGTGGAAGAAAATATATTGATTAAAAGATTGTAAATATGGTAATATCATGCAAGTTACGATTAATATTCCCGGTATGAAAAATCTATAAGCGTTTGTAACGAGAAGAATAGGGAATATTGAGCCAATAGCTGCAAATACTACGAATAGGCCAGATAATATAAGTTTTTTGATGCTAAATTTGGAGAATAACATAGAATCCAAATTTGCAAAAATTGACATAATTGATACAAGAATTGTAGGAAGGAATTTGACATGTAACTTCGTAGAGATTACATATCCGATGGCAATAATGGCTGTATTGATAAGTAATTCGAGTAATGATCTCCATGTCGAAGTAGAACCGAGAATACCAAATAAATATAAGTTAACTGTCTCAAATATGTAATGTATTGTAAGTATTGTGTGTCCAATTGCTCCTACAACAATTAGTATTGGAATTAAAATTATTAAAATTCGCATTAAAGGTAAATCGTATTTGAAATACACCAAAATGCAATTAATACCAGAAAAAATTGATATAAAAAGACATCTGGTGTACTTATATGTTGAATCTGTCATGAGCATACCATATGGCTCAACAGTAGGCTGTTGGATGAGTGAAAATAGCGAAAAGCCAAGTATTACACCCATACCAATACAGTAGTAGTCGGTTTTAAACGTTCCTATCGCAAATATCGTAAGAGCTGCAACAAAATAACAAATAAAGATTTCGAAAATGTTGGTGGGGCGATCCATTATGCGTGAAAATTCTTCTCTTCCGCGTTTGAGATTGAATTCTTTGCCGCAAAAGTGAATTGTATGTCGAATATTCGGATTTTTACGTCTTTGTGCTAATTTTGTAGTACTGTTGATGGTTCCATTTGATGCTAATGCTATTAATGCGTACACTTCGTCTGGATTGAAGCCGGATGTGATCAAAATGAAAGCAGCTTCATCTAAATTGTGTAAATTGTTCCAAATGACTTGTCGCTTTTCCCATAGTTGAAGAGAAATGCCTTTCGGTAGTTGAAATCCTTCTGTTTCAACTTCTTGTACATCATCACCTTCTATATTATAAGTTGTAGCGTTATCATATAGTTTATTAATTATGTATGAAAATAGTTTCAGTAGAAGGATGATTAATGCGAATGTTGTACTAAAAATGAGTTTTGGTTTCCAATTATCGAAATAAAATACGAAATTTGAGAAAAAAAGTACGACAAGAATACATGTCTTCCATTTATTCCCAAAAGCATCTGTTTTAGCGAAGTGGAAACCACCTGTGATAGTATTAAGTTGGTTTCTCCTCGCTAAACTCATTTTTTAGTGAAAATTTTCAAGATAAAATTTACATCCAAATTGGAATAATTATACTAGAGGCTGTTTGATAATTCAACTTTTCAAGACGAAAAACTTTCATAGCCAGAATCGACATTCTTCACAAAAATCGTTCCGATTACGACGATAGCGGTGTAGATTCATAAAAGTTGCTGGATAGTCGTATTCTTTTATCCTTGGTATTTCAATATATTGATGATATGCATTATTTTGTTATCCTCTATAAGAGCTTGACTTTATACAAGTCCACTCTTTATATTAAATGAATTGGTTGGACAATGTCTTCGATATTTTTTTAAGAGAACTGAATTCATATATCTTAGAAAATTTGTTTGGGATATAAGTGTGAATTCAAGCATGAAATCATTCCCATTAAGATATATTTTGTAAAAAATTATGGAAAATAAAGTATATCATATATAAAATAACAACATATTTACAAACAAACAAATAATATATTATGATTACATTATTGGAAGAACTTTGCAATGAATTGGTAAATTTTGTTCGGGGGTTCTTCGCCATAGTTATCAGAAACAGCATCCTTATATTCACGTAGCTTGGTAGTTGCATAAACAGGAAATTCTGGTATTTTACGAAGCTCTTCTTTGAGATATGATTTCGATCTTGCCATTTCTATTGTTTTTAATAGAAGTTCATTGAATGAAGCTGCTAAAATTCGATTCTTCTGAACAGAAGAGATCCTAATGAAAACAGGAACATAGTTATTAACTAAATATATTGAAAATTTTTTGAAATTAAGCATTATCTCATAAAACTTGCGAAAATGGTAATGCATGTTCGTGCAGCTCCGGAATTTCAATACTCCTTTCATTATTTTCTCTAAAAATAATTCAGGATTTTCAATCAAACTCAAAACTAATTGAGGAAACGTCATTAAGTTCTGGTTGAAAAAGCTGAACGCATAAGCAAAGAAAGAATGAAATCTGTCTGATAAATAAATTGATTGAATTATTTCAATTGATTTTTCAATAATTGGAATGGCATTTTGTATCATATTAGGCTTATAAGTTGAACAGATTGCGTACCACTTATAGTTCTTAATGTAATTCGGTAAAATATCTGGTTGTCGAAAAATTACGTCTAAAAACTTCTCATGACGGTAAATTTGGCCTAAAGTAGCACTCCTTGCCATTTTAGTTATTAATTGGTAAAAAGCGTATCTTTTGGAATCAACCGGTCCGAATAAAAAGGGATGATTTGAATCTGATGGAGAATTTACTAATTCTCCTAGTTCTTGGTATATTTTCTTATGTAAGTTTTCTTTGTGAAGGTATATCAGAGAATCTGTGTTTGTTTTTTCTGCAGAAATTAAAGAATCAAGGAGATTCAGAACTACTGGCTTTTCTGCGTTCTGAACCAGTGCGTCAATGATTTTGTAGTTTGTTGGAAGAAATCTAACGGATTTAAAGAAAAATTGAGCAATTATCCTTAAAAGTCTAATAAGAATTGATTCTGATACTGTATTATTGATTATCATACTATAAATATTGTCATTAAATCTTTCATCTTTGCAGAAAACGCGTAATATCTTTGAATCTGCAGCTATAAGCGTTTTAAAAATGACTGTTGACGTTTCAGAAGGAGGATTTTCACATATGCATGTTAATATATCAAGGGTGCGCGCTTTCAAGCTGTTTGTTAGAAAAAAACATAAACTAATTAATCAAATTTTGATCAGCTAACTTTAAAGCTGCCTGAAAGTATTGTGACATAAAAATATTTTCAAGTGGCGTCTGAGTGTTCTTTAATTCTTCTACGAATTCGGCACTCAGTGCGGTGGTCATCAATGAAAAATCTCGTCACTTATGAAAATAGACTTTCATATATGATGAACTATCCTCTTTTACAATATATAAGGTATGACAATCTTGCAAACAGAAAAATATGCAACTTTCCAAGATTTTCATATTCAAAACTTATCCAATCATCATCAAAGACGAAATTTATGTGCAGATATAGACTTTAGATCATAAAATTACCAAATTTCGAATAATTGTTTTGAGGCGGGAAAGAGGAAGTAAATTTGAATAGTGATCACAATTTTTGGCGCGCAAATTTTAGAAATTAAAAATGGGAAAACTGAAGCTAGCTCGCATTGAGCTTGAGAACTTCAAGTCTTTCCGAGGACCTCATACAATCGGCCCCTTCCTTCCTTTTTCAGGTATTGTTGGTCCAAACGGTGCTGGCAAAAGTAACGTATTAGATTCTTTGGCTTTTTCACTATTTTTGGATCCAAATCCACGTAGTACCAACTATATTTACAAAGATCCGACAGATACAAGCGCCAAATTCTGCTTTGTCCGTACAGTATTTACAGAAGGCAAAAAAGAGATCAGCTTTGAGCGCAGACTTGATGAGAAGGAGACATATTTTGTAAATGGTGAGGAAAAGGACCCAGAAGAGTACGTTAAAATCATTCGCGACTACAAGATTACCCCACTTTGTTTCATAAAGCAACAAGAGATCGATGCCATCGCTCGTAAGACACCACAAGAACTTACAGCTCTCTTCGAACAGTACAGTGGAAGCTGCGACTGCATTGAAGATTACGAAGAAAACAGAATTGGTTTCGAATCAGCCCAAGAAGCTGTAGCTCTTCTTGAAAAGCGTCGTCGTACAGCTGCTGCTGAAAAGCATCACATCTCAGAGCGTCAGCGTGAAGCAGACAAATACAACACTTTGGCCAGTGATGAAAAGAAGATTCAGCTTGAAATGTCTCTTTTCCAGCTCTACCATCTCAACAAGAAGATTGAGCACGGAAAGGCTGAATGCGAAGAACTCGAAGAGAACAGAAACAATTTATTACCAAAGATCGAAGAAAACCAAACATCTCGTAAAGATCTTCAAGTACAAAGCAACGAGTTGGTTGATAAGCTCGCTACAGTCGACAACAGTCTCCAGAACTCAGAACAAGACTTGAGAAACATCAGAGCTGAATTAACACGTGAAGAAGAGAGAAAGGCTCACTATGAACGCTCAATTGAAGACACAAACATGAAGATTGAATCGAACCAGAATGCCAGCAACCTTTGGAAGAAGAGACTCGAAGATTATGAGAAAGAATCTCAAGATATCGAAAAGGAAATTGCTGAACTCCCAGATCCAGGTGATCTCCGTGAAGATATCAAGAAGTACAACTCCATCCGCGCTCAAGCTAACAAGCAATACTCAGATCTTGCAAATTCTTTATCTGATGCCACAAAAGAACGCGACCTAATTCAGAATGAAGTCGACCAGATGCAGAAAGATAGAGAAACACAAGAGGAATCACTCACAAGAACAAGAGATACCCTTTCTAAGATCGAAGAAGACACAAAGAAGAACAACTCACTCCGCCAGACAGTTGTTACACGTAAAAACGAGTTAGACAGCCAACTCAAGATGATGAGAGTTTCAGATACAAACGACAAAGATAATCAGAAGAAATTAACTGAAAAACTCTCAGAAATCGAGAAGAAATACGATGATTTACGTCGTGCTCAAGGCACTGCCAAGCATAAAGAGCGTTTCCTCAAGGCAATTACAGCTTTGCAACGTTTAATTCCTGGAGTTTACGGAACTCTCGGCCAATTATGCAAACCAGCGAAGTCTACATACGAAAAAGCCTTCTTAAATGGTCTTGCTGATTGGATTGACGCATTAGTTGTCAAAGACAGACAAGTTGGTCAGAGATGCTTGGAGTATTTCAAGGAACAAGGTGCAGGAAAACTTCTTGTCATTCCTTTGAAAGGTTTACCAACACCACAAAGGAAGAATTTAACAGGAATCACTTATTTGGCCAAAATCATCACTGTTTCTAACGCTGAATACCAGCCAGCAGTTGATTACGCTTGTGGAAACATTGTTCTTGCAAAAGACTTCGACCAAGCTCAGGATTACGCTTTCAATCGTGGTTTGAACTGTGTAACAGCTGAAGGAACAACCTTTGATAAGAATGGTATCATTACAACAGGAAGTTCAAGAGAAAACACAACATTTGCAATTTCAAGTATTCAAGATCTTGAGAAACAGAAGACAAAGATCGAAAGAGAACTCCAAGAAACATCAGAAAGAATCGAAATCAGAAGAAACGAGTTCAACAGACTTGAAGAAGAATTAGGAACAGTAATGTTACAAATCGAAGGCTTCAACAGAAAACTCAGTGAATTGAGTGAAAACAAGAAACTTTATGATTCAAATCTTAGAACAATCCAAAGAGGAATCAAAGAATTGAACCAATCAACAGAAGAAAAGAAGAAATCTCTTGAAACAGCACAAGCCAAATACGAAGAACTCGCAAAGAAACAAGCTGCTTTAGACAAGAAATTGTTCGCCGACATTGTTCTGAAGACTGGACAATCAATTCAGGAAATTGAGTCAACATATCACAGAAGAACTATGTTAGAAAACAGATTGGAATATATCAAATCAGTAATTCCTAATGAGCAAAACGATGATCCACAAAAGGTCATTGACGAACTCAACCAGAGATTGCAAGAATACAAGGAATCAAATGAACAATCACAGAAGAACATCGATGAATTAAAACAGCGCGAAGAAGAATCAAAGAAGAAAGTCAACAAATACAAAGATGAGTTGACACAATTACACGAAGAAGATGAAAGAATGAGAGAAGAACTCAAAGAACTCAACAGAACAATCAGATCTCAACAAGAAGATCTTGAAGGAATCAATAACTCATTCAATGAATACGATCACGATGTCAGAACTGCAACACAGCAATTATCAATGGTTTTCCAGAGATGCTTGCTCGATAACGTCGAATTACCACATAACGGTGATTACAGGAAAGAAATCACAAGCACATTGTCAACAGATTCACAAGCAGTTGAAGATCTTGAACAGGTAAAGACCATTGATTTCAAGAGTTTGTCAAGTGCAAGTAAATCTGTCAAATGGGAGAAATTCAATGAAACTGTTGATCGCTATGAAAAAGACCTGGCAAAAGTCAGAGCAGAGATTTCTCAGATCCATCCTGACTTGAGAAGTGAAGATAAGGCTAAAGGTGTTGAAGAGGAACTCGAGAAGATGAAGAACGAGTCAGATCAAATGGCCAAAGAAGCTAAAGACAAGAAGAAGAAATTCAATGAAATGAGAGAAGAAAGAAGAACTAAATTCATGGAATTATATGATGCTTTGGATGAAACAATTAATCCTATTTACCAGATGTTCACGAGAAGAGGATCTCACAATGAACACTCAGGTGTTGCATATTTAGCCATGGAAGATACCGATGAGCCATATTTGGGAGGCATCAAATATACAGCAATGCCACCACACAAGAGATTTAGAGATCTCGAACAATTGAGTGGTGGTGAGAAGGCTGTTGCTTCTCTCGCTTTAGTTGTCGCTTTACAGAAATTCTTAGATGCTCCTTTCATAATTCTCGATGAACCTGATGCATCACTCGATAAGATTAACTTGAAGGCGGCTGCTATGGCATTAAGAGAACTGTCCGAGGAAGAGGATGGTTCCCAAATTATCTGTGTCTCCCTTCGCGATAGATTCTTTGAATTCGCTGACTCGCTTGCAGGCGTATTCAAAGAAATACAGACAACGTCTTCTGGTGTTCTCACAATCAACTTGACACAATTCAGAGAACAATCTTTGAAGATGGACGAAATATAAAATTAAAAATAAATAATATTTTATTTTTATATAAAAAACATTTCTTTTTCAATGTTCTAATGTATCGAAACAAAACAAAAAATTGTTGATTTTTCTCCAACGGTAAATTTATATGATTTTTATCATATTTTATACAATAAATGTTTAAACATTATACTTTGAGATAAGTTCTTTATGTATTTTAAGATAATTTTTGATAATTTGGATAAAAGAGCCTTATATTTTCATAAATCTAGTAACACTATATAAAGTATGAAAGGGTAAGTTATATTTCAACTTATATCTAGATAAAAATAATGAATGATTATAAGCGATTTGTTGAACAAGGAAATACGTTTTGCTATCAACGAGAATATAGCAAAGCTATAGCTGCATATACATCTGCAATTCAATTAAATCCACATCCTTCTGCTCTTGCTATTATCTATGAAAATAGAGCATATTGTTACATTAAACTTGAAATGCTTCATAAAGCAAAAGCAGATATGCTTGCTGCTCAAGATATGAATGCGGCTAATTTTATTACACCTACTACTCAAGTTTCAGAAATTTATGAAGATTCATTTTTCCACAAGACATATGTACCACCAAAAATACAAAATGCTTTCATGCATCTACAACACTTAGCATCTCTTCATTATTTAACTACAAATTCAGAAAAAATTGACGAAAGTGATGAAAATAAGAAAAATATCTTAACAATCCGAGGTGATGCATTTGCAGAAAGTCAGCAGTACAAGGAAGCCGTTTTAGATTATACAAATGCGCGTAAATATAACGATGATCCAAATTTTTTAGCTTCATTAGCTTATTTTGCAGTTCTTTCAAATCAAACAGAATTAGCGCAAGAAACAATTAAACAGTGCAAGGAAAAGAATGTTCAATGTCATCTTGCTGAAGGAGTTTTAGATTTAATAAATTTCAAATATAAATCGGCATACGAACACTTTGATCAGCTTGATGGAGTTAATGACGCGTATAAATACAAAACTTACATACATTATGCATTCGGAAACGTAAGCAAAGCGTATTCTTGTTCAAGAAACTGTTTTTCTCAAGACGGAATCTTTGTTTACACACAACATTGTTTAAGAATTATTACATCTAACGATTTACCGTCCTATTTTAATGGAAAAAACGGAAGTTATACATTGGCCAATTTTTTGATTGCCGGAATTTACAAATCCTTAGCATCCCCGATCGAGGAAGTCCCCGTAGATTTATATATACCCCATGATGTCCTTATGAATCCCAATACCTTCGCAGATCTTTCACTTCCTGAAGCGAAATTCCCAGATAACTTCGTAGATAGTGCCACAGAACAGTCAGAAGTAGATTTATTGATAAGAATAGCAGCAAAGATTCATATCTCAGCCGCTCCAGGTAAAAGAGAACGAGTTTGTTGTGGATTAGCTCTAATTCAAGTTGTTCAAATGTTATTATCCCAAAAAGTAACATTAGCAACATGTGTTGCACAGATATGTCATTGGCTGAGGCTCAGTGATCCAACATCTTTCCTTGATTACAGGAAAAACGAACCATTAAAGATATTTTTACACAATGGTTCATTTGACACTGTTTTAGATTGTTATTCCAGTTCTGTGTTCAATTTCCTAAAGAACAGGCTTCAGAAGCCATTTGGAAGCACTCTTCCTCTACGTCAAGGCCAGAAAGACCTCGGAACAGCCATGGAAAGCGCAGAGTGTCCTGATGATTTAAGTGATATTTTCAAAAACCAAATTGATATTTCTGTTTCTGAGACTGTTTCGATCTTTTATTCGAGGGATATATATGGATATAACTTCGGACTAAGTGTGCAACCTCCTTCTCCTTCAATGATGATGAATCTTGATGTGATTTGGTGTGGTTTATTATCAATGATTTCGTCAAGAAATGTTTCGAAAGAATCAACAGCAAAATTCGTTGAAAAAGCAACAGAATTTCTGTTTTCTTGGATGTTTTCAAGCCCTCTGATGACAATGAATGATGTTGTTGGTGCTATCCTGTTTAGAGCTTTGATGTGGGCATTCTTTGGTGCAGATGTTATCAAAGAAACTCCAGAACCAATTGTGATGCACGTTGACGCTGTTTTGACAAATTTCGCACCTTTGTATCAGATGTACATGTTGCCTCATATAAAGATTTCTAGCGAGGGACAGACAGTTGATAGGCTTCCTTCTGTGCTGCAGGCGTTTCCAAGCTACGTTCATAGAATTAGATCTCTTTTAAACATAGGAAGTGAAGAGATTCCTGAGACCTTTGATTTCAGGAAGGCAATTCAACCTGTTTATTGCACAGGACCACTTGGATCAGCAATGGATATATAGATTAACTATAAAATTTTTTGTTTTGTAATAATATTGATAAAGTTTATATTTTTGTTTTTTAGAAATTTGTTATATTTGACTGCTACTTATATATTATTATCACATATAAAATTATAATGCTAAATTGTTTTCTGTTTTTCTATTGCTTTTACTTTATAATGTTATTGCTAAAGTTATGATAAAGCATAGGGCTTATCATATAATTCACATTCACAAAAAAAAATATGAAAAAAAAAGTTATGTGATATCATAGGATATGAAGGCCTATGCATGATTATAAACGTAAAAGGAAGGTATTAACAAGCGTTATTTTAATGCGCCCTAAGAAATTCAATTTTTTATGAAAAAGATATTTGTTAGAAGAATACCTGTTGAATTGTTTATCTAAGACGGCGGGCTTCACGCTCTGTTTCGAGAAGGGAAAGGATATCACCCTCACGAACGGCGCCCTTGACATTGCGGACGAGGGAACGGTTAGAATCATCGAGGAATTCGACACGAACTTGTGTAACACCACCACGGGATCCTGTACGACCGATAACTTGCTTGACAACAGCTAACTTAACCTGTTCTTGGGTTGATTCCATTAGAAAAGGCCCATGTTGTCAAAACCGCAAATTTTGGACCATGGACTTTATTTTTGATGTAATTGCGAGAAATGAATTGCCTATATGAATTGAAATAGATTATCTGATAAAAAGTCGCATTCTCTATGATGAAAACGAATATTTAAAATTCCAAATTCTTTAAATCAAAGATAACTCAAGAATATATTTATACATTCTCTTGCTTTGTAATTAATAGCATTTAAATGAAGTTTTCATCAAATTTAAATTTATTCAACAACAATCAATTAAAAATCAAATGTAGTTACTTGTTTTGATTCAAAATACAGTAGATACATACAAAATAAAAGATTTTAATACGATTTTTATCTTTTTCATTTTATAACTTTTCATTTCAGTTTAATAGATCCGGTATATACAATTAAATTTCAACTTAAGTATATAACCTTAGTACTAAAGTAACATTTTGCATCATACCGAAATTTGATTTCATACATTTAACAATCTTTTTACTGTTAAGAAAGAGAACAGTAGTTTAGCGAAAGGACAAGTATTGAGACTTTTTGTTACATCAATATCGGTACTTTTTTTTCCCGCAATTGTCGAAAAATAGCTAAAGAAAGTGAATAAAGATATTATGAATATGCTACTTATCTATTACATATATAATTAAATATTGTTGGATCTATGTAATGCATTAATTGGAGTTTTCCTTCCTCAGGATTTGAATTGTTTGATTGGAATATGATTTAGTTGCATACAATAACATCGCATAGTAAAACTGAGCCTTCTATCCCCATACCATGCATCACATAATTTGGAAAAAAAATTTATGTGATGAAGACAGGAAATAATTTTTCCACCAAATTATTCAGAATTTGGGGAAAAAAATCGGTTGCAATTCAAAATTGTTATAGACCGAAAATAGATTTTTTCGGTTTTCTCTTCAAATAATTGAAAGAATGATACTATTATAGGTTTATTATATTATATAGCATATAATCATGCTATAGCCGAAAATTATAAGTTTTGAGAAGATTGAATATAACACAAATAAATTTGAAAGTAAGTTAAATTGCTTGTTGTTTTTAATAGCTATTTAATGAGAAATCCAATATTGCAAAATTCAAATTGAATGATTGAAAGAACAGAAAAAGTCATTCTTTTCAATTTCGAATATGTTTCATTGTATTTATAATTATATGGCAAATAAGATATTTAAACTTGATTTTTGAAGGAAAATTCACAAAATTGAATAAATTCAAATAATTTTTATTCCAAAATAAACTAGTTATTTGAGTTTAATACTAATTATCTATTCAAACTACAAAGTTTGTAATTTAAAATATTTTGTGAGATCAGATTAAATTAATTCAAGGTTCTTTTCAATTAATATTAATGACCATATTACGCATTTTCGAACATTCTAAACCAAATATATAAAAATTGGAGACGAATGTTAAATTTGCTAGACATGGGGGAGTTGTCTGCAAAGTTTTAGCTCTTATCTCTAACAAAAAATTAATTTTTAAAAAAAATGACCGAATACGTTTCACAGCGAGAAAAAAATAAAAGGCAAGATAGAATTTTCTAGACATAAAAGAAGTTGTTTACCGAGTTTTAGCTCTTATCTCTAACAAAAAATTAATTTTTAAAAAAAATGACCGAATACGTTTCACAGCGAGAAAAAAATAAAAGGCAAGATAGAATTTTCTAGACATAAAGAAGTTGTTTACCGAGTTTTAGCTCTTATCTCTAACAAAAATTAATTTTTAAAAAAATGACCGAATACGTTTCACAGCGAGAAAAAAAATAAAAGGCAAGATAGAATTTTCTAGACATAAAGAAGTTGTTTACCGAGTTTTAGCTCTTATCTCTAACAAAAAATTAATTTTTAAAAAAATGACCGAATACGTTTCACAGCGAGAAAAAAATAAAAGGCAAGATAGAATTTTCTAGACATAAAGAAGTTGTCTACCAAGTGTCAGCTGTTACTTCTTCTCAATACTGATATAAAATAAAAATCTTTATTATTTATTTAACCTTTATTGTTTCATTAAACTTCATTTATTTTATATTATAGTTTTATTCTTTTAGCTACTTGTAAAATAATCTAATTTTATATCATCATTTTACCGGATTATCTTCAGTACATCAATTGTGTATCTAAAAAATATCATTATCCTTATTCTGTTTTTTCCAAAATTCTTTTAAATATCTTTTTTGGTTAGATTACTTTATACTTTTTACTTTTATTTTTTAATTTCAAAAAAAAATTTGGTGATTGTTCTATTCTGTTACAATGTGCATTATCATATTCTAATGAATTATTCATTACATACATTTAAAAAAACTTGTTAAAAATGAAATTAAAAAATTATGTTTATTATTACGCTGTGAATGTGTCAACAGCAGTCATGCCTGTATCTGTATCCCATATTTGCCACAACCTTTCTGTATCTGCATTTGTGTATTTCGGTTTCAGCTGATACATTTGATTTGGCATGTAATTTGTTCCAGTTAATGGATTAATTAGGAGATCTTCATGCGGTGTGTTATTATTGTACTCCCAAATAAAGGCAGGAATAGCCTGAATGCTTTGGCAGCGCTCCAATGTCGGCCAGAATCTCTCAATCTTCCCATTTTGGTAGGGAGAATGAGAGTCTGTATGCCGCCATTGGACGCCCCAAAGATCAAGTAGATCTTGAAAGGCGCCCCTATTTTCTGAACCGTTGTCGGTCCAGAAACAATAAGGGGCGCCAAATTCAATGAAGGCGGAAGCCGCAACGTTCGCTGTCGTCGCTGCCAGCATATCTGGTATTTGTATACACGCTAGGACTTTGCGGCTAAAATCGTCGATTATGCCATAAATATACTGGCCACGAACACCCCTAAAATAATGAACATCTGCGTGCCAGATAAGATTGGGTGAAAGCGCCCAATATCTTACTGCTGTTTCTGGCCCGGCATGCTCTAATCGCGTCTTGGTGAAATGATTTTCTTTGAAGTATCTGTGAGTTAGTATGGTTATCTTGGGTATGGTGGCACTGCGTTCCACTTTACCCAATACTTGTGAATTTGACACTTTACAAAACCGTTAACGTATATTTTACAACACGAACGCAAAAACTAACTTAACCTTAAATATTTACAAAGCCGCCAACCACTTCACTAACGAACTCACTAATGTAAAAATAAACGTTCTCACTATCGTTCTCACTAACAACTTCACTAATGTTCTCATAAATTTTCCTCAATATCTTCATCATCAGTGTTAACCCTATTGTAGTCATACTTGAAGCCATAAACTTTCTCTAACTTCTTAACGTACAATTTACATAACTTACCTTCGTCATCGTATGGTTTAATGATATAACTATTTCTATCTTTATACACAGTCAATGAAAAGTCAACTGGTCTCGGATGTATTTGAAAGAACATGTTATGCTCAGGAAGGAAGAATAAATGTTTAAATGTATGTTTGTTATACTGTGGAATTCGAATGAGTTGCTTTTGTTCTGTCATTTACATCCAAATAAAAATTTTCAGTAAAAATAAACTTAAAAATAAATGATATCACCACCCTCACACGTATGAAAACATAGCACAAAAATAATGTTTATGTTAGAATGTTAGATCTAACACGTTTTCTAACCTCATTTCTAACCCTGTTGAATTCATTGCTTTATAACTCTCTTCCTTGGTTTCTTTTTAGTTGCTTTCTTCACGTCTGTCTCCAGCTTAACTGTCTTTCTTCTTCGTCCGTAATGATACCAGTTACTTCCACCAGTCAATGGGTCAAATGGTCTTTCGTAAGGGTTTCCATACATTCCATAGGGACCATACGGAAGAACTACTGGTGGAGAAGAAACATTTTCTTTAGTTCCATCGACTCTATTTAAATGCATTGTTTCACCTTTCATCTGGTCATTAAAGTCTTTTGCATGTTTTGCAAACTCATCGTCCTTTCCTAAAGCATTTTCTGACTCAGTCGCAACCAAATTGGATGCTTTATTTATGAGGCCTATTTTATTTAATCTTAACTTCTTTGCAACCCAGCCTCCAATCTTCCCTTTATTTGCATCTAATGTCTTCGAAACCCTTCCTCCACTCATTTTATTTACTGCGTCATAAGCTCCAAGTGCTTTTGCTCCAAATGCTAATGCTTTTGTTCCCATTGCGCCTAAAGCTGCCCAAGCTACCATTTACACCATATTAAAATCATCTCTCTTCAATATTATCTCATAAAAGTTCTCGTTACTGGAGAAAGTCAATGAAACATAAGCGTTCTCACGGGCTTCGCCCTCACCACTTTGCGGTCTATCTAACTTATTTCTTATATCATCTATACGCTTCAAAATGTCTGAACAATTGCTAACATCTTCTACAACAGTTATTTCATCATGAACGACCTTTAAGAACAAGCTCATTTAATATGCTATTAAAATCATCTCAATAATGAGTCCATCCTTTCCATCTTTAGGTAGCACAACATCTTTCATTGAAGAAGGTTCGACAAGTCTTATGTTAAACTTACTGACAAAGTTTGTTATACTATAATGCTTCGGTGGCGAATACATGTAGTTTGAAAGACATAATATAGATTCTTCAGCAAATTCACTTATACTGGATTTTATAACAATGTTCTCACGAGACCAAATACCACCAATTGACAATCTTGTAAGCAATCCTGCTGAACCTTCTACTGTAAACGTCGATGGTAACATTCCACGAAGGTCATCTATTGACATCTTTGAGTCACTGAATTTAAATATTTTCTTAAAGCAATCGTCATTATCTAACCATGCAATAGCTTTGAAGTTTTCATTCGAATATACATCTGCTTCATTAAATGTAAAACCTGACTTCTTTGCAGAGACGACTTTAAAATCTATTGCATTTGTTTCAAAATTATATACTATGGTAACTTCTGAAGTAATGGATGTCCTTCCGCAGTCAGTTGTTCTCTCACTACCGTTTGAAGCTTTGTGTTAAAAACTTTCATGTCATCTCCTGTGTCTAGGTTCACATACACAGCAACAGGAAAACTATCTTGCTTCTTTGTTTCATCATTATACCTCAAAACATTAAAGTTCTTCAATAATATTGTTCTTCCTGCTGGAATACTTCTAACTTGTCTTATTTCAATAGCTTTCTCACTCCTACATACTCTACCCAGTGTCTTGGATATTCATAAGTTATACTGACTTTCTTGAATTTTGGTAGTTTCATCATAACGTGTTCATAGTATATCTTTATACTCTTGTCAGTTAGACTCGGTGCTATGTTCTGAATATTTCTGACTTGCATTTTTAATGAAGATAAAATGAAGCATTTAATACATGACGTAGATGAAGACATGAATGAAAGCAGTGAAAAGCTCAACAGTTCTCTCATTCTTCCTTTCAGTAAGGACTATGAGTTCTGTTCAAATGGTGTGTATTTCTATTGTGGAAAGATGGGTTCAGGTAAGACATTTAACCTCATTCGTCATATACTCATAACAGAGCGTTTAGGTCAAGATTCATATTATGACCAAATCATTATATCAGCAACTTCAGACTCTATGGACTCAACAGCGAAAACATTCATGAGTAAAGTTCAAGCCTCTGTCGTTAAAGTTCCAGACAGTGAACTCATTGAATTTCTTCAACGTTACATTCGACGTAAGAGGAAATATTATGCCATCGTTGAATTTATACAGTCAGGAATGCAAAAGACTTCAGAAGAGATGGAAAGAATTATTGACAAACACCACTTACGTCAATACTCAGGAGTTTACGATATGAAACGACTTACAAACTACATTCTGTCAAAACTTTCAAAATACCCCTTCAAAAAGTATCCTTCAAACACTCTGCTCGTTTGTGACGACTTCGCCGGAAAAGGTTTAGTGTCAAAAGCAGACTCACCATTAGCTAACATCATAACTAAAGTCAGACATTACCATTTAACTGTAGCAATACTTATGCAAACATGGCGTTTCCTTGCTTTAAACATAAAACGTCTCATAACTGACTTCGTTATCTTTCAAGGTTTCTCACGTTATGACATTGAACTCATTTGGAAACAGTCAGGTATAACATTACCTTTTGAAGAAATTTGGGAAGCATATAAGTCTCTCATCTCTCCTCGTTCATACCTTGAGATTCATATCATGACTAATACCATTAAAGTCAAAAATATTCCATGGGAACGACCAACATTGTTTTAAAGTTTAACCTTCAATTGACTGATGGTAAACAAATTCCATGCATCTCTGTCACCATTTCTGTTAATATTTTTGCTGTCATTCATATCATCCACTTCCCCATCCGTTAGCTTTTGAGGATATGCGTTAGAATAGCTGTTCTTAAATGAAGGCTTTTCACCTTTGAGAGCATAAACTCTATAACTTTCTGCATACTTTATGTTTGAACCTCCTGAGCCATCATTGACATAAATTTTTATAGGCTTCCACCCTTTGTTCATATTCCTGCTTCTTCCCTTTGCTCTTTTGTTCAGTAGTTCTACATCTTTATACACAGCTCCTGTCTCAGTGAATTCAACAATATTTTCATTCGTTAGCTTTACATTCAAACCCTTGTCGAGTATATTGTTCATTTCATACATATAAAAGGTTTTTATTCTATATGAAATGAGAAGCAAATCCATCTTAGCTGGTGCCGTTAATGTTCCAATTGAACCAACATCAAATGTTGACTCACGAACGACAAACAATATTGTCATAAAGAACTATAGTTCAGAATGTTTGAAAGAAAAAGAACCAGAGCTGAAATCCGTGAATTTAAACACAACTTCAAACGCTAACGCTACATCAGATGTTAAGTTAGAGTATCCACCACTGGACCAAATTCTTTCAAGAGAAGCCAACGACAACCCTTACACAAATGTTCAAACAAATCCTTCAGATAACGTAGACCATTACCTTCTTCAGTTATACCAAACAATTTTACTCAAAGACGATAAGAAGCTTTTGATAAATCTTATAAGTAAGAACCAAATAATTCTAACAAAGGAGGACCTTGAAAATGTTATATCACGAATAACAGGAAAGCAATGTGTCATTGACTATCTCGACCCTGAAATCGAATGCTGTGGTCAAACACCAATATTCATGAAAATAGGTAACATCCGCATCATTGAAACACCAGGAACTACAGGAGTTGAGTTTAAGTATAAATATTCGAACGAGTATACAAAACTTTCAACAGAATATAAGCTTTGTTTGAAATATGTTTTAGTAAATTAAAGCAACTTATAGTATCTATCCAAAACTTCTTCAACAGTATCGAACTCATCTTCATAATGCAAACCTAATCTTATTGACTTGGTGCAGTTTTCACTAACACAATATTTTTCTGTTCTCTTGACTGACATAACTAACTCATTTGTTTCATCAAACAGCAACAACCAAAGTTCATGACCTAATACATAACATTCATACTTTATATTTTTAGCTCTGAGTTCTCTTGTAAGCTGTTGCATTTAATATTTTCTAAAAAGTCAACTTCAACAGTCATTCGCACTGGTGCCTTCAGTTCTACAGGCTCTCCTTGAAAGTCAACAAGTCTGAATTGCATGTCTTTCAAATTATGAGGACTAATGCGAACCCATTTACCTAAATGAGTTGCTATGACAGGAACGTTTGGAATGAACATTGAATTGACTGCATAACAGAAGGATTTATACTCTACTGAACCTTTACTATTAACTCCTGAAATACCTGTGACATTAGCTATTTTTGACTCAACGTAAACAATTACCATAACATACGTATGGAACAGATTTCATCTCAATCGTTTTGTCAACACTTTTCAAAGGAAATGTCATATGGTATGCTCCCAGAAGAAGTTGTACTCTATGACTCATTCTTGGTATCTTGAACTCTTTCTTGCTACTGAACTTCAATGTTCCCTCAGAAGAGAGTTCGACATCTATGTTGTCAATAGTTTCTTCATTTATGAGAGTATCTATGACTCCAGCAATTTTATCTATTCTGTACTCGGCTCTGTTAGGAAATGTTACAACACTTCTTTTGTCATCTATTTCAATCTCTATGAAATCTGTTTCATCTGTTATGACAAAAGTTGCGATAGTATTGAAGTCAACAACTCTGAAAGCAAGCGCTTCATTCTGAAGACCTAAGTTTGTTTGTAGCTTTACTGTCCCGTATTCGTTTGGGTCTGTACTTTGCAAATAGAACAACATTTTATTCTCATTAAAATATGACTATTGCTGCATATGCGTATGAAACAAATGAAGCAAGAAGAGCACATGAACTAGTAAACGAAAACTCAACTTTAACCATTGAAGGCAATGATTTAGTCATTGACGATGGAAAAACTAAAAAAGTCATTGATTTCGATACTTTTAACACTTATGACCCATTCATTACAACAAGCAAGGTTCCCATCATAAATGATGGAACGGTGCAATATATAAATTCTACAGTAGATGCCTCATTAGTGAAAGTATTAAATGTTCTCATTGAATTGTTAAAGAGCTTTCGATTTGACGACAACATTAAATGCCTAAAGAATTTAGTCATGAATGAGAAACAAATTCTCGGCGTTGCTGGTAGCAGTAATGATGTACACCTTATGACATTAGAATATTATAACGAACATAAAGATGAACTGAAAGGAGAGAAGGGTGACACCGGACCTCAAGGACCACAAGGAATACAAGGAATACAAGGAATACAAGGAATACAAGGACCTCAAGGCGAAAACGGTTTGGATGGAAAGGATGGAAAGGATGGAAAAACTGCTAAATCATGGATATGGGACCTTATAAATACTGGTTTAACAGCTGCTTCATATGGAGTTCTTCAATACCAAATCGGAAAGATATGGGCGGTACTTGGTGAAGAAGTTTTAAATGACGTTAAAAATGCTTTGAACTTCATTTCAAATGGTTCGGATACTATTAAAACTTTATCTGGTTGGATGCAAGAAACAAGGAGTCAAATAGATACTGTAAGACGTATAGCAAACAATGCACGTACGGGATTGGATACTTTACGACAAGCACAAAATACACTAAAGGAAGCAAATGATATTCTTGGCTCAGTATCAGACATGCATGAAGATTGGCTTAAAGGTATTGACAAATCTTTAAAAAATCACAGTCAGTCTATTGCTGACTACAAGAAAAGTATAGATTTTTTACATAGTGCTATGGACGTACATGATGGAAGCATAAGGAACTTACTTAATGCTAACAATAACTTACCAGGAACTATTAAAGCATTTATAAAGTCCTTTGTAAAACCCGGTGCTCTAACATTTAGGTCTTTGAGAGCAAGAGCATTGAAGTCAAGAGATGCAGAAACTCCAACAGAACCTACAGAAGGAACTGAAACAACAGAAACTCCAAAAGAACCACCAAAACCAACAGCTAATGAAATATTGTTCGAATATTTTCCAAGGTACTCTGTTCTCATTGCATACATTCAAGAAATACTTAAGAAAGCAGACTTGACTTTAGGAGATGATGAAAGTTCTGTATATCTTTCGTTCCAGTTTCAAATAGCAGAACTTTTGAGACAGATATGCTTAATGTATGACAACATCTCTGATTTCACAAGATATGATGACGACCATGACCCCGAACATGGTGAAGAAGAAGTTTTACAAACATCCATTAAGACAGGAAAGGTTTTAACTCAAAGTCTCATTATTGACACCAAAGATGGCGAAGTGGACGTTCTTCAAGAGCTGAAGAAAAATACTTCTTCGGGAGGTGGTGGTAGGCATGAACTTGAAATAAATGAGATAGAAGAGAAATTAGCCGAAAAAGCAGATAAAGAACATAAACACAATATCTCCGATATAAATGAACTTCAAGCTACATTAAATAGTAAAGCGGACAAAAATGAACTTGACGCAATGAACAAAGTTTTGAAATCTCATAAACACAACATCTCCGATATAAATGAACTTCAAGCTACATTAAATAGTAAAGCGGACAAGAACCATGTTCATTATATAACTTCAGACGAACAGATTATAACGGACTACCATGGATATTTAACACGAAGTGATGAAGCGAAGACAAAAAATGTTAATGAAAGAAGATATAAATACATTCGTGCTAAAGGTTATGACATAAGCTGTACTGTACAGTATGATGTAGCTAAAGCACCAGAAGCATTTGGTTATACCGGTGAAATTTATGCCTCTACTTTCAATGTTAACGGTGTATTAGTTGAACCAAGATTTATGTTAAGAGTTAAGGCAAAAATAACGTTTGAAGATGCTATTAAAAGTAAAGCTGACAAAGTTGAACTCGAAGCAACGAACAAAGTTTTGAAATCTCATAAACACAACATCTCCGATATAAATGAACTTCAAGCTACATTAGACAGTAAAGCTGACAAGAACCATACACATAAATCCTTCACTACTGTTAGAGCAGACGACATAATATTGAACTTTGACCTTGGTTCAAGTGCACCATTAGAAAATCCAAGTACAAGCGTAAAAGATACTCTTAACAGTTTAGATAAGAGTTGCAGGAACATTGAAAGTCATGCCAGAAACTTTGAAGCACATGAACTACCAACAATGTTAGATAAGAAAGCAGACAAAACTTATGTGGATGCAGAACTAACAAAGAAATTTTCGAAACCAGATACAATGACATTTACAACAGAAATTATAAATGGTGAACCAGCAACTCCATTTGAATTTGTTAGAGGTCTTCAACCAGATACTTTTGAATTTTTCTTGGATAATTCTATTGAACTAACATTACATTATAAAAGTGGAACAAATGCAACATTTCATCCGGGAGATACATTCCAAATGGTATTTAATGACATAAGTTCTTTAGAATATGTTTATAGAGTTATGAGCATATATGATTTAATATATCCTATAGGAGCTGTTTATACGTCTATGAATCCAATAAATCCAAACACTTTATTTGGTGGTAGATGGTATGAAATAGTTGACAGTTTTCCATTCTACACTAATACTCAGTCAATGAAGATGGGAGGTTCAAAGAAAATAGGTATTGAAAACCTTCCTTCACATATGCATAGGTTCAGTGGAAGAACATCTGTGGAAGGAAACCATTCACATTCAATAACAAAAAGAGGTTATACAAATCTTGCAGCGGGTTCGGATAGACAGGGAATGCATAGATATGATATCACAACTGACCCCAAAGATGTTAGCACAGGTATTTTCTGTGGAACTGCAGGAAATCATACACATGTTGTAGCTGGTATTACAGACCCAGCAGGTAATGGAAAAGATTATATGCCTCCTTATATAACAATGCACGCTTGGATACGAGTTGGTTAAAATCTTTAACTTTACATAAATGAGCTTGAAAGAAGTATTCGAACAACATCCATGGAGGTCATTTAAGAAATTCAATGAAGCTGCAAAGAGTTGGGGATTTACTAACAGAGCTGAAGTGAAAAGGTTCTTTGACAAAAATGTTGTACATCAAACAAAAATAAACCCTTACGACTACTTTTTACCAATTTACTCCAACACTCCTGACGCATACCAATTTGACACTCTCATTCAAAGCAGAAAAGGAGGACATAAACCATTCCTCATCTTCATAAATGTTAACACTCGTAAAGCATATGCATATCCAATGAAAAATAAAGGAACTCGTGAAGTGTTAAGAGTTTTACAAAAGTTTGTAGCAGAACATAACCCAAGTACTTTAACATCAGACCAAGACAGTGCATACCTCAGCAATGAAATCACAGAATTTCTCATTAAGCATAACATAACTCACTACACTACTGAAGACCATAACCATAACATACTCGGCATCATAAACCGCTTCATAAGAACGCTCAGAGATTTAAATCAAGAGCGAGACTTTACCGAAGAAACAATGAAACATTTTCTCGAAGTATATAATTCCTCAACACATTCTACAACAGGACATACACCAAATTCAATGACACAACAACAAGAAGAAAAGTATATACAAAAGAAACGAAGCCAAACACAAAATATCAGAAATTCAACACAATTTACCCTCATTCCTGGTACAAAAGTTCGTGTAGTTCTTGACGACAAACCGTTGACAAAGAAACGTTTAAGGTTAAGTAGAAACTATTATATCGTAGACTCTACGCAAGGTAATGGATATCTTATAAAAGCTGCTGACGACTCCATAGCATTTTACCCTCGACATAAGTTAGTTGAAAGTAGTAATGGCAAACTTGCTGAAACCATTGACGAAGCAAAGCGAGGAGTGGTTATTGAAATACTTGGCTATAACACAAACGATGACACTTATAAAGTAAGATATGAAGGAGGCGTTGAAGATGTTATACCATCTAAGAACTTGAGAGAGTCAAAGCCAACACATCTGGGACCATTAGAGCGGGAGTACTGGAAAGACAAAAATATGCCAGAAAGAATAAGAAAATTCTTCTAAACTTTTTCATTAGATGTAAATCAGACATGAATGAGAACAGTCATGATATCATTAATGGTACCATTTATTTACACCAAAAAATAATGTTTATGTTAGAATGTTAGATCTAACACGTTTTCTAACATGTTTTCTAACCTCATTTCTACCCTCATGAAAATTCATGAATTTCCTTAAGATAGAAAAAATAAAGTTAGTTTTATTTTTTTCTAACTTTTTATCTTGTAGGTAAGAACAGAAATGTCAGTCGAAGCAAAAACGTTCACGAACAAATCTAATGGCGAAACATTCACAAAAGGCACTTACAACGGTATTGAAGTCTTACGTAGAGACATGGATGGTTATATTAACGCAACAAATATGTGTCAGCAGTTTAGGAAGGACTTTAGAAGGTTGTTGGAAAATAAGTCCTGGGAAGAGTATTTTAAGGCATTTTGTGAAGAATATACCAACCCGCGGAAAACAGCGGGTTGCTTTTTATACAAAATTCATGCAGGAATTCCTGATGAAATCAAACAGGTTAGAGGAATGTATGTAGACCCAAGACTTGTAAACTATATAGCAATGTGGGCTTCTCCAAAATATTGTATAGCAGTTGGAAAAATTCTGGACTCCATAGACAAGAAAGTTCATGAGAAATTAGATGAAGAAGAACTTGAAGATACAGCAGAGAATGCAAAACCTTTGTTCGAAGAAGAAGTTAGAAAAATGCATGAAAAACAAATAGAACATGAACGTGAGATATGTTCTGGTTATAGAGACTCTCCATACGAACTAGACCAATGGGAACAAGAAGATTTAAAGAGAGAATTTAGAGAATATGAACTCGCTAAGATAGCATTAGAAGCTGCAGAAAAGAAGTTAAAAGTTTGGGGTCGTTTTGTACAAAAATATTGTGAGTAAATGAACCATTTTTTTCGACAAAAATATATTTTATGTTAGAATGTTAGATCTAACATGTTTTCTAACACGTTTTCTAACATGGTCTAAAACTCTCGAAAATCATGAGTTTTCCCGAAATAAAAAATAAAGTTAGTTTTTTTAAAAAAATATTTTTTATTTTTATTGTAAGAACATGTTAGCAACAACTTCACCAAACTCTTTAGTCATGAACCCAACTTCAATGTTAGTAGAGATGAAAAGCTTCATTCCTTCTTCATATACTTTCGAAACAAAAATCCAGAAGATAAAGCAAGAACTTTTAACAAGTAATTTAGACTGTACCGCACAGAATGAAACAAATGAACAGTATCTTTATGAAATGCAGGACCTGGTGGACCATTTACCCAAATTGCCTGAAATTCAGCAACAAAAACTCACTATTCCTGAATTCGACGAAATTGAAGTGAAACCAACTGACTCAGTAGAAATAAAGAAGTTCATTCGAAAGGTAAACTATGAGTTTCTTGGTTTTCATTGCAACCATAAGGTTATGGACAAAGATTGCGACATGGTATATAAGAATGTTTCTGACATATACAAATCTGGGGAGTTTAAGACCTACGACAACTTTGTTTCGTTAGTTGCTGAATGTGTATGGCAGATAAGAGATAAAGATAGAAGAGGTAAGATATGGAATGAACAAATAAGACCCGCTATGTTTGAGATGAAGAGAGCAATTGACGCCTTAGTCATACTAGCAGGTAAGGTTTCAGAATATAACGCAAAAATGAACCCACAATGTTCTAAATGTAAAGCAGCAATGAGGAAATATAACTACTCCGTCAAAGAGATAGAACGTATGCGAAACGACTATGCTGACTTAAAGAGGGAGGCAGAGAAACCAGCAGAAGATAAAATGGACATGTTAGAATTTCTGAACAAAAACTATCCAACTGCTGACGATTTCCTTCTATCTGACGTCAAGAAGAAGTATAAAGAAACTTTCGGTATCGTTAAAACTTTTGACATACTGACAGAAGAAATAGAAGCTACAAAACTGTTTAGAGTCTCACGAATTCATAACGTTTACCATGTGAAACGCTTATAAAATAACTGGGGTAGAAAAGAGGTTAGAAAAGAGGTTAGATCTAACCTTCTACCCTAAACATTATTTTTGCTGAATTCCGTATGAAATTTCATGAGTTTTGTGTGTTTTCTACGATGTTAGAAAAGAGGTTAGAAAACATGTTAGATCTAACATTCTAACATAAACATTATTTTTATTAAATTCCGTATGAAATTTCATGAGTTTTGTATGTTTTAGACCATGTTAGAAAACATGTTAGAAAACATGTTAGATCTAACATGCTAACATAAACATTATTTTTACTGAATTCCGTATGAAATTTCATGAGTTTTGTGTGTTTTAGACCATGTTAGAAAACGTGTTAGAAAACATGTTAGATCTAACATTCTAACATAAACATTATTTTTTCTATCTTAAGGAAATTCACGAAATTTCATGAGTTTTGTGTGTTTTAGACCATGTTAGAAAACGTGTTAGAAAACATGTTAGATCTAACATTCTAACATAAACTTTATTTTTGCTGAATTCAGCACAAAATTCTGAGTAAAATGGCATATGGCATGTGTCAAACCGTTGAGTTTTCACAAAATTCCAAAAATAAAGTTAGTTTTATTTTTATTTATTTTTTTATTTTGTATGTAAAGACAGATATGTCAACAACAGAGAACACAACAACTGCTATCGTCCATGAAGATATAAATGAAGAATACGAGTACATACAGTTTAACAAACAACTCCGTCTCATTCGTTCGGTCAAAGACGATATGTACCAAATGCAAAGTATTTTGACAGCATGTGCTACACCAGATACTAAGAAACCACAAGACTGGTTTGAATTAAATAGCACTCATGAACTCCTCAGTGAGTTTGAACATGTAGAACTTAAAAAGATGTACCAAGACAGACAAAACTTACCATCACATCTAAAAGGTATATATGTTCATAAGTTCCTAGTTAGTTCAATAGCAATGTGGGCTTCGCCTCGCTATGCATGGTATGTTTGTAAACTTCTTGACGAACTTTGTACAAAGCAGAGAGAAGATATGATGAAAGAAGACAAAAGCATACAGAAAAGAATACCACGCTCGGTACCAAAAGGAAAGGAAAAGAGTTATAAGTATATGATATATACTGAAGAGTTGGAGAAAGAAGAAGATAAAGATATGGTTATGTTGCATTTAGTCAGAAGAAACAACAAAAGCTTTTATGACTTAGCTAAAATATATAAATCTGACAGAAACTGGTTCTATCGTGAAAACTTACCGATTTCAATGACACCGAATGAGCAAATAAAGGAAATTGTCAAAAATACTCTTCCTCAAACACACTATGACATCAAAGGTTGCACAATACTTACATTCAAAGAAGACTTAACATTACTGAAGGAAAAAATAACAGAATATTTCGATAACTTCAAAGAGGAAGAATAAAAAAATCTAAGCTAATTTTATTTTTTTATAAAATTTTATCTCATATGAAAGAACATGAATTTAGAATATTCGGAACTCATGACAGAAGAAGAGAACGAACAACATGTAAAAGATTATGCAAAATTTCTGAAGACATACAAAGCATTTAAACAATATCTAAATGCTTCTAAAGATTATGCAAAATTTCTGAAGGTATATAAAGCTTATGAAAAAGCGTATGAAAAGTTTATACATTGGGGAATTGTTGTAAAATATCGATATGAAGACTAACCAAAAATATATTTTTGCTTAAATGACGTCAGGGTCAATTTCTTCAACCATTTCACTTCCTTCGTCAATGTCAATAGAAGCTTCTTCAACCTTTGGTAAGAACTTTTGTATAACATCTTTGTTCGTTATTGTTTTCAGAGATGAAGAATAATATTTCACATTTTGTTTCACCCTTCTTATATTCTTTCTGTTCGGAAAGATTCATAGCAATACTGAAGAAGTCAATGTTGGAGTTCTTTATAATAGTATAATGAGTATCTTTGACATTCACGAAGAAACTCTTTTGTTTTTCAAAACTACTGCTAACTCTTGTGAAGTATAACGTTTGCGGTCAATGACGATAGCTAATGGTCTGACATACTGACCCGAACTTAGATTCTTTCACAAACTTCTTGTTAAAGATAACATTAACGTTTGAAGCACCATTGAACTCATTCTTGATGGCAGTAGCGAGAGCATTGTATGAAAAGAACTTGCAATCTTGCATGTGTTTCATTAAAATAAAAATATTAAATTATTTTGAAAAATAACTTAAAAAAAATCTAATCTAATTTTTTCAAAAAATATTTTTTATTTCCTACTAAAGATGTATCGGAAGTTGTCTAAGTTAGAACACTCGGAAATAAAACAACTTCTTACAGAAGCTAATATAGATGTTGCAAAGCATTACGCAACAAACAAAAAAGCACTCGCTGACTTCATTAAAGACTATAATGGTGCAATAAGTTATGATAGAATTCATGAGTTCATAAAGCCGCAACGCGGCGAGGACGAAGTCCATGCAAGAGCATTTCCTTTAAATGACATTGCTATTGACTTATATCATAGACGTTCAGTACCTCATGAAGTAAGAAGAGAGATGTTTGACATAACAAATGCAAACGTTGGTGAAACAAGAAGAGCTGTACCTCATGAAGTAAGAAGAGAGATGTTTGACATAACAAATGCAAACGTTGGTGAAAACACGAAGAGAGATGACACACTGAAACAACAGAGAAGAGAGATGTTTAAAAGTGCTATAGAACAAGTTCGCAAAGCTAACGATGTCATTCGTTCCATTGACGACAAACCAAAAGAAGGTGAGAGATGGTTAAAGAAAGATGAAGAGAATAGGAAGAGAAATGTGAAGTCAGGCAATAGACTCATTGACTTTAACATCGAAGCTTTAGATGAACCAAACAGAGACTACTTACACAAACATTTCGGTAAGGTTTTCATGAGACTCTTAGAGAAAATTAAAATAAACTCAACAGAGATGGATGGTATGTTATAAACTTGGTGGAAAGTATGAATGTTCTACGTTAAACCTCAATAATATTGGAACATTACTACATCAGCTCTTGAAGGAGAACTTTATATCAGAGATAGAAGCAAATGCTGCAGGTATTGTTGAAATGCACTATGACTTCTTCTTGACAAACATAAAGAATCTTACCGAAATAAAGATGTATGATTTAACAGAATATGAAGGCTTAACGATGTCAGATGTAAAGAAAGGCAAACCAAAAAAGAGACCATATAGAGATGAAAGCACACTGACAAATGACCAGAAAGCCATTTTGGAAGCTCTTAAGCAAACAGGAAACCCAGCACTTATAGAAAGCTTTTGGAAAGATAATGGTGAAAAGAAGTTTTATAAGAAGAGAAGCGGGCAGTTCTGGAAGTATCTTTGCACGTTACCTATAAATCTTGAGCGCTACCAAATCTTCAATGAACTGAACAAAAGAACTGCAACACTTATGACAGAGGACAATTGTTTCGTTTATGCTTGCATTCAGGCTGGAGTAAATGAAGAAACTATTGACCACATGAGAGAAGTCATTCGTGTTAGAGACTTTCCTCAAAGTAAAGTACAAGAAATTTCCGATTCAACAGGTATAGCATTTAATGTTACCATTGGTTATTTCAATGACTCAAGACATAATGAAATAAAGAGATACATACCAAAAGAATGTGAAACTGTTAGAACTATTGACTTACTTCTTGTTGAAGACCACTACATGCTAAACGAAAGATTACCAATGACAACATATTTCATTCGAAACTATATAGAAATCTTGAAGGAGTGTGGTGGAATGAACATTGAAAAACAGATGAAAATATATACAAAGAGAGAAGATAAATATGTAGTTCGCATGGATAGAACTACACCGCTATGGGATGTTATGAAAACATTGTGGGAGTGCAAATATTTCGAACCTATTTCTTATGGAGAACTTTTCACATATACTACTGACTTATATAAACAGAACCTTGCACCATTTAAAGATTTGACATATGCTCCAAAGTATTGTGTACAACTGAAGAAGAAAGCAGAGTCAAAAGAAGTAAATAAAGCTAAATGTAAATTCATACCTGAGCACGTTTTCTTTGCTGACTTTGAGTGTAGTACGGATGGCTTTCATAAAGCTTTTAACATCTGTTATGACAGTGAAGATGGTTCAGTTAGTGAAAGTATTTGGGGTCAAAACTGTGCAACAGAATTTTTGGAAAGACTTCCTGACAAGAGTTTAATATATTTCCATAACCTCAGTTATGACATAAACTTCATCTTAAGACACATGACAGAAGTGAAAGGAACTCCCATCATTAAAGGTTCACGAACAATGCAAATAACTGGTTTATATAAAGGACGGGCAATTATTATAAAAGACTCTTACAGTGTTATAAATAAGAAGCTTAAACTATTTCCTGCTATGTTTAACTTACAAACAGGACCGAAAGAAGTATTTCCATATAACTACTACAGCAGTGTTTTGTTAGCAAATGACAACAGAACTGGTGTCATTTCTGAAGCATGTAAGTTTATCCATGATGCAGATACATTTATGAAGAACATAGATTCCATCAAAGGTTGCAGAATAGATGAAAACCACTTCGACTTAGAAAAATATAGCACGTTTTACTGCAAACAAGATGTAAGAATTTTAAGAGAAGGTTTTGTAAAGTTCCGCAATGACTTATTGAAAGAGTTTGATTTAAACGTTTATGACTACGTTAGTATTTGTTCTATTGCTAACAAATTGTTTGAGAACAGAGTGTACTTCCCGAATGGAAATTTATATGACCTCTCAAATAAACCAAGAGAATTTATTTCACGCTGTATTCAAGGTGGAAGATGTATGTTGTCAGATAACATAAACAAAAGAGAAAAGAAACTCATTGCTGACTTCGATGCTGTTTCATTATATCCTTCAGCTATAGCGAGACTTTATACTTTAGAAGGAATTCCAAAGTATGAAGAAAGAAATGTTAAGCACAGAGTATCTCATGAGACATTTATTCGATGACGACCAAAAGGAACCCATTGGTGAAAAGTTTATGTCCGGCTTCTTTGTTCTCATTAAGATAACAGAGATTGGTATACATAGACACTTTCCTTTAATAGTTTGTGACCCTGAACTAAATCCAGAACTTAACGTTCCAGAAGTTCAAACACTTGCTGTCTCATGTATGTTGACCATATAACATTACAAGACCTCATAAAATATCAAGGTGTCAAATGTGAAGTGTTGCAAGGATACTATTACGATGGAAACAGAGATATAGAATAAGAGATGAAGTAAAGAAGTTGTTTGAGTTAAGGTTAAAGTATAAGAAAGAAGGAAATCCTTTGCAAGAAATATAAAGCTCATTCTGAACAGTATTTATGGCAAAAACTATTCTTCTGTCAGAACTTTCTAACTTCATCGGAACAGCATTGTTTGAAACCATAATGAAGTTGCAACATTTTCACAAACTCTTTGGTCTTTATATTTTCTTTCAACAACTCCAACTTTGTCTGTTATAAGACTCTTCAAAGCATCTGAGTTCAAAACTTTTGTTGTATCTATACTTTGAAGTTCATTGCAAACTATAAGTTTCATATTCTCTATTGAGGAGTTAAACTTGCCACAGATGTTTTCTAAGTTTGTCATATTCGGGTTCGAATAGCCCTCTAACAGTTTGCATAAGATATCTGTAAAGAATGTGTTCTTACCAGTTTCTTGTTTTCCAATTATAATGAGAGCAGTTTCATTTTTAGCACTTGGATGTTGTAAGATGTTTGCAAACCAACATAAGATATACTCATAGACTCTTTCGTTTCCATTGCATATAATTTCTTTGACATGGTCTAACCAAGCTTCTATAATATTTTCTTTCCATTCTACTTGTTCATATTTATATCCAGTGAAGATAGAATAGAAGTTTGGAGAAGGTGTATAGAACTTATATACCTCGAACTGAAAAATCTTCTAACTTTGACAATAAGATATCCCAAGCATCTAACATCTTCATGCCAACTTGTACGACTTTTATTTTCTTAAGTTTCTGTTTACATTCTTGTTCTGAAACTATTGTTGCTCTTGGTTTGTTAAAGACAACATCCCATTCTTTCATAACATAACATTCTGGGGCAGAGTCGACATAAATGACTAAACGTTTCAAATTCTCGACTGCTTTGTTATAGTCTCTAAATAGACACATATTTCTGAATGCTTGGAAGTCATAAAAATCTGAAACATCTATTCTGTACATTTTTATAAAAATAAAAAAAATATTTTTTTTTATTCTTGACTTTGTTGTTGCATTTGTTGTTCTTGAGCTATTTGTTGTTGAAGTTGTTCTTGTAATACAATACTTTCACCAGTTGCATCTTCCAATTCGAAACTTTCTGCCGTCATTGACAAATACATAGGACATAAAAGTTTTACAGGAACAAAGTTTGCGTCAACTAATGTCAACGTTATACTTGCCAAAGTGTTTGAGTTCACTAAGGTTGAAAATTCTGCATTCGAATGAACAATAGGCAAACCAGCAGAGAAAGTATTGTTTATACGCATAAGTATCTTTTGGTCATAATAGTTTCTGTCGACATTCGAATAACACTTTGAACCTAAGTTTGAAACAATATATAAGATTGGTGTGCTTAATGTCAATGGAATAGACATTCCTTGTATGACACCTTTTTCCTGTTATAGGAAACTGTTGGTAGTAAAAACCAGATATAAGTTTTGTATTATAGCTCATATCGTTTATAGTAAACTCAGTCGGACATCCAAACATAATGAAACCTGCTCTAGTTGCAGCACATGTTACACCCGTACTTAAAGTATTAAATAAGTCAACAAAACCTGTTGGTGGTATATCTGAGTAAGTATCTTCAAAGGAGTATTTTTTACCATTCACAACAATAAAGTCTTCTGGTGTCAAAAGAGCAAAACAGGCTTTAGTCGTCATTGTGTTTAAAGTTAGTTTACAATATCGTCCTTGAGGACTTTGTAAGTTTGTTGTTATAGAATTATATGACTCAGGGTTTTTAGTCGTAATAGTATAAACCATTATGTCTTCTGCCATTTACTTAGCAAATAAATTTTAATGAAATGTTGTGGTCGTCAAATATTTTTATGACGTCTGGGAAACTATATTTAAGTTCAACGTTTCACCTCCTTTCATAACGTATATCTTGTCAATGGCATTATATGAAACACCACAGCAACTAATGTCGGGTTCTATTTCTTTGATGTTTATATCGTCTGCCTCTGTCAAAAGTTTCAATAGTTCTTTCAAAACTTCATGAGGTGCAATGACATATGAGTTCACTTTTACAGGGTTGTGTTCGACCAAGTTTAACATTATACCTAAAGCTTGACAAATCTTCTCCTGAGTTTGAAGTTTGTCTTTCAGTTGTTGGTAGTCGTTTCGAATATCTGCAACAGAACTTAAGTCTCTGCTAACTTCAGGATATGTTGGTTGTTCTTTTACAGGAACAATTGTTATACCATCTTCGTCCTCGTATGGTTTCCCCACTTCAACATCTCTGTCTTTGACATTGACAACAACACTTTGACTGTTTGTTTGAGTTGGTGAATTTAACTTCACATCTGCCACCGCCATTAAACCTTTTGAAACACTTACGCTTCTATTTTTCGGAAATGACATTTTACTTAGAATAAAAAGATGGACGTATTCGGATATCTTATTGAATTGAAGCAGAACAAAGTTTATACTCACAAACAATACAAATACATTGACAGAATAGTTCTTTACACAAACAATGGAAAATGTTATAGAATAGCAATATTTGCTGAACCTAAATATTTTCATAAAGCAAAGAAAGTTGGTATAACTGAAATGGTGAAAGTTCTTGAAGCAGACAAAAATATAACTTCAAAACTTACAGATATTTCTAAAGGAAAGTTTATAATACAATATTATGTCAAAACTGGCGTACTGTCAATATTTGACGGAGAGAAGTCAGTTCAAGAACAACTTACTGACCTGCTGCCAAAATCTGCTCGATGGAAGCTGTCGTTATGCCAATCTGAGGAGCCCCAGCAGGTTTCATCGAACGAATCTTCAAAAGAGCATCTTCCGTGAAAAGTGCTATTGGTTTTGTAAACTTCTTTGCTCTCAGTTCATATGGACCGTCTCTGTCACCAGTATATTGTATTTGTACAGTACCAACAGTTGAAATACCACCCATAAAGTCTTCTGAGTCAGCAAATGGAATGCCAAGCCAAAAGTTTGAACGGTCTCCATTTGTATATTGAGTTTTTTGACCTCCTGTATGAGTCCATACTTTCACATATGGCATAATAGAACTTTGCATTTCAGGGTTAATGGTTGTTGTGAAGTTGTTGTTAAAGTTCATAGCATCTAATGTCAAGTTGTATGACCTCATATCCTCAACTGTAGAATATTCTTCTCTTGGATAATATTTGCATCTATGTTTATATGATATTTAATACCGGGGTTGTAGAACAAGAATAGTCATTTATAGTTCGTCTGAACAGTACAAACATAGTATCTGCATGTTTCATTGCAGTTGTTAAAGCAATATCTGTTCTTGCACCTGGGTCAGCACTTTGGTTTCCAACTTCACCTGCAAAGTCTTTGACAGATATTTGGTGTATAGGGAACATAAGTGGAACTGCAATATATTTGGCAGCTAAAGCATTTGAAATATCTGGGTCCAACATATAGACTGCAAGTCTGCTTTCTATTCTCTTGCATTCAAATTTTCGCATGTGAACTTAACTGGGTCCAAGCATCTCCAGCAGCATTGAAATAATAGTTTACTTCAGTGTTGAGGTTTGAGAAACCAAAGTCTAAGTCAACCTTGCCTTTGCAAAATTCGGCGAATGACGTTTTATTTGTTCCCATTACGTCTGTAAGAGTGAATGGGTCTTGTGTTGGTGCAATGACTAAGTTATTTTTGCTTGGAGTAAGTTCGATAGAAATTTTTCCTGCCCAGTTTGGCAAGTATCTTAAAAACCTGAAGATGAGGAAAGATGACAAAGGAACTCTAAGTTTTCAGTTTTACTTTGGTTACTGCTGCTGCAGTTTGTCCAGAAAGGTTAACATAAACTCCTGGAACGTTAGGGTCAAGTCTTCTTATTTTCTCAATAGTTGCATACTGGTCTGTTTGTTCTCTAGCTTGTGGTTGTACTGAGTTTCTCAAAGCGAACCATTCATAGTTTGCCCATGTTACTGTTTGAACTAAGTCAGAGTTAGAATATATCTTATATCCCATGAAAACTTCTGGAGCATATTGGTATCCGACATAGAAAATTCCATTGCAACCTTTCTTGTCAGACAACTTGGCAGAAGGTTTTATTTCAATGTCTTGTTCCACGTATAAGAATGAGTTGTCAATAGAAATAATATGAAACCTGTCGCAAGCAATATCTACTGTTGTTGAAGAACCTTCTCCAAACTCACCTACGTTTCCATAAGAAACAGCAGTTGTATATTCGTAAGTTCCAGGAACTATTTCTGACCTTCTAATGGCATTGTCGCATTCGTTATACCATTCGGAAACATTTCCGTTCATGGCATCCAAAACTGTTGGCGTTATATTCTGAGCGGCGTACATTTCATATGGGTAAAAAATATAGAATAGTTGGATTTATGTGTCATAATAGAACCCACTCGTACCAAGCTTTACTTTCTTCCTGACTGAGTTTTTAACTCTTCTTTTTCCTTCATTGCCACTACTTTCACTAGATGAAGTTACTTCTTCACTACTTTCACTTTGTTCTACTCTTCTCTTTCTTCCTTGGTGTCGCTTTTGGTAACTTGCCCTCTGCTTCAAGTTGTTGCATCTTTGCCTCATGTTCACCTAGTATGTTGTAAATTTCCCATGTCCTTTTTGCCTTTGGGCTCTGGTCGCCCATCTCAGGTAACCTATATCCTAGAAAGATTTTGTCATAGTTTGTATTTGAGTCTTCGCGTATTGTTTGCATGACTCTTTCCTGAGTTTCCGGTTCAAGCTCTTCAAACAGAGCTTGTCCATAGGAATAAGCTCGTTTCCAAATATATGTTTTGTAGCCATTCTGGTTTTCTTTCCATGTTACCAATAATATCTTTTGTGAATGGGAAAGCTTTTACCCAATGTTTCAGTCTTGCGTCATTTATTTCTGTAGTTGGTTTTATTTTGTCAAGGAACATGTTTTTCAATACTAACATTTCATTTGGTACTGTCCATTTGAGTTTTCTTAAATATTCATCCATTCTCGGTTCATTGTCTGCAAAGTAAGTTTTTATGACATTTTGCAAACTTTCGTTTGCAAGGTCATGTACAATAGGTTCTCTTCCTTCTCTCTCCCTAACTTTCTTTCTAAACTCTTCACCAAATATACCATCTCTATGGTTCTGTGTAGTTCTTTGAGATAAATGTTCTAGAACGTCAGGTGTTATATTTCCATCAGCCATGTTCATTTCATACTGGTCCAAAATATCTGCATGTTTCATATCTTTCAATGGCATTAAAGCCGCGCTGAAAATACCAGCTATATCTGGTTCACCATTCACTTCCATTGCGTCTACAACTTCTTGGAATTGAGGTTGTAAGTTTATGAACCACCTATCCGGATTAGCTTTATGACCCCATCTCATTGTAGTTCCATAGTCTGCAGAAACAAAAGTAGGTTTGTTTCCATATTGGCTAGGTTCTGAATGAACTTTAAAACAATGTTTCTTTCTATATGTTTTGTTGAAATTTAACCTTTTATTTTTCACCGAGTTCATCCAAAGATTGAAAGTTATATGGTCGTAAGTAAAAAGGATTGTTGTATTTGCGTACACTTTCTTTCAGTTCTTCCATTCTATGCTGGATATTTTCATCTGATGTTGGAGTCTTTTGTATGTCGGCGAACATTTTTCGATATTCTTCTACTATGTCAGCCGAATTTTTCTTAGACTCTTGGAAAGATTCCATATTCTCCGCATACACTTGTTGAGGGTCAAGATTTTTCGGCTGTTCCAAATCTTCATCTAGTTCTGTGAAGTTAGTTTCCAAAGGAGGGACTTGTTCGTTTCCTTCAGGCTCTTCTAGCTGTTGTTGCTGAACTATTTCTTCCATGTCTGGTTGTATCTGAACTTCTTCCTGTGGAGTTTCTTGTACCTCATCTGCTGGCATTTCATATATTCCGAGACCGTTTTTAACAAGTTCCCTATCTAAGTCATCCGGACTCATAAACCTTTCTTCTTTCGTTCCGTCTCTATTTTTTACGCGTTTCATGAAGAGAGTTGAATTATCGTTTAGCTCTGACACCAAATATCTTGGAGTAAATTCAGTCATGTCATTTGGATGATATGCTATTAAATCATATCCCTTAGCGAGCTTGTATTTTCCAGGTTTGAAATTATATCCCATTTGGTGCTGAACCATAAAGCTAAATAGGTTCGGGTCAGTATTTCCTTCCTTGAACTTTCTAATAGCTTCTTTATATCTGTCACTAAAGTCAAGAGTATCTGGGTAACCATAGTCTTCCTTAAGCATTTTTAAGAATTCTTGGTTTCCTTGTTCTCTACTTCTTTTATGTCCTTGCTCTGTTTGTGGTTGTTGCTGTGCAGTGTTTTGAACTGTTGGTTGTGGTGCAGTGTTTTGAACTGTTGGTTGTGGTGCAGTGTTTTGAACTGTTGGTTGTGGTGCAGTGTTTTGAACTGTTGGTTGTGGTGCAGTGTTTTGAACTGTTGGTTGTGGTGCTGGTTTTGGTGCATGCCTGTGTCTGTGTCCATGTGACGATGTAAATGTTTTAGGTAGTCCTGGTGCAGGTGCTTCTCTTGGAGGGTTTGGTGGTATATAAGTTCCACTAGCTAGTATATAAGTTCCACCAGCTGGTATATAAGTTCCACCAGCTGGCACATATGTTCCATCTGCAGCATAATGTCCTACCTGACTTTTCGTTTTTAAGAAAGCATTTACTAGGTCTGTTTTGGTCTGTTGTAACTCTTTTTCTTGACTTTCCACAACAGTTGCTCTAACGGCGTCATAGGCACTTTGAACTGCCTGTCTCGTTGCTGCATCTGTTATTTTCGTCATATTTTGTGCTACTTCTCTTAACTCTTTGTCGAAACCTTCAGACTTCAGTTTCTTTCCAGATGAGAAGTCGTTCACTAGTTTCACCTTACTATGAAGAGCTTCGAAGGCGTTCTTAAAGTCAGCATTCATTAAAGCTTCATTTGAACTGTCTTCATCCGCTTGTATTTTTGTCCTTATTGACCCTATAAGTTGGGCTGCTTTAGCGTTGGCTTGGGCATCTAACCAGTCATTATTAGCTTTTATATATTCTGCGCTTTTCATTGCCTTTTGCATGGCTGCGTCGTTATTTTTACTTTCTTGTGCTAAGTTTTCATACTGTACGGTTTGGTTTTGCAACTGTAAAAGTTTTTCTGCCTTTACATTTGCTTCAACTTCTTTTTTATACTCATCGCTATCCATATATGTCTTCAGGGCTTTTTGTTTTATTTCTTCATCTTTCAGTACTTTATATTGAGTAGTATGGTTTTTCAAATTTATAACATCTTGTTCCATTTTTGCTACTTCTGCTGCTTTTTCTGACACTTTTTTCGCATATTCCTCTGTACTTAGTTCTTTCAGTTGTTCTTCTTTCTTCTTTTTCTCTACGTTTAACTCATTGAGTTTCTTTGTGTGTCTGTCATATTCTAGTTTCTTTTCGTTTTCACTTATTTGTTTCTGTATGTCTATGTTTGACTTTTTGACATCTGTTATTTGATTTTTGAGTGAACTCAAATTCATTTGACTTTGAGGGTTATAAGCTGTTCCGTCTGCAGCTCCACCATAGCCTGCCATTTTCGCTAAAAGTGCCGCTCTTAAACCTCCACTCTGTGCACCAATAACTCGGTTTAAAAGCATAGGGTTGCTTGACATTTGTTGCAACATAGTGGGGTCATTCATCATTTGTTGTTGCAACTGTTGTTGTGGTGTCAGTTTTACTATTGGATGTTTCAATGCTCTCTTCCTCTTACGTATATTCTTACGTAGCTTACGTGGCATTTTAAGTGAAGTTAAAAAGCGGTTTTTGACAGATGTTTATATGACACTTTTTGTTCAGCACAAAAAACTACTCGGTCAACGTGTTGTCAGTTTTGTAAAATAACCGTCCTATCTCATTCTATAAGGGGAAAAGGCTTCTCAAAGTATACTTCCTTGGGACGCCTGTAACTTTTCCTGTAGCGACGATAGACCCTTACTTGTCCGGACAAAGTTATACTAAACATCTTCAGGGCTAGAGGGCACGAAGTGCCTGGAGGCCCCACTACCTTTTTTTTTTTATTTATCATGCAATTCTTCTTGCGACCAAAGATTTGAATAAAAGTTCAAAAAATAAGATAGCTTAAACAATAATATACGGTAGTGTTTACTAATAGATGAATAGTATATAAATTCTATTAAAATGGATTTGATCCAAAAAAATATAAAACCAAAAATAATTGTTATAATTTAAATGAAGAAGTAATTTAAAACGATATTGAGACACTCATGTCAAAAGTTTTATATCTTAACTACACAAATGTTTTCAAAGTGGACATAGAAAAATATATTGAAGGCATAGAGTTTGTGAGTTGCCATTGGACAGAGTTGTATGAAAAATGGAAAGACAAAGAAAACGTTTTCTTTATTTGTGACCCACCATTCTATAACACATGGGATTTTCAATACCAAGTTGACTGGACTTTGAGAGACTCTTTAGAAACTTTAGACTTTATACATAACCACCCATGCTTTTACTTTACATCCGATAAAAGTGGTTTGGAAACCGTTATGAGATGGTTAGAAGACATACATGACTATGAGTTTATTTACGATAAAATAGAGTATGAGAGAGGTCCCATAAACTGGAGAAAGTGTCACAATAAAGAAATTTTATTAGTCAGTAAATGTGGTTTGAAATCGGACTGTTAGTTTTAGGATTTTTCCATTGTGTAATTTATTTATTTGACGTGGCAGAAAGATATAGAGAATATGAAGATGAACCAATGCCAGAGAATGTTCAGCATATGTACTCGTAAGATATATTTTTATCTAATATTAAAATGCAAGGAGTAGATGCGCAAGGTCAACCAAATGTTGCACAGCTTGGAGCACATAACCCTGAAAATATTCCAAATGAAGTCAGAATACAAACTGCATTGGCAAACTATGGTCAAGTGCCGACAAATGTTCAAATGCAAACTGCCATGTCAAATGACGCTGCGTTAGGTTTGCCACCATGGTATGCAAATATGAGATGGAAAGAGTTTTATACAAACCCTGAAGTCGGATATAAACAACTTTATGCAGATGACGCAAATACAGGTTTAGACCCAGAATATTTATTCTATCAGAAGAGAAACAGAATATATGAACTTCAGTTAAAGAATGCAATGGAACTCAGAAGGAAACGTAAAAGACTTGGCGGCCATTAGATTTTTACATATAGTAAAATGGGTTTCTTCAGTAAGATAAGAAACTTCTTCAAAAGAGTTGGAAGAGGTATATGGAATGGAGTAAAAGCTGTCGGAAGAGGAGTATGGAACGGAGTCAAAAATATTGGTAAAAGAGTAGGTCAGTTTGTTGATATTATACCTAAAGACCCTGAACCAGAAGAACAAGCTCCTGTAATACAACAGCCTGAACCTGCACCACAGTCAAGTTGGCAACCACAACCGGTATATTAAAAAGTTATATTTTTATCGTTCGATAGTAGTTGTATATGAAACTAAGTTCTAAGTAAAACGCATGGTATAATGGAATTATTCTTTTTCTTCCATCTGTAGTAAACCATACTTGAAAGTCTGAAATACTTCCACTTGGTGGTTCGTATAACTTTGTAGGTTTTTCGTAAAAGTCATTTGCCAAGCATAAGAAAGAGTTTTGGGCGCCAGAAAATGAAGCATGAACTATCACAGCATCTTGGTCGAAAACATCTTTAAATAAATATGGTTCATCTCTTGCATATCGACTGTAGATATTTGCTAAAGGAGGTTCAACTTTCTGATTTAACATTCTTTGCAAATAATACCATGACATTGCAGTGAATTCTGTATATATTTGTTCGTCTTTATTTGGATTGTCTTCGTAGATTTGAAATGACACTTGTGAATTTTGTTTGTCATATACAATTCTCACATAAAGTGTGCTATCGGTATTCGCATATTCATCAGCATATTTTGCATAACATGAATTTATTTTATCTTCTATATTTTTTAATGCAGTCTGTAGAGAAGATGAGAGGTCAACTTGTATTAGCTCAATTTCTTCCCACATTTTTCGTTGCCCTTCAGATGTATAATCTATATGAAACCTTACAATAAATGGAAAACTTTTATCTTCTACAGACACAAACTTTATTCTTCGAAAGCCAATAGCTTTTGTGACAGATGGGTCTCTTAACCATCTTAATGGGTAGTCAAAACGATAGCCTTCATGCTTTATAGTATCTAAGTCAAACTTTTGACCTACATTAGTAAAAAGCTCATCTAATGGTTTAGTTGTAGCAACTCTTGAATTTTCTTTTTCTATTTCGAGCATATTTTATCTAGAATAAAAATGTCGAAAGATATTGCTTCCATAAGAGAAATACAACAGAACAGACAACTCATTATGCAAGCTCTAAATAAGAACACAACAAACTTTTCAAACTATGCTAAAATATCTGAGTCATTGAAAGAAGGAAACTTAAAACTGACAATAAACCCTATGACAGATGAGTTTCTGTTTCAAGACAATAAAAACAATACTGTTTGTATAAATCCAACAAAAGGACTTTTAAATGAGAAACCTATAAATGAACTTCTTTTGAAAGCAGATGTTGACAATAAAGCTGACAAAGAATATGTCATTGAAAAAGTTCAAGAAGAACATGACAGAGCAGAAGCAACATATGCAACAAAAGATGACGTTGTAAATAAAGCTGACAAAGAAACTGTAGATATGTTAGCACAAACGGTTTCAAGTCATGACAGAGCCTTAATGGAAGACGGACAACATTTGCAAAAACTTGACAAAGATGTTTCAAATAATAAGTGGAAGGTAGACTATTTGAATGAAACCGTAAATGGTCAGAAGCAGGAAATAATAAGAATGGAAGGTGAAATATCTGGAAAAGCTGACAAAGAACATACTCACAATATTTCTGATGTAAATTACCTTCAAGATAATTTAGATATCATGGGTCGATATATATATAACCATACAATGAAGTTTGATGAACTTGAAGGAGATGTTGCTAGTTTAGAAGGCGCTAGCGAGTTGTATTCTCGGAGCATTAGAGAACTTGAAAAAGACACAAAGAACTTAGATGAAACCAAAGCTGACAAAATAGAAACTATGTCAGTAAAACTGGAAAACGGTATAGACTTGGAAACAGAGAATGTATATTTGGAAGAGCGAGCTACAAGTGACCATGGTTCCAAATATACTTTCAAACAAGAAAATGCGATACAAGCAACATTTACATATTTCAATGGTAGCTATGACAATACCAAGGTTATGAAAAAAGGTGAAACAGCAATTTTTGGACCAGATAATTTTGTATATGAAATACTTTACGAATATAAACTGTTTCGTACCGAAATGGCTAACAAAAAAGTGACAAAAAACCTTAAATTGCGCGGCAATTTTAATTAAAAAAATAAACATTAATTTTTGTGATTGATATTATGCATTTTATTTATATTATATAAGATTTAAATTTAGGGGAAAAATTGGAAAAAAATAAGATTGGAAGTCTTTAGGTAAGAAGGAAAGGGCAAGAGATATATAGTGTACCTATATACCTCTTGCCCTTTCATTCTAAGTAGAAATGGGAGAAACTTTGTCCGCATCATAAGTTATGCGGACAAAGTTTCTCCGATTTCTAATGGGAATTGCAGGCTATGAGGCACTGATATATAATCAGTACCTCATAGCCTACAATTCCCCTTATTAGACTTCCAAACTTTGAGTTAATGTCAAGACATTAACTCAAAGTTTGGAAAACTTCTCGTAAGAATCAATCGTCAAAAACCTCGATTGCAGTTATATTCATTGTGTTAAATTTGATTTATTTTAAAATTTTTATAAATTAAATTTTATATAACATAAAGCGTTATGAATTAGTATTTCCATATAAATTTTATCTCGAAAATAGTAATTCTGTACAGTTATATTTCGGTTAATTTTGGAAATTTCTAGGAATACTTTAAGATAGTATGATTATATATAACTCTGCCTTCATGATTTATTTTAGCTTTCGCGCAAATATCAGTTAACTTAACTCCATTATTTGATTTTGTGATGGCTTCACAAAGCCAATCAATATCAATCTCTTCTGGAGAATGTCTTCTCATCTAGAATATTTTCAATACTTTACATACAAACATTTTTATTTCTAAAAAACTTTTTAATTTTTTCTAGGATATATGAATGAAAATAGTTAGAACAAGATTTTGAAGCTCAAAACATTAAAAATTATTAAAGATTTGTATAATATGATTAAAAATGGGAAATAATATGAGGCAATATAAAGGAATATGAATATTAAATAAATATATCTAAATAGAAAGAATCAGAAAAATCAAATTATTGGCGCCAAAAATGTCACCTTTTTGGTGAGCCATTTCGGTATGAGATACTTTACGAATATAAACCTTTGAACTTATATGATATGATGTACCCTGTTGGTTCTGTTTACACTTCTATGAAAAATACTAACCCAGAAATTTTGTTTAAAGTTGGTAAATGGAAGCAGATAACAGACAAGTTCTTATATTGTGCAAACTCTTCAAAACAAACTGGTGGAAGCAAAAAGATATCTGTCGACAACTTGCCACCACATAGTCATTCTGGTACAACAAGTTCTAATGGAAACCATAGTCATAGGGTTTGCAAACAAGGATATAACACTGTTTCTCAGACTTCAATGCAAATTCAAGTTATGTCAAGATCTCATTTTCCAAACGACCCAGTAGACTGGAATGGAATGTGGACAGATACAACTGGAAACCACCAACATACTTTTACAACAACATCTACAGGAAATGGAACAGACTACATGCCACCTTACATGACAGTTTACGCATGATATCGTTATGCTTAGTCGTCATGTTCCACTTCTTTAGCATATTCGTTAGGTGTTGTCTTAAATTTGTTAGGAACTGTCTTTGAATAGACACCACCTTGAACTTTGACAAGTTTGAAACGAGGTCGGACAATAGTCGTTCCATCTTCTGCTTTCAGTTTGTACATTTTGCCATCTTGACCAAGAACTTCATAATATTCTCTTGTATATCTTCTTCTGTTTTTACGACCACGAATACGAGTACCTGTAGCTTTCCCATTTTTAGAGTCTATAGTATTTTCATAAGGGTCATATTTAGGTATTTCAATTTTTACTTTGTCACCTTCATGAAGTTTGAACCCTGGCATTTTTTCTTGTTTGTCTCTCATGACTAAACCTTTGAATATAAACTCTTTTTCTAACTTAGGGTCATTTAACATTTCATTGGGGGAATGACCACCCAAACCTCTTTGCGGACGGTTATTGTAAATATCTATACACACTCTCATTTTTGCCTCGGTGAAGTGTCTATATTTATCGTCATATGACATTTCATCTTTTTCATCGTCTTTTGGTTGGTTTAAGTCTCTCAAAGTTCTTATACATCTGTCATTGACACCAAGGGCAGAATGGTTCTGGTCGACGATAAAATATTGGTTGACATTATATGACTTCAGAGTTAATTTTATATCTTCTGATTTGAAAGAACTTTCTTGGTCAGATGTCAGTTTGCTTGGATGATATTTGTCAATGAATATTGTCAAAGCTGCTTTAACATCTAAAACACCTTTGCTTTGTAATGGTAAGGCGTCACAGTATCTTGTGTTTTGACCCACAAATATTAACCAGTATGGTGGTCCATCTTCTTCATACCTCGGAATGTTTTCCAAGATATCCATGAACCATGCATTCGGAGTTGAACTGAAGATTTTTATCATTTGTGTTCTCTTTATGTCATTTGGAACGTACTCATCCTGATTCGACATTTTTAACCTATAAGAAATGGGTTTATTTGGAGCAATAGCAGGAGTCGCATCTAGATTTTTGCCTGTTATCGGTAGAATAGCTAGAGGTGCATTTGGTGTTGGAAAGAAAATTTTGAGTACATTGGGTATACTTAAAGACAAAGCTCAACCTGTTATACAAACTGTACAGAAAGGTTGGGAAGTAGCACGAGATGCAACAAATCTTATTCCAAATCCTGAGACAAGAGGTAAAGTTCAAGGATGGATGGACAATGTAGGAAAACAAGCAGGAAACTAGTATAACAGAGCGAATGACTATTATAACCAAGCAGGAAATTATATGAACCAAGGTGAAAGATTCTTTAACACAGGATATAACCATGCACAACAGTGGGTAAACAATAACCAACCACAACCGCCTCAAACGTGGAGAATGTAAGGTTTTTTATTGAGATGAAATGAACAATGCTGCTTTAAACAGAATGAGTCATGGAAGACCACCTTTTACACCACGTTACTGTAAAGTTCTTCCTCTACCTCAAGAAGTTTTAGACCGACTTAAAAAACCTAAACAACCAGTTGAAAACAAACCAAACTAAAATTTTTACTGAGATGAAATGACCGAAGAAGTTGAAACAGTAGATTTGGCACCACAAACAAAAAATTCAGAACCTTTGTCAAAACCTGTCAAAGAACTTACAGATGAAGAGAAAAATTCAATAATAGAAAGTGCCAGGTCTGGAAACACAAATCCTAACTATAAAGTCACTTTTCATAGAAATGGAACGGCAAGTATCTCAAAAAAGAAACAGACCCTTACAAATATATCTCCCTCAATATTTGAGATAAACCGTTTTGTCAGTGGAGACTATTAAATAAAATAAAAAAATAGAGGGGGTCTCCGTTGACAAAATGGTTCTATCTCAAATATTCATTTTTCACAAACGAGTGGTCATATCATTTTTGTCTAATGCAAGACCACAGTAGTAGTATGACTGACAATTCTTTACAAAAGCTCTTTAAAGGTCAAACACTTATATCCTCATACTTTACTAGTATGTCCAAAGAGGTTACACAGGTTTCAGTCCAATCAGACTCCAATCAGACACAAATTGAAGCTCAAATTCAACCAAAAGAAACTGCAGAAGTCGAACAAACATCAGAGCAACCTTCAGAACAAACAATAACACAACAAACTACAGAAGCTCAAGTTGTTTCAGTCCAATCAGACACCAAACATACGCAAAGTTCAACTAAAAACTTACACTCCTACAGAACCAGAAGGTGTCTTCTCATTCTCAACAACAGAAGCAAGATATAGAAGACTCATTGCAGCTTATCCAAACAATTTGTCCTTAACAGACAACAATGACTATGATAGATATTTCAAAAGTATAATAAAACCAGTCGAAACATTAGCAAACAAAGTTCAAAACCCGACAGTAATGGTTGACTTTTTCTTGTCGAATTTGCCTTATGTTTCAACTATGATATCTCTTCAAGCAATTGACGAGTTCATTATTTGCTGTGAACCAAACTTAAGAGAACAGCTATATGAAACACTCAAAGACTTTCGTCCTTATCCTTTAACTTACAATTGGAAAGAAGATGAAAACAAACGCGGTTCTTTCTCCTGGAATCTTTCCATTGTTGCTCCAGCTGGTGTAGCTGCACATCCATTCGAAATATATCCAAAATTGCATTACGAAAACAATATGCATATTATAACAACAGCCGCTTTAGATATTCCTGAACGGATACCAGATGGAGAAGAAGTTTCAATAATATCTGTTCAAGCAAACCGAGTTGCAATGCCACTTACAGTATGCAAATTCACTCACTCAAGCAGACAATTCTATCAAAATCTTGAGTTCGTTTTTACTGGCACAGCCAAAATGCTTCTCAAAAAACCAGAACAAACCAAAATAACCATCTTCTTATCTGGTTATTGTGAAGATGAAGACAATTCGGACGAAGAAGAAGAAGAGGAGGAGGAAACAAGCGAAGACTCAGACGATATTCAGTTCATTTCCATCCGTAAAAAACATTAAAGCAAACATTTCAGAATAAAAATTTTAATTTTAATCTAAACAAATTCTTTTCTATATGATGCGACGATAAAATAAACTAGTTTACATATTGTAAACAAAAAAGTGACAATAATGTAAACTAAAAAGTGCCACTTAGAAAAAGTGACACCCAGGAAAATTTGGCGGGGGCGGTCACCCCCAGGTCACGAGGAAAAATCCTGAGCCCCCAGGACAGCCAGAGCGCGCAGCGCGGAGGGTGGAACATTTTTTTTCCCAAAAACATTTGTATTGGTTTTCACAAAGGATTGTTTGAATGATACAATAATAGTATAATTGATGAGCAGAAGGATAAACACCAGCTAACATAACACTGATAAACTTTGTGGATGCAGAAATTAAAAGGTTGTTTTATATTTCATCATTCGTTAGTAAAAATACAAAATAATATGTTGAGCAAGCCAATGGACAAATCTAATATCCATGAGCTTGACCAATGCGTATGGGCAAAGCAAGTTGTCCATGAGAATATGTATAATATAAAATTAAAATCTTCTATGAACTTGCTTATTATAACATTAGAGGAATGTCTTGCATTTATATTTAAGGATGGTTAGCGTCGTCATTGAAAACTCAATTTTTTTTGAAATAATTTTTTCTTGGATGTTTTTTTTTCAAGTTTTTATGTGTTTGATCAGAACGACAGCATTAATTTTATTATGCTTTCCGCATCAAGTTGCTATTCAATAAGAATAAATTTCAAAAATATAATTATTTTTTTGCTTGAAAGTATCAAAAAACAGATATTTATTTATTAGACAATTTTCCGAGTGTAAACTTTGCGATCAAAGCTTCTTCTGCATCAGTAGCATCAAAAACCGCTCCCTCAATAACATCCCTTGACAATTCCCAGTTCGTTGGCAATCTGTCAGTCTTATTCTTCTGTATTGGAAGCAAATCCTCGTCAACTTCATTGTGACCAACCGTTTTCAAGAACAATTTGCGTCTTTTCGTCACCATTGGGTCTTCTTTAGGAGATGGCTCTGGAGGAGGGTCCGGCATGAAGACGAAAGCGTCGTAAGGAGAGTTTTGTGTCTGCGGAGCAACGAGTTCATCGGAAGTGAGGTAAGGAGGGAATCTATTATATTCTCTCTTCTCATTCTGAAGGAGGAACTTCACTTTTTCACTTTCTTTTTCGTATCTTTTGATCAAATCTTCCGAAATTCCAGGATTCAACAAAAGAACGCTTCTGATACTTGAATTAACTGAAACAGCGTTATATATAATATCGATTGTTTCAGTTGTTAAGTGGTTTCCTGAGAGATCTACGAATGCAATATTCGTCATCGACTTCAAAACTTCGGCAATAGGAGATGCGGCTTCTCCCATGAATGAAGAATCATCTCCACGTAAAGAAAGAACAGTTAGGAATTGCATATCGATGATTGAGTTTGCAAATTCCGTAATTTTCGCAGGACTCTTCTCACCGAAGGATTTGTCCATGAAAAGATTGGCCAGCTTCTTGTTGCGACGGATGAAATGCAATAAACCAAGTCTAGATGCATTTCCGCACCATGAAAAGTCAATTAAATTTGAGAATGCGGATTTCTCGAATAATTCGAACAATTGAGCCAAGTCAGCATTATGAATGACCAACTCATCAGCGTAAAGACGCAATCCCAGCTTCCATTCGAAGCCAAAAAGAAATTCAAGAAAATCTTGAACGCAGCTGCGGCCAAATTCAAGTTTGTTGATGTCAAGACGACATAAATTACCTGGAACATGCAATTTCTGCTTGTCTTGAACAACATCTCGACAAAAATTTCCGCTCAAATTCAAACAGCGTAAATTTGTAAAATCGTAAGAAAAAAGCTGTTGTACGACATGGCTGACTTCAAGATTAGCATTTGCAAGGCTTAAAACCGTTACTCCTTTGATGAACCATAATAATCTTGGAAGATGAAGGCCTCTGGTCTCATCGAAGTTAAAATACGATGTCTGGATGCAAAGCTCGTTCTTGAAGAACGCATCTGTGTAAAAAACTGAAAAAGCTGGGTCTACAAAAGCATTATTCAGCGAAAGAGTCTGAATTTGATGCTTGATACCACATTGGGATATTATAGATAACTGGTCAGGGTTTAATTGTGTGTTTTTGAATGTTAAAGCAGTACATTCAAATTTTGCAACTTCCAGGAACTTGATGAACTGTTGATCAAGTGGTATTTCGAATGATAAGTGACAGAATGGTATAAATAACTCGCGAAGTTTTAAAAGTAATACGTCTGGAAGAGATTTATTGAAAATTCCTGAAATACACTTTGAATATGGTTGTAAAGCGAATATTATAGGAATAATGTAGTTTCCCCAGTCAGAAAAATAAAAATTAACTTCGTAATTGTTAATATATTTTTTCAATTTTTCTATATATGCATCTGGGATTGTAATATCTTGATATTGACAATATACACGAAGACGCATTAAGACCGAGTTGCCATCGAACGAAAATTTGTCTTTTGTAAGTAAATCAATGTTCATTTTTTGAGACCAATACGGGCCCATCAAACGCTGTAAATGGCCACCTATAATCTGTGCAATGTTTATGTAATCTGATGTCAAAAACTCAAATTGCGTGTCAATTTTGTTTTTTGTAAATTTTATGATGAATTTTGACTGATATTCAACAAGTGTAATTGCCGTTAAGTCTAGCCAACAAGATTTCTTATCAGCAGTGATCTTTTTTCCTGGATGAACATAAAATAATGAACTTTCAGTGGCAACAATCACTTCATTCTCTTCTTTTCCTTTATTATTGATTTTCTTGACAACTTGTACGAGCAAGACATCTTTTTCATTGGAAAGCCGCTGCTTAATTGCAGAGATATCAATGCTCATAAAATTATCAAGAAAAAATTCTGAGGTAACGAAAAATTAACTCCCCCCTTTTTTTATTTTCTTTACATTTCGAAATAAAAAAAAATATTCATTGTCCTCTGATTTTCTATTATTAGATGCTATTAGAGTTAAAGAATATTACATAAGGGCAGTTGAACTCAATAGGTTTCCATATTCTTCCCTTTTCTTGTGAACATTTGAAAATATCTTTCGATATTGACCTTTTTAATTGATATCTACAATATGTAACACAGTTAGTTCTTCAATTTGCTTATTGTATGTTACTTTATAGAAGAAGATCCAACATTTTACATTAAATTGTTTCTGATTTTGGCATCAAAGCAATACAAAATATGGATATCAATATTTTTTTGCGATTCAAACTTATGATAGTGAGAAATCAAATGAATAGGTGTATAATATTTGATGAATTTCTGTAAATTAACTCTTTGAATGAATAGGTTGTCTTATTCAAAATATTTTCAAATTGAACGTTAGGGTATCAAAAAATACATAAAAACTGAAATAAAAATCACATATTTAATAAAAAACAAAATAAAAAACTATTATTCGAGAGCAGGACCAAATAAGAACTTTTCCATGGCCTGTTGCTCTGCGATTTGTCGAAGGAGAGCTTCATTATTTGTCTTTTGGTAGTGTAATGGAAGAGATCTTTCCATAAGATGTCTTCCAGTGTTTCTCTTGATTGGTTTATTGGCTCTTTCAAGAGCTTGTTCTTTCTTTTCTTGTTGGATTCTCTCCTTCTCCTTTTGCTGCTCAATTCTCATTAATTCGCGGCGATCTTTATCAAATTTGGCCTGTTTCTCAGCAATAAACTTAGGACTTACCAATTCGAGGGCTTTATACATGTCCTCCATGGTATTTTCTATTTTTTCAAGCTTTGCAATCGGAGGAATATCAGAATCAATTTTAAAACAGTTGTAAAATGTTTTATGAATAAGTTCTGCAAGCCTTTTGATTTCTGCAACTGTATTTTCTTCGGATATCTCTGGTTTTGGAGTAACTTTTGAATGAGAAGTTAAATCTCGCTTAGAAACAATTTCTTCAAGCTGTGCAAGTGAAGAATTAACTTCTTTGATGATATTTTCAGTTGGGATTTTCGTTCCATTGATTGCTTTTTGAAAATAATCACATTCTCTTATTAAGAACAGATTTTCATTTTCTATTTGCGTAAACTCATTGATAAGATTATCTGGACTATCCATGAGATGTTCATCATTAAATTTGTCAATAAATTCCTGATAAGTTTTGTAATATTCGAGAGTTTCTTCGTTCTTTGAAATTTCGGAACGCATGATATCATTCGCAAGCTTCTGTCTTTTCTGTTTTTGCTGAAGAGTGACATGTTCAAGCGTAGCAAGTTCTGCAGCTTTTCTTGCCTTTCCGAGTTCTTCTTCGATCTTAGTTGTAAGGTATTTGTACTTCTCACCTGTCTTACTTATTTCTGATTCATCATCTGCAAACTCTTTTTCATTGTCTGATTCTTCTTTTTTGAGACGATTAATTTCTTGAGTTTTCATGTCAATCAACAACTGTGTCATATATACCTCTCGCTTTGATTGAATAAATTCTGTTATTCTTTGAGATCTAGCTTCTTTTCCTTCACGACGAGACATTGTTGAAACATTACTTGAATGGTTTGTAGATCTAGATATCGTTGTTTGCTGCGATTTGCATGGCGGTATCTTTGGTTGGAGCAAATTTGTACGTTGAACAAGCGACATACTTAATAAACTACTCCTTGCTTCTCTCTCGCGCAATACTTTAGCTTCTTTGTAGCCAAACATCTCACTAGGTTGAGTCATTTTAAATGGATTGGTATAAGGACGCATAAATAAAGCAGAACCAGTGGATGAGCGCGTTGACATTCAAATTGTAAAGATAAGAAAATTGTGAGAAAAAAACGAAATCAAGAAAATTTTCTTGAAATAATTTGAAATTCTTATGTAGTGCTAGAATGGGAATATTTTTTAAAACCATACAAATTATCGATAGCAAAATTTGAATTTTGAAAAGGAAAGCGTTTCTTGTGTATAGGAATCTGTTCTCATGGAGTAGATAATAAAGATCGAAATATTGTGAGCTATATTGCTTTTCTTATAAATTTTTAGAAATATAGGATATTTTGGCCCAATATTTTGCATAAATATCTTTTAACACTAGTGTTCTTAAATTCTAATAGGTCAATTTAAATTGATTTACAATCCTCACAATTTTGAATCTTCGTTTTGAATTCATAGTCTATTATCAAATATAGTTATATAACTACTCACGTGCATTTGTGCCAGGCCTAATTCTTCTTGCTTCTGGTATCTTTCATGTTTATTGGTTCCAAAATTAACATTGATGATTTTGTTCTTAATATTAACACATCTCTTTCTATTCATTAAGCATGATTTGTTTCAATAAAAAGAGGGAGAAATTCTGCATTCAATTGAAATTTTGGAACTAAGAATAAACAATTGCAAACAATCCTCTATATATCTCTAACATATTCACAAAGACGAATTTCACAACTTGGAAAAGTGATAAACTCAAATTTAGAGAAAGAATGATAATTGTAAATGTTGATCTAATAAAGAACGAATGTTAGAGGGAGATCAAATGTGAATAATGGGGTACAAAATTGTGTTGCCTTTAGAATTAGATGGCTTGTGGATTAGAAAGAAAATAAACATTCCTATGCATGATTGGATTGGATGACCAAAGAGATATTTTAAATGATAAGAGCTCAAAAAACGATTTTAAAAAGGGAGGGTCAATGGTCTAGCGGAATGATTCGCGCTTCGGGTGCGTGAGGTCCCGGGTTCGATTCCCGGTTGGCCCCAATATTTTTTTTAAAATTATTTTCCAATCCATATTGAATGAATTTTGCTTTTTTCTACGAGTAACTCATTTGACATTACCACAGTCAGTCAGTGGCGATTGATTGCTGTTTTGAAAAATTAGTCAAAAAAAGTCAAAAAATTTTCAAAGCATTTATTTATTATATATTCCTTGATTTGCAGTTAATACTACTTATATATCATATGAATCTTCCTTAATTTTGGTCTCAAAAATTCAATAACCATACAATTTAGAAATTAGTCAAAATTTCTCAATCATGGAAGCTGACTATGAAAAGAAATATACTGATTTATCGGAACATCTGAAAAGCTTTTCTGCATAAAATCTAACGAATCTATTGAAGATATTTGCAACTTAATTTCAAATGTTTTAATTTCTAAGTATCAGCTTTCCATGAGATTAGTTAGAAAGATTATCTTATTTGCAGGACAATGCAATTATGCTTTTGTGGAGAATTATTTCAAAATATTAGAACTAATTGGTTCGAAATATAAAAAATTACAGAATTAAAATCAAAATTACCAAAGGAAGGTTCAGTTGAATATATGGTTATGTTCGATCAAATAGATAAATTTAAGGAATATGTTTCACAAAAAGACGTCGACTTTTCCTTAGATATTATTCATCTGAAAGATTTTGAAGGGCTAAATGATCCGGACCTAGATGAAAGTGATTACACCAATTTATCATTATTTGAGGCATGCGCATATTTTGGATCTGTAAACATTTTCAAATTCTTAATTTCAAATCAACAATACAAGATATCTAAAAAAGTTCTTTACTACTCACTAATCGGACGGAATACAGATATTATTAATGAGTGCATGAAACATAAGAAAATGAACATAGATTGCCTCAGAATCATTGTGAAAACTCATTTCAACGAAATGCTTGAATATACTATTGAACGTGAGATATTTGATTATGGTGCAAATTGGTGTGGTGGTCCGGTTACTTATCAAGCTCCTTTCGAAGATATTATCAAATACCAAAACTTGAAAGCTGTATTCTTGCTTTACAAGAAATTCAAAACAGGAATATTTCCATGGTGTGCTGCATTTCCACAAACAATCGATATTATCAAAAAAGAAAAAGATCTTCCCTATTATGACTACTATCAAAATAACATTTTAGATTACGCTTGCCAATCCCAAAATGGTGAAATATGTAAATTTTTATTAAACTCAACTAATGCAAACGATAAATATGTCAATGAATCCAATGAGGGTAGATTGAGTACCCCTCTTCATTTTGCTGCAAAGTGGAATAACAAAGAAGCCACCGAACTTCTTATTTCGCATGGTGCAAATATCAATGAAAAATATCAAGAAGGAAAACAGCTCTTCATATTGCAGCATGTAATAATAGTAAAGAAATAGCCGAACTTCTTATTTCACATGGTATAAATATCAATGAAAAAGATGATAATGGAGAAACCGCTCTTCATTATACAGCATGTTCTTATGACAAAGAAATAGCCGAACTTCTTATTTCACATGGTATAAATATCAATGAAAAAGATCAAAAAGGAAAAACAGCTCTTCATATTGCAGCAGAATATAATAGTAAAGAAACAGCCGAACTTCTTATTTCACATGGTGCAAACATCAATGAAAAAGATAAAAATGGAAAAACAACTCTTTATTATGCAGTTGATGAGAATCATAAGGGAATACTTTATTGAACTTCTTATTTCACATGGTCAATAAAGTATTTTTCCTTCTCTTCCTTTTATTAAGTTTTTAATACTGATTCTATTCATAAAACAGATTTTTTACAATTGTACCTTTTTACTATAATAAAGTTCTTCATAATACCACTTTCTCATCAAGTTGAGTTCTCATATATCCAGTAAGTCCAAATAGAAGCCCTAACATGGAGAACTGACCTCCTTTTGGCTTTCTGGAAGTAGGAAGAGCAGCTTTGGATTCTATTGCTGCTCTTTCCATGAAGAAAAGGAGAAACTAACACAACAAACGCACATATTGAATTGTATTTTTTTACATTTTTTTTTTGAATGTAAGCGGTTATAAAATATAAATTCTCGGACATACGATTATTTTTGATTCAAATGCTGTTCGGCATTAAAAGCAAAAATAATCATATACCTGAGAATTACACTTCTCCGACATTTTTGTGTCGCTTCGCGCCCCTGACAAAACGTCGGAAAAGTGTAAATTTTCAAAAAAAATTGAATAGTTTTTGTGGCTTGAATTCAAAAAATATAAAATATCCATACACAACAATAGAAGTAAGATTTCATCGACAAATTCCTTTTTGGGAAAATTTTAATTCAATTTTCAGTTTGATAAGAAGTTCAATTTTCCTATTACTTCATTTCTCTTGTTTCTGCTAATGGCAAGCATCCAAGAAGTCTTCACTCACTTCAATGTTGCTCAGGAAAACATCGAAAGACTTGATCATTTTGTCGACATTATCAAGTCGCAATCAAATCTTAACAAATCAATGACAGTTTTAGATTTTGGTTGCGAGAAAGGTTTCCTCGGATTAAAGCTTATTGATGATGCCAAGAAGATTGCTTTTCTTGATCCAGATCCAAATGCAATTTCTATCGCAGAAGAATCTCTTAAGATGATGGGCAAAACAAACTATGAAATCATCAATAAGGTTGTAGAAGAATACAATGGTTCAAAGTTTGATCTAGTTTACGCATCCGTTTCCTTACATTACGTTCCAGATGTTAAATCTGCCCTTACAAAGATAAAATCACTACTCAACCCCGATGGAAAACTTGTTATCATCGAGATCTACCACAAACACTTCCCACAAATTCCAAAAGATAAGCATTTGCCACACCACGGTTTCACTCCAGAAAGTTTAACAGAGGTTGTTACAGAACTTGGATTCAAAGATCCACAATGGAAGGATTGTGGCTCATTTAAGCATGGTGGCCATGATCTTCCAATCTTTTACTTGACAGCCCATATATAAAACCATGAAAAATCTTTTCTAGTAAACACATTATTTTGATTTTTAAATTTCTTTTTCTTTTTTTATGAGTAAAATATTGTTGAAAAGTAAAAATTTACTGATTTTGAAGTTCTACTATTTGAAATTTCATTTATGAATTGTGTATATTCTTGATTTGTTATTTATTCTTATTTGTTTTTATAATTAATATACGTTTATTATTATTTTTTTTGAAGAATACTTTATCATCTTTCTCATTAGATCATTTTTACAAATTCATACTTGAATTCAAAGATTATATCGAAGCTTATGACAATATATACCAGTGTAGTATCAATGACATTGATTCCATCTTTTTGAAAATACAAAAAACTTTGATTGAAAAATATCACATTCCAATTCTCAGAATAATCAATCAAATCAAGTATTTGAGCGAAGATAATGAAAAATATAGGTCATATTACAAGCTCATTTGTGAAAAACTCATCAATGAATATCCTCAAGAGACAAAAAATGTCCATAAAATAATCCAAGAAAATTATAACAAAAATTCTCTGCTATATGCAATTATATTCGATGATATCGAGCAGCTAAGATATCTTTTTTCAAATGATAAAGTAGATGTTAACCAAATCATTGCCGGAAAGACAATACTTGAATGTTGCACCTTTTTTGGATCAGAACATTGCTTCAGATTTCTGAGAAATAATGGAGCACAAATTACTAAAGATTGTGCTAATATGAGCTTCCATGGAAGAAATAGTTCTGTAATTTCAGAATGCATTCATTATGAAAAACCTACTCAAGAAGCAATGGATTATACAGTATTAACTCATAGTGTTGATCAATCACTATTCTTACGCAATAATTTCGATTTATCACTTGATATTTATCCAATCATTACATACAACAATTTCTATTTATATCTAATACTTCTACAAGAGGATATTTCGAATATTATTTATGCTCCATTCTTTGGAATTGAAAATTTTACTCATTACATTCTTAATAATTATGAATACAAAAGCCTTAGAAATGAAGATGGAAAAACTATACTTCATTTTGCAATTTACTCAAGGAACATCAATATTTTAAAAATGCTGTTGAATGATGGAATAGATATTATGATTTTAGATAAAGACAACAAAACAGCTCTTCATTATGCAGCTATGCATGATAACATAGAAATGTGCTCTATTTTTATTGACAAAGGTCTAGATATCAATGCAAAAGATAAATATAATCAAACTCCTCTTCAGATCGCACTATCAGAAAAGAACTTTAATATTGCATTGTATCTCTTAAATCATGGAGCAGATTTTAACATAGAAAATGATCATGGAAAGAATCCTCTTCATTATGCTTCAGAGAATAACTGTATTGAAATAATAGAATTCTTATTTAATCATGGATTCAATCTTAACCAATCGAATTACTTTGGTAAAACAGCAATTGACTACGCAAGACAAAATAACTGCAAAGAAGCATTAGAGTTTCTTGAGTCAAAAGTTAATTTGACAAATAATTAAACTTTATAATAATGATAAAATCCTTATAATTATTAAATATAAATCAAATATAAAATTTTAATGAATATTTTTTAAACGACAAAATGTTTTAAGTTCAAATTTCTTTTGATACTTTCACAAATTACCTATTCATGTGAATTTCCTTAGGAATGGGATTTTTATAAGAAAAAACTATTCATGATAGGATAGATTTATTCAAAAACAAGTAATAAAATTTTTCTTTTCAAATTAAAACAGACTTAGTGAGAGATTGGCCAATTTCGACAAAGTCATCTTCCAAATCATTCTCATCCCAATCAAGAGCTCCGATTTTTGTGTTCGATGGCTCAATGATGTAAAAGAAACCGAAAATTGCACCGAGTGCACTGATAACTCCGTAAAAGATTAATGTTGCAGATTGTCCCATGCCATTCTTCATCCATGGGAACATGAAAACAATGATGAATGAACAGAATTGGTTGACAACGACGACCATTGAAGCAGCCATTGATCGGACAGTGTCAGGGAACAATTCTGGAACAATAAACCATGGAATTGGTCCTAAAGCCAAACCAAAGAAGAACAAATAAAAACAAATTATCACAATTGCAACCCAATTTGTAAGATTATATGACGTATTCATAGAGAAAAGGAAAAGCATAATAGCACATCCTAACGACGAAATGCAGAAAAGTGGTCGTCTGCCAAGTTTATCAACTACAAATCCGTTAATGACAACACCAAGGAATTGGCATGCCATGGAAATGGTCGATGCAATACCTGTTTCCAAAGGAACACCCGCATCTTTGAAATTTTGCACTAAATTTGATATAATTGCATTGATTCCACAGAACTGCTGGAAAAACATCATTGTAAGACCAATAACTAGTTTTTCCAAGTACATTTCTTGGAATAATGTATCTTTTTCTTTACGAGCCAAACTTTCGGGATCAGCTTTTCTTCTGTTTGGAGAAGTTTCAGGGCAAAAACAAATTAGTATTGTTCCGAGCGCAGAAAATCCTATTCCTGTGTAAAATAAAGTTTTCCAAGGAGCATATGTTCCTTGCATGTACATTATAGTAATTCCAATAACGCATCCAATCTGATGTAAGTGTCCGAAGAACCCTCCAAGCTTTGATGGTGCAATTTCGATTAACATTGTTGGACATAAGCTTGTAAAACCACCAATGTCCAATCCAACGAGAGCTCTCGAGAATATTGCAAGCCAGAATTTGTCTTTTGTCATAAACAGGCAAAGAACATATATGCCTGCCGCAAAGATATGTAAAATTGCAAAAACGATTCTTCTTCCAAGAAAGTTTAATACATATGTAACGAAAAATGGACTGAAAATAGCGCATAATGACGTAATTATGTTATACCATTGAAGTTCATTTTCTGTTCTGTTCCAAGATTCGAACAAAGTAGCAAGCGGCGTTGGAATACCTACACTTATACCGAAGTTAAGGCTTCCAAGCATAATAATCAAGCCATAAATCAATTCCTTACAACAAATATTCGCCATTTCATAAATGGAAATTCAATGTTTTCAATTTCAAATACTTTTGAATATCTCTCTCAATTTCTGAAACGACATATTGAATTCCATCGCAATCCATTTTAATTCAGCACAACGTAACAGCAGTTTTTGGTTAGAAAAAACAGAAAACTCTCATTTTGCTACGATCCTTTTATGGTTTAGAAGAGATAATCATGGTGTTCGAGACTATACCCATCATTCAGTAATTATCTGGCAGACACCCATTAATTGTTCGTTCATTTTTCTTTTTTTGAGAAACCATAATAAAATTAATAATTATTAGGGAAAATGCATATAATGTTATTTTTATTATTATTACTGCAATTTATTTATTCAGAAATAATTTTATCAATGAATTGAAAGAAAGATTCAATGATGATCGTGAATTCAATCTGGTGGCATAAAACGAATTTTATCTAGTTTAGTTAAAAGTGATATTGTAATTCATAATTCTAATAACATTATTTTGAATATATCACAATTTTGAATTACTCTTAATTATACTTATTAATTCCTATTGTCTCATATATGTTCTGTTTTTGATATATAATAATTATTCTGCAAATTCTGAAATTTATCTATATTTCATTCACCAAGTATAATAGACTAATAATTTTTTAAATTCTTTTGCAAAAATAGGCAGTACATTATCCACGCATGAAATGTATACAAGATCTACATTAAAATTCTGAAATGCAAATTGATTCAGGACAAATTAGATGAATTCAGAACATAATCAATTATAAATTTATTTCTCCAAGCTAATCTGAGTCATATGCATGCTTGTATTTGTTTTTTAAAGTACAAAATTAAGATCATATTTTAATTGGAAAAAAATCATATTTATTATTATGAAACAAACATAATATTTTTATTCAAGCAAGTTGAGATGTAATTTCTGGTATTGTTGGAATATCAACTGGATATTTCGATCTTTTGTTCTTAATTCTTTTGTTTGCATGAGCAGCAAGCAGAGCTCTAACAACTTCTGCATGTTGACCGATAACAGCAATATGCAATGGAGTGTTTCCGTTCTCCTGTTGTGCATTTACATTTGCTCCAGCTCTAATTAGCTCTTTTACAGCATCTACGTGGCCATTCTTTGCTGCAATGTATAATGGTCTTTCTTTTGCTTTGTTTTCAATTTCAATTTTCGCTCCTTTTTCTAATAATAATTTGATCATTTCAACATTTCCTTCGGAAGCAGCAATATGAATAGGTGCAACACGCTGTTTGTTCTGCGAATTGATCTTGGCACCTTTATCGGCAAGCATTCGAGCACTCTTTACGTCATTTTTGGAAACAGAAATATAAAAAGGAGACAAAAGAACGTTCTTTGAAGGTTCTACTTTAGCATGTGCATTTAATAAAGCTTCTATGCATGCGCTACTCTTAGCTCTTGCTGCAATATTTAAAGGTGTTAGTCCAATTTGGTTGGAAATGTTGACTTTCGCCCCTGCATAGATGAGAATGTTGACGATCTGGGCATTTCCACCTTCACAGGCGTACATTAGTGGTGTAAAACCTTCGGAATCTGGATGATCAAATTCTGAACCTTTGTTTAACAGATAAGCAACAACTTCATAGTGGCCCTGCAAAGCACCAATATGAATAGCTTGTTGTCCAAGGTTAGTTAGAGCATTAACGTTAGACATTGGATGTGCTAACAAATATTTCAAACAATTCATTGAACTATGGACTGCTGAGTGATGCAATGGAGTCCATCCGTTCTGATCTGCAACTGTTGGACTGATTTGATGCTCAATAAAGTTGATCATCGCATCAAGATTTCCTTTTGAAGCTGCTTGGAAGATATTTTCAGGTGCTTCCGGTGGAGGTGGCTTAATTTCTTCAGGTATAGCTTCTGGAACATCATTAACAGGTTCAACTTGCTGATAACAATCTGTATTTTGATTATTTTCTTGAGGAAGTTCACCAGTTGGATATTGCGGTGGAAGATTTTCTTCTACTTCAGGTTTTGCATTCGGTTCAACTAAAAGAGCTCCGTGAATTGATTCAAGATTTGGATCTCCAGATTCTGGAGCCGGAGTTGCAATATTTTCAGTCTGTTTGCTATAGCTGTTCATTTGCTGGCTGTAACTAGTCATCGTTGAGGAAACACTGTCAGATGTTTTAATTGTCTGACGTAAAGTCATGTATGGATTAAAATCGGAGTGGTCATCAACTAAATCTGCAGACTTGAGCTTCGGAGGTTCCGTAGTTATCTCAAAAACGTTGTCTGAATCGTTGCCGTGATCTGAGCCAGAATCGCTGAAAGAAAGCGTATCAGAATCGGAAGATTTCATTACTTTGATACTGTCTATTACATCATTTATTGTCTCAGGAGGATTATCATCAATTTTTTCGGTCATAATTTCATTTGTAGGTTGTGGATCTGTTGTAAAGTAGTCACCATCTGAAATACTTAACATAATATCTGGTTTTTGAGTAATTTTTGTTGAATTTGATTCATAATTATCAATAAATAACTTTAAAACAGGAATATCTGTTACACATTTCAATATTTCTTTGATATCATCTGTATAGTCTCCAGATATCTTCATTACTTGTAATAATTGAATTAAATCATCTTTATTTTTGGAAGCAACATGCTTTGTAAGCCGAAGAGCCGTTTCTGGTGATATATTTTCCGAGTTTGCTGCCATTCTAATAACGCATTGAGTTGATAATTTTTGGAAAGTTGGATCTTTACTATATTCTTGAAGGTTTGAGGAAACATCATGTTCCAAACTATCAGATATACATCCAATCGAGTCCAATTCTACTAATTTAGATAAATCTGACATGGATGTAAAGAGATTTGTGAAGTGTTTTAAAGAAAAAGCTCATTTGCAAATATGAATTCAAGCAAAAGTGATAACCATATAGAGAGAAATCATATTTTCAAATTCCGGTGAAGAATTACTCTAATAATTATTTTCAATTTATTTTCTCGTTATTATGAGTAATTCAATCGTTATTTCATATCATATATACAACACACACAAATAATGATAGACTGAATTTGGATTTAATCGTCATTCAAAGGTCAGAAAAATCCAATGTCACCGGAGATAAAAGATATTGCTTTTTGTTAACAACAAAATTCGTGCGTCAATGATAAATAATTTTGATTTAAGCCTACAATGCTTTATATTAAAATGATTTGTATATTTTTAAAAATTTCTAGCAAACCTGAATAACAAGATAGAATAACATAAACAAAAATATTGTTAAAAATGACTTGCACACAAATTCATTTATTTACTTCTGAGTAACAACACATCATAAAGAAAACATTCTCTCAACATTTTTAAGGATGCACTTACACCAGTAAAACATGGTCTTCAATTTAAGTCTTTATGGTTAGTTTTTAATGGAGCTTCACACCTCAGAAGGACATGTGCCATTAAACTATGCTTCAAAAAAGGAATTTCTTTGAAGCTATAGTTGAAGGACAAGCATCAAATTCTTCTCAGATTGAATTATTAAGAGATCAAAGTAATATTATTAACATTTTTTATTTATTTATATGAAGCATAAAAAGCCAAAAAAGTATCTCTTTAATGAAATATCACAATGCGTGATAACATGCTGTTTTACGCATGGATTGAATACACATCGACCGTAAAATGTTTTATTTGGATATTCACATAGGACATATATTCGCTTCGCGAAGTCATAAATAAGTGAATCAGATTCATAATCACAATATTTAAGACCTGTATAGAAAACAATGAATTCTCTATTATTATAATTATACACAATTTCCCGACTAAGATTTATTGGCTGCGAAATTGTGATATTAACATTAGAATCGAATGCAGAAATGCCAATGTCTATATTAGGTTTCATTAAAACAATACTTTTAATGTGGTTGTCAAGTTGAAATGCATGTTCTTCAATAGATATTATGTTGCTAAAATTTAAAATTCCTGATAATTGAGTACAATTATAAAATCCATATTGGCTTATAGATGTAATTTGATCTATATTGACAAGGTTTTCAACACCAGATCCATAAAAAGAACCATTTTTTATTGTTGTGAAATTGATACAATCAAGAGTCCCTTTCATTTCGTAGCAATTATAAAATGAATAATTATCAGCAAATTCGATTGGAATGTTTGCGAATGATCCTTCCATTTTGCGACAATTATAAAATACACCCTCTGCAAATGATGTGACATTACCAACACTAACAAACTCTGTAAGTTCCATACAATTTCCAAAAGCATATTTTCGAATTTCTATTGCATTCGGAATATTTACTATTCCCTTTAAATTGAAGCAATTATAAAAAGCAAACATACCAATAATTGTAGTTTTCGGTATATAAATAATACCATCGAGACTAGAGCAGTTAGAAAATCCATAAACATCTATATATTCAGCATTAGGAAGATATTTTGAACCCCTTAAATTGTTACAAAAAACAAAGACAGATCTATCTACCGAAATCAATTTAGGCATATTTATAGTACCATTCAAACTCCAACAATAGCAAAATGCACTCCAAGATATTCTTTCTAGATTGGGAAAATCAAGTGAACCAGTCAAATTTGAGCAATTGAAAAATGTATACATACCTATATAAGTTAAATTTGGAAAATTTAGTGTTCCATTTAACCCATAACAACAATAAAATGCTGATTCATCTATTTTTTCAACAAGAGGAAAATTCAGAGATCCACTTATTTTCGTACAATTATAAAATACTTCTCCATAAAAAATTTTAATATTTGGAAGGTTAATAATTCCATTCAAATTATAACAATTATAAAATGCTGCTCCGCTTAACTCAATGATTTTTGGGAAATCAATTGAGCCAACTAAATTTACACAGTTTCCAAAAGCATAAATTCCAATATCTTCCAAATTTGGCATATATATTGACCCATTTAAGCTATAGCATCTAAAAAATGCAGAACCTCCAACAAATTTAATGAAAGGAAAACAAACTTGACCATATATGTTGTAACACTCTGAAAATGCATAATTTCCAACATATTCTAATTTTGGAAAATCAATTTTATCAGTCAGATTATAGCATTCGCAAAAGGCGTAATCTCCTATTTTAACAACATTTGGAAGATTGAGAAATCCTTTTAAATTATTGCATTGATAAAATGAATAGTTCCCGATCTCGATGATATTTGGTGGAAATATAATCTGAGTAAGATTTCTATGCTCATAAAACAATTTATTAGGGATCTTCTGTATTTTAACGAAGTTTGAAAGATTTGCAATGTAGATAAGATTTGGAAGAGATTTAATACCAATAATTGTTTCATCAATTTCTCCTTTTTGAATTGAGCAAAGATTGTGATTAAATACTCCTGTAATTTCATTGTTTGTGATATTTAGATCGCATATATCCATTTACATGTGTTTCTGATGTAATTACATGTGTTCGAAATTTTATTTTGATATCAAAATGCATGTAAGAGCTAATGAATGCGTAAATTATGCTAATTTAGAACAATCGTTATAATTTGCTTGAATATTTTACTTGTATTTTCATTATCGAGTGAAAACAAGAGGCAAAGCAAAAATAAGTCTTTCAGAACTTCAAATTCAAAAGATTGTACTTGATGCTAGCAAAGTAGTTTTTGTGGTGCCGAAATAGCAATGTTTGTAGAGCTAGATGGGTAATCTTTAATAACTTTATGTGATAATTCATAATTCATGCTAAAAATGGTTTTTATTTGCAATTCGAGGCATTTTACCAAATAAAATAAAATAAAATATAAAAAAAAGGCAAAAAACGCTCTCTTTAAGATAATATGTATATCTTTATATGAAGGATTACCATTGTATTGTTTATGGTAGCAATGAAAGTCATCTATCATGTGAAGCTACAAGTGGCACCAACTTTTTGCTATTTTGGAAAAATAATGTTGAGAGAAATACATAATTAAAATTTAACAAGTATAAACAAAATTTTATTTCTGAATCTTTTGAACAGACTCTTGGCATTTGAGTGCACGAGCTTTAACCTTTTCTATATCCGTTTTTAATGCAGCCTGTTCTTTCATTACCTTTTCAGTAAGTTGCTGAATAAGCTGCTTATTATCATCATTCTCAGATTTTTCTCCGAGTTCTTTAATCTGGTTCATTAATGAATTGCATAAAGCATTCACTTCTGTTATACGAGATTCTAATGTTACAGTTGATGTCACAATCTGAACTGCTATCTGATCTACCTTTTTTACTCTATCTTCGAATTGCAATGCCTTTCCTTTTAATTCTCTAAGTTTAGTTTGGAATTTGGTTTGCATATTTAGTATCTTTGTGTTCAGATTCTCGATAGGAACAGTAAGATCAGGTACTTCTATTGGTCGAGCAGAAGATTTCGGTTCGGAATCTTGATCTGTAGTTTTCTCAATTTGCTCGGTGAAGGTGCTTCTATCTAGTTGTAGTTTGATTTCTGATAACCTTGTTCTTAAATCTGATATACCTTTTCTGTTAGATTCGATATCTTCACTAAGAGATTGAAGAGTTTTGTAATTATTTGCTTCATCTGCTGGTTTTGATAACTTATCTATTGATTTTTCGAGTAAATCCAATCTCTTTTGTGTTTTTTCATGTTGAGAATCGAGTGCAGCTTCAAGAGCAGCCAATTTCATATCGTAATTAGTCTCATCACCATTATTTTCCATCATCTTAGTGATATCATCCTTTGGCTTTGTATTTATAAGCTCTTGAACTTTATTTTCCAAATTTGCTTTTGAAGATTCAATGGAAACTTGTAGCTGAGTTTGAAGTCTATTCTCTAAATCATCTAAACTTCTTTGTAATAAGTCTTTTTGATCTTCTTGTTTCGTATTTTGGTTTGGATTATATAATTTATCGATATCTTGTCGTATTTGAATGACAACCTTATTTAGATTAGGCGGTAGTTGCTGTTTCAATGCAGTGATTTCTTTTTCAATGCTTTGTAAATGTGGATATAATCTATTAACTTCACGTTTTAGCTGTGTAGCGTTAACATCACCGGATGAAATTATAGCACTGGAAAGAGGAGACTTTCCACTGTGCTTTTTATTTAACTTTGGTAAACTAGAAGCTTCATTTTCAGACATTTCACTTTCAACAAAAAAAATTATACGTTATTTTCTCCTCAAAGGTAGTCTCACGAAAATACGTTATTTTCCCGATGCCTTGGAAGCAGCTTTGCAGGTTACCCGTAAGGTAACCAGTAGAAGTTTCTGAGCAAGGATGAAGAAGATTAAAGAGCCTTTTTATTGCAAACGCTATATTTGTAAGTGTCTTTGTAGAACTTCTCATAAATTCAAAGATTTCCAAAAACGAATTTTTCGATTTTGATATAATAAATGATATTTAAACAAATTATAGATGTGTTTGCAATTAAAAAAATCCGAGTTAACTACAATATCTTCAATTTTTGTCGTTCACTTTTTCATGTCATACTGATAGCAAGAATACTCACCCAATTTGGTTACACTTCATGATAGTTTGAAGTAAAAAAATGCCACAGTTTTTTTTATTTGATATCGTTATCTAAATTTTGTACAGAAATGGAATAAATTATAATATGAAACGTGTGTTATTATGCTTGTTGGGAAACAATCCAATACTTATGTCTGAATGAAATGATTATTTCTACGAGATTTTTCATATTCAGCTAATAATGCTATCAAAATCAAATAACAATAAAAAGTTATTTTGTACATAATGTAACTTAATCTTTAATACTATATAGAACTTCGAAATACGACTAAACAGTGCGAGTTACGCGATTAAATACCTTTTTTTCGATCGAAACTTGAAAGTGAGGATAACTCAATGGGTAGGGGTATGGGTTCGACTTTTTCTATTGGGCAACTATTTTTTTCTTTTCATTGTTTCAGCATTTTTTTATGCGATTATGCATAATTATTTGATTTCCTATATATTCAATAATAAATTTGTTCCGAACTCTTAACAAATAAATAAATTTTTAGAATATTTAAATTTATAGCTCCCTACATTAATATAAAGTGTTCGAATAGTTCATATATAGTTTCTTTAAAATAATTTGTTTCATTTTAAATTGGTTTGGCACAATGCTTGACATAACATGCACAAAGCTATGCCATTTTAAAATATGTATATCAATCAAGCCGATTAAGTCCATCCTAAACGAAAATCATCGATACTCATGAATTTATGATAGTCGTTCTTGATATAATTGCGCGTTTTAAAAAATGCTTACTTTTGAACACAGAACTTATCTATCCATATTTATCAATGAAAGTTTATAAGATGCATTAATGACAAAACCTTACTTTATCAATATAATACTTATCTTATCGTAAATTTCAAACTACAATACTGTGGGGCAAATATTAAATAACCACTATGTTGCGGATTTTATGTAAGTCTGCAAACTGTAAAATGTAATTAAACACAAATAAAAAAAAAATGTAAATTTTAATCGAGAAATTTAGCAATCTTGAAAGCCTTGATCGGCATCTTTTACAAGATGTCAGTAATGCATATTCAATAACTATGAAAATCTAGCCAAGCATGGATTTTTTTCGAAAAAAAATTGTATTAAATTTCATTTTTCATTCTTTATACAAGTTTTAACCTTTGGTGCAATTATATCCTATCGCAAATGCATTATTGACGTTATTACTTGGATACTTCTTCATAACGCTAAATCTTCAAATTAGTTATGTATTTGTTACTAATAGAAGTTGGAAAGGTATTAAAAAAGGAAATGTTAATAAATATACATGTTTAATTAAAAAACAAACAAGAATAAATTAAATAATTTTATTTCTTAGGAAAGTCTAAGTTTTGTAATAGATAAATTGCTTTTTGTGTCTCTTCTTCATCAATTTCTGGATGTTGATTCTCAGGTGGCGGACTAATTAAAACATCATGGGCAATATCAAACCATTGTTTTAGTTCGTTGGCAGAAGGAAAATGATCTTCTTGTATTGGCGTTATTAATGATTGAAAATCATCAGTTGATTCTGCATTTTGGGAATTTTCCAAATTTTCATTTGGAAAATTTGAATTTTGAGATATTGTTTAAGCACTCAGATCTCATTTTTAAAATATCTGCACCAAATTCTTACATCTGATAATTTTCATGTGTAACCAATGTTTCCCAATCCATTTGCCATACCCTACTAATCGCAAATTCATTCCCTTTAATTTTGTATTAAATTTAAATTCCAATCTTAATTTCTACATTATTTATGCTAACCCTTTAAATTTTGTTCTTATTTATTCACCCTCAGATACAAATTTATTTAGAATGTATTCCTCTGAGGTCTATATTTGTATTCGAAAATAAAATCTTTAAAACTCTCTAAGTTATCATTTTCTCTTCAGATATCTAATATTTTTCTAATGACATAACTACTTTGGACGCATATCCAAATTCCAAAAAAAATATGGAAAAAATAAAAATGAAATTGAAAAATACAATTTTTGATATGTAAAAAGAGATTTTGAAAAAAATTGGGAAAAAGAGTATCTAATAAAATTGTTTGAGATCTATGTAGACATAGTTTTTACATTAAAAAATCAATAATATTGAAATTGATCTGAATATATCTTTTTTTTTTAAGTTTGAATGCATTAATCTCAAAGCATTTGATAAAATACTGGTTTTATTTCAAAATTCTAAATAATTTGTAATTAGATCTTTATGATGTAATTTAATTTTAAACAAGTACAGATAAAGAGAATCATAATAAAGGTGATCTATATTGCTTAAGTAAAATTGAGTATAATAGATCGATCTTAGCAACAAGATCTGAGGAAGTAGATTTGAGAGTCGAGAGTTTAGATCTTAGCAACAAGATCTGAGGAAATAGATTTGAGAGTCGAGAGTTTAGATCTTAGCAACAAGATCTGAGGAAGTAGATTTGAGAGTCGAGAGTTTAGATCTTAGCAACAAGATCTGAGGAAGTAGATTTGAGAGTCGAGAGTTTGGATCTTAGCAACAAGATCTGAGGAAGTAGATCTTAGCAACAAGATCTGAGGAAGTAGATTTGAGAGTCGAGAGTTTGGATCTTAGCAACTAGATCTGAGAGTTTTATCATTTCCGGCATATTGGGCCGAAAAGGAGTGATCCGCGTAAGTATGAAAAAAAGTGAATTTTGTTGTATGGTGTTTTTTATTATATCCGTTTCTCTCACAATTTTCAATAAATATTATTGTTCAAACGGAAATATAAATAAACAATTCAAAAATAAAAATGTAAATGTAAATTGAAAATGTATTATAAACATGCTAAAAAGCGTATATTTTAAACTTAAAGGAAAAATGAAATTCGTAAAAATGAGCATGATGTTTGATAAGGGAGTTTTAATTTTTTTTTCAAAAAAATTAAGGAACTTAAATTGAGATTATCAGGCTATGTAGTGGTATTTTTACGATCTGACTGCAGAAATCGAATCAGCGAGACCCGAAGATTCATATTCCGCCGGAAAAATAGGGTTTCGAGGCGTAGATAGGGATAAAAAGATGCTTTAAGAAGATCTCAGTAGAAATATGGTTTATAAGAGGATATAGGTCAGGATATAAGATTATGAAAATTGAAGAAGTGAATTATCAAGATGTATTTATGAGTAAACTATATTGTTTTAAGCTATCTAAATCTGTTTTGATATAAATTAAAGCGTATACTTATGCAAAATGCGAAATTTAAATTAATACTTTTTTTTTGCTATTTGGACACAAAGCTAACAATCCATCCAATAAATGACGTATACCTAGCGAGATGAAGCATTTTAACATGAAAGACAAGAAAATCTGATTACTTGTGTTGAAAGTTTCTGTATTTCGTCTTCTTCCAAACACAGCGTTCAGATGCAGAAGAAAATGCAGCCGTAATGACGCAAAAAGACACTAAAATAAATTGGAGAATTTCTGTAAAGTTTTTACTGAGCTTTGTTATTGAACCCGAATTTGTTGCTGAGTGACAGGATATTAAATCTACGACATTCATGAGTAATTGTTATCAATTTGTCAATAAATTATGTTGAAGATGGTTTAAATGTCTTCGAAGGCATGAAATTAGATCCTAAATCTGTTTGAGTTAATAAAAGAGAACAAATGTTGAAAGAGTTGTCATATTGCCTACAAAATTTTCAAACATTTGCATTGAGACAATGTGAAAAAATGATGTCCAAAATACCTTTACTAAAATATTTTTAATTTGAATCATAACAAGGAAAAACAATAATGGCAGAATAAGAAAAAAAAACAAAGATGTTATGATTTGAACAGTTGCCTTTTAGATTCAAAAAGAGCATAGTGTTCCCAACCACTACACTACCTTCCTTTCTGATAAAAAGCTGAATAATTAGTATTTAATGAATTCTCCAACTTGGGGATTTGCGGCTTTTCCAAAATCTGTTATGATAGTTCTATATAGCAATTGATATATAATATGTTTTTTATAATCAAATAATTTTTTAGTCCAGATAAATTTTTTAAAATTTCAAAGTCTTTCCATTCTACTAACGCTCTTCACATCCATATTCTTTACCATATATGTAATATAACGCCTTATTTTAATTCCCATGTTTACGATTTATTTGTCGAAAAACTGTCTTGCCCATTAACATCTCGCGAAAATTTTCGACTTTTTGAATGGCCGTTTTCAAGATCTCAAAAACTGTGGGATATTTTTTACAAAGCTAATCGACATTTATTTACCACATATATGTACTATACAATGCACCTGGTTTCATCGAATTTTTACCGTCAGTTTTCTCGTGAGACTACCTTTTTCTCCTCCTTTGAATTTTTTTTAGAAAAAAAAAGTATGTCACTTTTCAAAAATTTGGAGGAAATTTTAATTGAGAGAAACCGTTGTGTCTAATTTAATTTTTTTTATTTCATTTTTCAAAGATGAATAATATGAAGAGTGTTCTTACTAAGTACTCTCCCACATTGCGCCGTGATTTTCTAGCAATTCTTGTTAAGCTTTCTGCCAAAAAGCTTCAAACATACACAGTTCGAAACGATTGGCGAACAAAAACAGGAATGTTAGAGTTTCTACAGCGCAATTGGGATAGAATTAGTAATTTTATAGAGCAAGATCCTGCCATCAACTGGTTTTGCATTAATTACACTCCTTTGGAAAAAATTTTCACAGATAGAAAATTTGCTCTATTTATACAAGATTCCTGGGATGTAGTTGGTAGAATCTTATCTAGGCCAGATGTACTAATGGTTTTCAAGTATCAGATCCCTACAGTTCTCTCTCTCCTTGAATCCAAAATTCCGATCACGATTCCACAAATATGGACTCAATACCAAGCATCCAATGACTTGTTCCATGTCATAGAGATGTACAAAAACGGCGGAGTTCCTGTTTCTCCCCAAGATCAGTGCGAAATTCCCCGATTGGTCACAACCGAGGAAATCTTTTATTCGCCTGATAACAATTACGATCCAAACTTCGACAATTTCGAGATTGACTTCACTGATCAAAATATTTTTGACCAGTGTTTGTTCCTAGATGAATAATGATGATGGTAATGCAATATGCAGAGCAGAGGTTACGTTTCTCCATGTTTGCTTCGTTTGACATACAAATAATTTTATAATTTTTAAAATTTATGTCAAATTGGTGAGATTCCTTTTCTCTCTGGCTGTATATTGATAACTCCATCAAAATGATTTCATCAAAGAACACAATCTTCCTATTTATTCTTTCATTCTTCATAACAAATTTGATTTTTAATTTTTTTAACAAAAAATCATTTTGTGATGGAATGAAAGATATAACAATAGTTATATTTTTACATTTTTTATGTTTAATTATGAAAAAAAGTTTTGATTTTGAAAATTTTCTTTTCTCTTTTTGAATTATTTTATGTTTATTGAGTATTACTACTTCTTGAACCATCTCAATTCATTATTATTCAATATTTTGCTTATTACATAGGAAAGTTTAGGTTGAATAATCATTACATTTTTATAAATAATGTAATCGTTTAAATTCTATGATTTGACTTCTCTCTGGTGCCATCTTTATTCATTATTAGGTATTTAAAATTAGAAGTGGCGCAAATCGCCATTTTGAGATCTTCTTTTAAATTCCTAAACTTGAAATCATATTCATCACATCTGTCTCTCAAAATTTGAGCGAATTGAAAAGTTTACATGTGAAGAATATGATTTCAATTTTATTATTATTCAATATTTTACTTATCTCAGAGGAAAATTTAGGTTGAATAATCGTTATGTATTCTAATTAATGTTATTATTGAAACATCTATGATATTACCTCTTTATGGTATATCTCAATTCATTTATGTTATGTTAAGGGATAACTACTTAGCATGATGAAGAAGTGGCATATTTATATGCGTTATTTACACCTTGAGTCTTTATCCCGAGATTTTTTTAATGATTTTGAAATAGTAAAAAAATAGAGTATTTTGGAATGTTTATTCATAAAAATATCAAGTCAACCATATGGAAAAGCATTTAATATATTTCCGCATTGCAGCAATTGCAGAATAATTTTATTCCGCTTTTAAAAAGTCTCCGGCTCGATTTTTGAAATGGTGTGGATCCATCTTTATCTTGTGCATTGATATCTGCTCCGTGTGCAATAAGAAATTCCGTAATTTCCTTATTATTTTCGTGAGAAGCATAATGTAGTGGTGTTTTATTTTTACAATCTTTAACATTTGCATCTGCACCATGTGTAATTAATATTTCTACAATTTTTTGATTCGTATGAATTGCTGCATAGTGTAGAGGAGTTTTTCCTTCGTCATCTTTTCCATTTATATCAAATCTTTTAGAAATTAATATTTGAACCATTATTTCATGATTGGAAATTGAAGCGTGATGAAGAAGTGACATATTATGGCAATCATTATAATGTGATTTTGCACCATGTGAAAATAAGAATTCAACTATTGATGTAAAGTTAAGACGTACTGCAATATCCAAAGCTTTTAATCCTTGTTGATTTTTTACATTTATATCTGCGCCATTCAAAATAAGTAGTTCTACAATTTTCATATTATTTATTTCTACTGCAGAATGAAGTGGAGTTTTCCCATAACAATCTTTTTCATTAATATCAGCTCCATTCAAAATAAGGAATTCTACAACTTCTTTATTATTATAAAGTCTCATGGCATAATGAATTGGAGTGCAATTGTAGACACATTTAGCATTGACATCTGCACCTTGAGAAACGAGGTGTTTTATAAATTCACTCTGACTATACACTAATGCTGTATGAAGAGCAGTTTTTCCATCCAATTTATTCCTTCCATTAATATTGAAACCATATGAAAGTAAGATTGGAACAAAATCCAAATGTTTCTCTTTAATGGTATAATTAAGAGATGTAGTATTTTTGAATTTGTCAGCCGAAGTAATATCTGCACCATAAGAAATAAAGATATCTATAATTTCTTTTTTGAAACTCTCAATTGCATCTCGAATGTAGTTTACTTTATTATCTTCGATGATATTTGCGCCACTTGATAATAAGAGATTTATCATCTCGATATTGTTTTTTTCTCGATTATACTCCATTGCATAATGAAGTGGTGTTTTTGAAGATAAATCTTTCCCGTTGACATCTGCACCATTCGATATTAAGAGCTGGGCAACCTCGACGTTATTATTCTTAACTGCTTGATGCAAAATGCCTGGTTTGATAATCATTTTTTTCTTAGTTAGTATTGAATATGTAAAAATAACTTCAGCAGCTTCAACACTATTATATAATGCTGCAAGTTGAAGAGGTGTTTCTTCACATTTTGATTTAATGTTCGAATTAAAACTTAGAAGAAATTCAGTAATTTCTTTTCTATTATACATTAAAGCATAATGAAGGGCAGTTTTATTATCGCATTCATCGGCAGTATTTATATCAATACCATGTGAAATAAAATATTTAGAAAGATTCGGCATGTTAAAGATTGTTGATAATACAAAACATTTCTTGATGTCTTTAGTTTGATCCAGATAAACAAAAAATGCTTGAAGATTACTAAATCCGCAACAATTTTCTAGATCGATTTGTAAATTGAATTCATTAATTAAAAATGATACAAAATCAATGTTATGTGAAATAATTGCACATTCCATAGTATACTGATCAGGTGTTTGAAATTTCAAACATTCACTCATGATGTCTGGATTTCCGCTGAGAAATGAAAAATCAAGGCATGTCTTTGTGATTTCACAGCCAAATTCTGTTCTTAGGAACTTGAAACATTTGGTTGATCCATAATAGCAACACATTTCGAGGAATGAATATTCATTTTCATTATTTAATGGATATAAATCACTAGCAAATATTTTATCTTTATTAAAATTTTCTCTTTCAGTGAATGAAACAAAAGATTTTATATCATCCTCCATAATTGCTCGATATATTGTGTTTTCGTCATGAACATCTAATGTTAAATTAATGTAGTAAAAACACTTTGAAAATCTTTGAAATTTCTGGTCTGAAATACTTCCAATTTCTTTATCAATAAAATAATACCAAACATAAGAGTTGAAGTTTAAATACATTGGCTGATATTCTTCAAATATCTGTTTTAATAGCATCCAGTATGATTTCAAATATCGATTATTGTACATTGCTGCATTTGATATTATGTTAATTATTTGTGTTGGTGAAACAATTTTTGTGTCGATTAGTTTTATTTTAAGATCCTGATATATTTTGTTGATTTCTTCTTCATTGAACGTTTTTAGTCTATAAATTGAAATAAACGCATCATTAGGATCTTTGAACAAGCACATAAGTTCATTGTAGTTAAATTCATTCTCATGAGGAATTGCGTATCCATCCAACATCACTAAATGTTTTACAAAAGATATAAGATTCTCTATTCCCATTATTTTTATTTGTAACACCTTAAAAACGGTTTTTAAGGCAAAAAGATGTTGTAATTACAATAAATTCATGAAAACTTTTGATGCAAAGATAAATCAATTTCATGGTACAAAGTATATAATATAATTGCATTTAAAAAGTATAAGAATATTGGGTTTTTCTACAAGTGAAAAAAAGTCATAAACGATTATTTGGCATCCAAATTGACCATTATTGTTCTTTTAACATTCAATCCGTGCAGAGTATTCTTCCTTATATCATCAATTAGATAAAATCAGTGATCATTATGTAACTCAGACTTATAATTGTGGGCTCGCAATTATATGAATCTTCTTGAAAATGTTCTTCATTATCATGATAAATAACATCTCATTAGGATAAACTCATAAGAAAAACAGTGATTATATTTAAAACAGAATTGTAAGTGCAGTCCAAATTGCAATACTTTATATATTCACAATTAGTATTGAGTTTGTTATTCGCCAAATTTAAATAATAGATAAAGTTCTATAATTTTAAATATTGCAATTTTTTTCTTGACATTGCTCTCAATCTAAAATTTTAATATGCAATGTGGAGATTATCCAAAAAAGACTTATGCACTCTCATTTGTAACACATTCCGAAGGATCAAATTATTCCTCTTAGGATCGAAAGTTATGGAAGATTCAAATATTTATACGAGAAACTATCCGAAGTGGATCAAAATTAACTATTTTGCTACATCTAAATACCCACCCTATGAAACCTTGGATATCACTCCAGACAATATAATTATAGATTATTTCCGAAGTCAAACAAAAGATTCATCAGAAACAACTATCTACAAAGGGAAAGAGATGCTTTATTATCAAAGTATATTACGATTCAACAGATTCTATACATTAAGTGATGAAGATATTACAACTTTAGGAAAATTTGCAATGAAACTATTTGTCAAAGACTATGATCGAAAACATCTCAAAGAAATGCACTATTATACAGCCAATGAAATGGGGTGTATCTTTGAAGGAATCATCACAGATTATGCTATTCTTCATAATGCACCAAATGATGCAATTGAATCCATTCAAGAATTTGCAAAAGGAACAAAGTATACAGAAGATTTCACATTCAGCGATGGATTCCTTCCACGCGGAAACATATATAGAGCAGGTCCAATGATTCATTATAGAACAGGAAAATATATTGGAATTCACCCTGAGAAACCAGAAGATCTTGGTCTTGAAATACTTCAAGTAGCTGAATGCCGTTTGTATAAGACGTAACAAAGATTTATAATATAGGGTGTCCAAAGGTGTGTTTAGCACAAACCTGAATACTGCGAATAGAAATAAACAAGTTACATATATATAAAGTTTATTTAAATATAATCACCATTGGATTCAATCACGCGTTCGCAGCGATCGATCCAGGCTTCAAAGACACGCTTTAAATCATCATGAGAAAATTGCTCAAATTGCTCTCTTACAAAATTTTCAAGATCATCTGGACTCGCGAATAAATAAAAGTCAGAGGGTGCAATATCAGGTGAATAAATTGGGTTTGGAACAATTTTGACATTGTTTTCCACCAAGGAATTCATTACCTTATGACTTTTGTGAACTCTTGAATTATCAAAATGAATTGCAAACTTTTGTTTTTGTTGTTTGGATTTCTCAAACTCATCAGAATTGATAATTTGAGTAAGAACATTGTCAATTAGATACTGAGCATTCATCGTATTAGGTTTTTGAAGAATATCAATTGCGATGATGCCATTCACGCCCCAAAAAACCGACAACATAATCATTGGCGTGTCAATTTTTTTCTTCGGGAATGTTTGCGGATTTTCATCCTTCGGGATCCACATGATTTTGGCTTCTGTTGCATATTGAAACCAAGACTCGTCCCCTGTTACTAAAAAGCGAAACTTCTTGGATTGATACGCACCCAATATAGAGAGGAGCTCTTTCGAAGATTGGACTCTAGATTTTTTTTGAACTGAATTAAGGTTGTGCGGAACCCAACGTGTATACGCTAGTTTGTAGTTCAAATAATTGTGCAGATAATAACTGACTGTTGTACGTGGTATCTTTGTCATCTCCTCTATCCTTCTGAGTGATGCTCTTGGGTCTTCATCTAGCGCTTGAAGAATTGCTTTGATTTTTCTTTGATCCGGCGATTTTTTGTCAATTTTTATGATGGGCGCCTTTTTGTTCATGAAGTGATACATCCTAACATGATACGTTACAGTGGAATAGCTGGGAGCATCCATACCGAAGCATTTTACCAATGTCTCGTAGATTTTTTACAGTCTTTGCATTTTTTTGCAAGAGCGAGGATGTTTTCTTTATGATTCATTAAAAAAATGAAAAAAATCCCGCCAAAATTTCCCGCGAAACCGCCTCTTGTCTCAAAATTCATTTTATATCCCGGCATGGCGCCAAAATACAACTTACTCATCATATACATATATTCATATTTTTTATTATATATTTATAATCAGCATATATCTCCTTTAATAGTCTCATATAGAGCGCTGTGCTAAACGCACCTTTGGACACCCTATATTATTTGGACTTCTTCCATGGTAAATTTGCAATTTTCAATGTCTTTATGAGTATTTAGATATTTTTTTACAATAAATTATACAGAAATCAATCCAAATAGCATATCAAAATAATAAAGCTCAATAAAAGATGTTGTAATTAAAAAATAAGTACCTTCATTTTTAAAGGATATTTAATCAATTGATATGAACTATATATCATCACGTGTTAGAAGAAACTTCTATCATTGTAATTAGCCAATAATTTTTGCCGAATTTAAGAAATCAAACGATAACTATTGCTTATTTTCAGAGGGAAATTTTAAAATAAATGTAAGTCTCCCTATTTCCTAATATAATCTGATAACTGATAAACAAGACTGTTGATATCAATACTTGAATCACTATTGAATGATTTTCATGTTCTGATTGAAAAGACTAAAATAGGGAGAAAAAAAATCCCATAAAAAGCATATTTTTTATCTTTTGGTAACATTTCCCAGAACTTTTCCACAAGAATTAGCACCTATAATTTTGATATAATTGAAGTCATATAACAAATAAACTTAACATTTCCACATAAAATATCATGAAATTAATGAAATTCGATTCAATTATGGACTTGGATACAAAACTTAATTTTTACGTTCACAAAAATTGCGATAATAATATAGAAAATACATTTTTAATTACCAAAAGTTGTTTCATCCGCATTGGGAAAATTCCTTGCAGTAATTTGGCTGTACAATCGCATGAAGTAATTGGCAACTTTTATATTCTTAGATGTTCCAGATGCATAAATAAGAAAAACTATATTATATTCATTCGCATCACAACCTTTTGAAATCAAATATTCTGCAATTGGAAGATAGCTGGCTGAAAATAATGCGTTTTTATTTGATTCGTTTGAAATATTTGCTGGAACTTTGTATTTCTCAATCAATTGCTTAACAACCTTGAATGAAGAAGTGTAAACGGCATAATGCAATGCACAACCATTGTCTTCGCCAAAAACCAATGGACTTAATTTCAAATTTGTAATTAAGTAATCAACAATTTCAACATTATCTGTTGTAGCGGCGTATAAAACAAGATCTTTGTCTTTATCTTGTAATTTGTATCCGATTTTAATCACATGTTTAACATATTCGAGATCACATGTAAGTACTGCTTGTCTTAATATAGTTCCTTCCTCTTTAAGGTACTGGAAGGAATTAACATTGTATTTTGCAAAATCGCGATTAGTTTTTCCAGCTTTTCTGATTTCTTCCAATAAGAAATCTAACAAATAAGGTAAACGAAAACTTGTTACATTATATGACAATGGTTTGATCGCGTATTTGAAGTAAAAAGAATATAAATACAAGAAAATAGGTAAACTTGTATCAAATTCGCCAGAATAAGCAAGATCTTCCATATTTTGAAATTTATTTCCATTTTGTTTAACTTTGTAATTATCCATGAAATTTTTAAAGAAATTAAAGTTCAAAGAAGAAATTGCAGCATTCATTGACCATTTATCATGCCTTTCAACTGTCTTGGATACCTCATTTACCAATCTTTGGTTTCCTGATTCAACAGCATAGTAATAACATGTATCAGTAACTTTAGCTCCTTTTAACTTTAAATACAAAAAACATTTAAATGAGCTCCATTTGCAAGCAAACTCAATTGGTGTATTTTTGTCTTCTTTGTCGCTGTTTAAGTTAATATCAAAATCTGTCATTTTCTTAAGGCTTTCGTAGTCATCATTAATAATGTAATATTTCCAGATTTTCTTTCCTTTTCGATACAAATATTTCTCTTCTTGGTCGATTTCTGGCATCTCTGAATTGGGTCCAGAGAAATATGATTTAATGTATGGTATTTTGTACTTCATGTAGAGTAGAACTAATAAATTCTTGTCAATGTAGTTATTGTAAATCGGGAAGTGGTAATGTTCGTATAATCTAAACAAAAGGTTTCTGTAATTAACTAGATTTTTCGCTTTTTTGGAATAAAGATTGATTCTACTGAGAACAAACGGAATTTCGATTTTTAAATTTGTGATTCTTTCCATAATTAGGTCAACGTTTTTATGAATGTCAAGCTCTTGGATCGGTGTTTCTAATTCTATGTAAAATTGGAAATGAATCATTCTGATTTTTCTATTCTTCGAATAAAATATCTCGTAGACTCATTTTTTGTCACTTTTATCATTGGTCCATCAAAAATGTCAATAATTTTGAATTTTCATGATAATTATCTTATCACCACTGAAGCCTATATGGAAGCATATGGCGGTTTTGGAAGAATTTCATTAGGGATGCATCATAAATAAGTTCAATTCCAATAAACCCAAATTGGGAAAGACTTGCCTATGATCAGATTGAGAGCAATTATTTTAGTTGTACGTAAATTCGTATGTTCTTGAACGTTAAAAGCTTTGAATTTTTTTTTTTGACATAGTTTTCAATCTAAAATTTTAGTATGCAATGCGACGATTATAAAAGATATTATCCAAAAAAGACTTATAAACAAATAATTCTAAAATATTTATGCACTCTCATTGGTAACACATTCCGAAGGATCAAATTATTCCTCTTAGGATCGAAAGTTATGGAAGATTCAAATACTTATACGAGAAACTATCCGAAGTGGATCAAGATCAATTATTTTGCTACACTTAGATATCCTCCTTATAAATCTTTGAATATAACTCCAGACAATATAATTATAGATTATTTCCGAAGTCAAACAAAAGATTCATCAGAAACAACTATCTACAAAGGGAAAGAGATGCTTTATTATCAAAGTATATTACGATTCAACAGATTCTATACATTAAGTGATGAAGATATTACAACTTTAGGAAAATTTGCAATGAAACTTTTTGTAAAAGACTATGATCGAAATCATCTCAAAGAAATGCATTATTATACAGCCAATAAAATGGGATGTATCTTTGAAGGAATCATCACAGATTATGCTATTCTTCATGATGCACCAAAAGAAGTGATCGAATCCATTCAAGAATTTGCAAAAGGAACAAAGTATACAGAAGATTTCACATTCAGCGATCAATTCCTTCCAAGACGCAACATTACAGCTGCTCCGATTATTCACTATAAAACAGGAAAATATATTGGAATTCATCCTCACAAACCAGAAGATCTTGGACTTGAAATACTTCAAGCAGCTGAATGCTGTTTGTGTAAGATGTAACATTGAATTAATATATTATTGAATTCATTTTTTTTACAATTTTCAATATGATATTATAATGAAATATGCATAGTTCAATCATAATATCATATAATGAAAATTAAACCAAAAAAAGATGTTGTAATTTTTATATCAAGTTCACTTCAATATATTTTATTTGTTCAAGGATGATCAAGATTAATTTAAAATTATTAAGGTTTCTCTTACGACTTTTTGACATGCTATCATAATGTCAATATTTCTTTATTTTTTAATTGCCAAAAAATTTAACAGGCAAATTAAGTACTACTCAGAGATTTAGAATATGTTTTTCCTACCAAAAATATAAAGAGAATGTCCAAAAGTAAGAAGAACACCCACAACAATATCAGAAATCAAACGAAAGATGCCAAATGGCTGGAAATTCATAAATGTTTTTATAGTTATTAAAAATGGGTTTTACATGAGGTGCAAAATGTGATAATTGAAAAACAATATTTTAATAAACAAAATATAAAAATAAAAACAATAAAAGTAATAAAATTAATGTCGTGGAATTGTCTTGGATGTGAAATTAGGTTTCACAATTGTCTTCTTCTTAGCTTGTGAAGAAAGTCTCGACATGGATCGTTGTTTAGTGACATTCTCCATCATTTGAAGAACTTCTTGAGGTTTAGATGCCTTTTGTGATTCAAGTTCTTCGATTTGTTTAGCCAAGTCTTCATTTTCTTGTCGTAATCGGATGTTGTCATCTGAAAGTCGCTGTGCGATTTCTTCAAGGTTGTATTCTGGTTTGATGGACTGACTCTGGATTCCACGCATCGACTGTGCCATCATTTGCTTCTTCTGAGTGCGCTTAGTGTTAAGAGACGAAATAGTTCGTCGAACTGTAACATCGGCTTCTTTTTCAAGTGAATCCGTTTCTTCTCGAAGAGATTCGAGTTCTTCTGTTGCGGCATCAAGTTTTTCAACAAGACTATCAATGTCAATACCTGAATCATCATTGAATGATTTGATTTTCTTGTTCATCTTTTCAACAACTTTCATGTTCTTCGCCTTCCAATGAACTAACTGAATGTTACTCATCTTTTCATTGTCAAGTTGTTGGGACAATTTAGAGATTTCTAATTCCGTTTCACAAAGTCGAGAATGCGCTTTTAATAAATCACGTCGAAGTTTTTCTTCTTTGTCTTCTGCTTGAAGTTTCTTGTTCCACATCTGACCATTAGCAATTTTACGTTCTTCTTCTGCTTGTTCGATGTCTTTTTGACGTGCTCTTGAAACTGCAATACGACCAAAAACTTTCATGATACGAACTTTAACGATATCTTTTCGCATATTTTCATTAAAATGCTCGATTCGTTCTAAGATCTTTTTGTGTTCACAATCTGCTTTGTTCTTACGTTCTTCATCACTTTCGTTACTTTGGTTACTTTGATTCATGTTCATAGCAACTTCTTTCGCGGAATTAATCTTCTTGAAAACATCATTATAAACTCGTCGTTTAACACCTGTGAAGTTGTTCTTTCGCAAGAATAACTGTTGTTTCAAATCATTGATAAGACGATCGAAATCATTTTTAGTATCTTCCCTGATTTCTGATTCTTGATTTTGATATTGTTGTTCAAGTGCACAAACTGCGTTTCGAAATGTATTAAGTTCGATGAAACCATCATGGATCTCAGTACCAATTGTAGCATCAACTTGTCTAGTGAATCGTGTTGATGCTAATTCCGCAACGGTGTCAACTGTTCGAAGAATAGAATTGTTCTCTTCGATCTCTGATGATGAGTGTTTGATGTATTTGTTCCAATTTTGTGTAATTTGGTCAATTGAGATTTTAGCAAATTGTCGCAATTGATGACTAAAACTAAGTGCTTTCTCTTCAAAGACTGTTGCATCGAAAACTTGTTGATTATTAACAATTGTGGTGGCTTCTTCACTGACAATTTTGTTTAAATTAACAAGTTTTGCAAGTTTGTATTCGAATTCATCATTGAACTTTTTGTCAATGATCTGTGGTTCATCGGATAAATTAATATCTGGAATATCAAGTTTTTCTGTTCCTGGTGGTTTATCTGGAATTTCTAAATTGGACAAATCATCGATTTCCTTGTTTAATTCGTTGATTTGTTCAGTAAGAAGCATAAGATCGATATGGTTACGGACAACATCGAAGATTGCTTGTGCAAGTTTAGTTTCTGGAACACTTTGGATCAAACGAGAAGCAGATGCATCTTTCGGAGCTAAATGTTCGATAGCTTTTTTAACAATCAACTCATTCCATTCATTCAAGCCACTTGAAAAGATGGATAAGTTCATTTGACGAACACTTTCGCGTGTATCCAAAAGATTTGCGTCGAAGTTCTTCAAAAGAAGGAAAAATGCAAATTTCATGTGCATCTGGGTGATAGAAAGACTCAAGAAATCTGTGGCACCTGCAATGTTATCGAAACATGAGCGGACATTGATAGAATCACAAACATATTTATCAACCATTTGTAATCGAGTGTGTAATTCATCACGGTCGCTTTCGAAACATGTGTAACAGAACTCTTTCTCCCAATTAGGAACATATCGAAGAGATGAAATTAAGCCTGATGTTGATTCTTGTTCATTATGCATAAGAAGCCACAAATTTTTAAGTTTTTCACCAAATTCGGTGTCGGCAACTCGTTGGCCTTGCAAATCTAAGTTTGATGAGATGTAGAACTGTTCAAGACTTGTTAATACTGCGTATTCGAATCGTAAAAAGAATAAGCGTTCGAAATCACACATGTATTTTGCAGAAATTTCAACTTCCCGTGAATCTGGCATTGATTCTAACTTACTTCGGATTAATTGGAACATGGGTGTCTCAAGTTTGAAGTTCTCGAAATACATAGTAGTCAAGACTTGAGATGTTCTCATCTGTAAACTTGATTCTTCACGAACAATGCAGAAAATACGAAATCGCGCAGTAATGTACTGTAACAAACTCTTCAAAACCATGGATTGACGAGCGTGTGGTGAGTTTTGAAGCATCTTGAATGTTTCAACCCATGTAGGAATGAACATGAAACGTGAAAAATGACCATCTTCACCGATCATTTCTTGTGAATTATCTGGACCAAGGACATATGTGTCGGCAAATGAGTTTACTGTTAAATAATACTCTTCGAGTTTGCAGATCCTTGCAATTTCAATACGATATGCGAAGGGAGCAAACGCATCAAGCATTTCGGATGAATAAAGATCCAAAAGTTCGGTAGTAGACATTGATTTCTGCTTGGCATGAGCTGATAAAATAGTACGAGACTTAGATTTAGTAGTGTGCACTGACAAAATGTATGAATTTATGTTTTCACTTGCAATTTTGTAGTCTCTGTATATGGAACTTGGATTATAAAATAGCTTTGTGGCAATCTGATGAAGGATCTGTCGTTCTGGAACGTTGTCTTGTGAAACTGAACCAGTCATGAAGATATCATAATCTTCTGCAAGCTGGAAATGGTTAACAATCTGTCTGGCATCTAATATGAAGGAGTTATAACGAACAGCAAGCTCCAAAATCGTGTTCTGCATCTGTTGGAAAATAATTAATCGTTTTAAGATCTCGAAATCAGCTGCAAATATGATATCCTTGACGAATAACTCATTACTAAAGTCAATGTTTGCATTTTCGAACTCTGTATAAGCGAATTGGATTGTATTTGACATTGTCGGCGCATCTAAGTCAATAACTTCGGCGTTTGACACTTCCATGAACGGATTCATAAGGACACCAATATCAGTGATACCAAGAGACTTGCATTGGTTGAAGTATGCGTTCTGCATAATATCTGTTCTTATTACAGAGGTTTGTAAGTGCCATGCATACAAATAAAACCTTCTCATGGATACCATGAATCGTAATTTCCTGCTTTCGTTCATATTTGTGATCAATGAATTTCCATAATCAAATTTATTAACGAAAAACGAGGTAAATAACGAACCAACGGATTCAGAAAGAGGGAAGTTAAATTCTACGCTCGATTGGTCATAAGGGAAGAAGCCTTTTTTGGTCAAATTCAGAATCAAGTCATTAAATTCGTTCCAAATTGCCAATTCCGTGTAAACATGGAACTTGGAGTGTCTTATACCAATTGCTTCATCAAAATCTCTTGCGAGATTTGGAACAATTTGATAAAATTCACTTAATTTTTCTAAAGAAAAGTAAACTTCAAAAATTGAAGTAGGAATTGCTTCAACAAAGCTTCTGTGAAGGAGTCCGCAATCAGGGATAAGTATAGGGCGATCGAATAAAGGTATAGTACCCTTCATTTGATAAGAAAAGTTCCTTTCTTGCAAGATTTGCATATTTAATAAAAATCTTAAGACTTTTGCTTTTGCTTCCAAGAGATTAATTTCCTTTTCATAAGGTGCTTCATATGTTTTGTGCAAAGGAAGGTTCAAAACTGGTTTTTCGCTTGCAATTTCGTAAATAATTTGAGCAATTGCGTCAGAATGAGTATGTTCGAACACTTCCATAAATATTTGGACCAAATTCCTTTTAGCCATGAAATATCTGAAGTTCATATCCAATAAATTCTCAACCATCGCATCCCGATTAATTATTGGGATTTCTTTCTTGTTTTCTTCGATCAATTTGTGTTCTGCGTTCTCTGTATAATAAGAACCGATCAAAACCAAGTAATTTTTGAAAGTTTCGAACTCATCAACTGCGGATTTGAACAAAATTGGTTGTCCCTTGTAATTTATCGTTATTATATGCTCTAGATTAGGATTACATGATATTGTGTAATCCCTGTTATATGAATCTTGTAAATAATACTTAACGTACTCAAAATAATTTATCATTGCGAGACAACACATCAAAAGATACTTTTCTCTAGTGAATCTTAACTTAAACCATGCAGATATTTTATGTGTAGCAATAACATTCCGTTTTACAACACCTTTGACCGTATTTCCAACACGATTATTATAATTATTCGTTTGTTCAACGAAATAAGCATCAATTTCGTTTTCTTTGTATGTAAAACGTTTGAAAACATTCTGTAGTTCAATATCTATTGTTGTTTCGCTAATTCCGGCATCTTGTGTAAGTAAATCCATATTTGGCGGAATTTGTCTTTTGTTTATCTCTATTTCTTGAACAGGATACGTCATATAATCCAGTAGTTTGAAATATTTCTTTAGATTCTTATCAGTGATGTAAAGAAAGCCTTGTCCGTCAGCAGAATTAATATTAGAGTCTAATTGGAAGAAATTGGCATATTTGATAAGAAAAGTGTCAACTGTAGCTTCGTCTATTGGATAATATATAATTGGTTCATGTGTTGAGTAGTTTACATGGAATTTTTGAACAAGATCGAAAAGACGATTATAAATTTGATCTCTGATGGTAATAGGGAATGTTCTGAGTGTAGAAAGTAAGACTTCGTACATTGCTTTTCGATTTCTTGCACAAAATGTAGCTTCCAATTCAAATTGTAGGTCTGTGGTTGTTAAATTAGTAATTTGAGTGCACTGTAGCCTTGACAAACTCTCTTGGCATTGTTCAATGTATTTAGATACAGATTCTAAGAAAATTAATATTAATGGATGCGTTTGCATAACAATTTCGATGTTTTCACAGCGTTTTTCAACGATATTTTTCAGTTTCGTAACGCGTACGATTTCATTCGAGAAAAAATCTAGTAAAGTTTGTCGAGAATCAGCTGGAATTTCACAATCTTTTGTCGGTGAGTTAATTATTTCTTCCGCAAAAGTTTTTGCGTTTGGTATCGGATAAGGATCGTTGAATTTTAGGAGAAAGGAATCTCTTTTTGAGCGATAATCCAACATTGATTTGATTTCAGGGATCTTTTTCTGCAAAGCAACTATCTCAAATGGACTTAACTTGGAAAGCTGGGCCTCAATAACTCCATTAAGTTTTTTAACAAGAAGCTCAAGCCCTGCTTCTGAATACTCCATTCTCTAAAAAAACACGTTATTTATTTTCACATTGCTTGTTCTATAAAACTTTATATGGATTTATAGCGCATACAGTATAAATTCATCAAAGTTATGTATTCACCCGATTAAATTTGTTCATAGAGACCAATTGTTCAGCATAGGCTTTCAAAATTAACGTGAGAATTATACAATTGAACCTTGAATTATCCTGGCTGCTATAAACTACTCGGATGGAATGACTTTTTTAACGATGAAAAACCTAATGAGATTACTACCCCTGTGTTTATTGCTGAATCCGAAAAAACATATGTACATTATGCAATATTTAATAAATTTAAAGCTAGTATTATTAGTCTCTCTTCATTATATACAAATTTATTGGTTGAAGACTGCATTTTCAATGATCCTATAACTAGTCAAAGTTGCGGGTGTGTATTCAATCTTGAAAATATTACCCAAGAGTCTAAAATTGTTCAGAATAGAATTTGCTGTCTGAATCCTGTCAGTAATTCTATGACCGAACTAGGGATTTATTCTCATATTGACGCCACAAATTTGACATATGTTCAAATGCAATCGAGTTCCATCAATAACATTAGCGGTTATTGCACGTGTTTTTATCATAAAGCTTCACAAAAATATAACGATTTAAACATTTCAAAATCGGATTGCGAAATGGATCCGGTTTTTATGATTGAAGATGAAAATAACAAATTAGAAACGAAAATAAGCTATTGTAACTTTGACGAAAGTGCTTCATATTACAGATCATTTTATTTTTCCAAAAATAACTTTTTGATTGATCACTGTGTTATCCAAAATCATGAAGACAAAATGAGATATGCTGACAAGGTCAATACAGGTGTACTATACTTTGATGAAGCTGAAGGAAAGAGAGCTATATTTTCTAACTGTTATATTGCAAGCAATAAAGGCAGACTTATAAAGTCTAGAGCTAATAATTTCCAATGCATGATGGATCATTGTTATCTTTATAATAATAGTGATGCAAATTCATGGTCGGAGTTCTTCTCGAATTCAAGTATAAGTTATTCTAACTTTACACTAGATATTAGAGTTGAATGCATCTCAATAAAGCCATTTTACGAACAACCCCCTACACCTTTGGTTCGTAGGTGTGTACAATTTCTCAAGTTTTCAAAGCTACGATCTATTATGATCGCTATCTCTAAAAGTATTAAAAACTGAATAAATAATTAAAGGTGTAATTACGCCCATATGACAACGATTGTGAAACAAAAGAATTGAAGGCCATGTCATACGGACAAAAATTTATTTCATATATATTTTTGGAAAAACTCCTCTTCAATTTGTAGGATATTACAATTAGAAACAAGTATAAGAATTTCAATAATGTTTCAAGGATTAGTGTGGAAATAGAAATGATATTAGTATTCTTTTTTTATGAAGAAGATTTCTTTCAACACAAAATTTAGATTATTCAAAAAATATTGAAATATAAAATAGTAAAAAATAGTTTTATGTTTGGTAAAAATAAAATATAAATTTAAACAGTGTAGAGGATCTGTGTGTAAGTTGGGATTGGCCAATCATCCTTTCCGACGATCTCTTCGATCTTATCGGTTTCCTTTCTGATCTCAATCATTTGTGGAATGATCTTGTTGTACATGAATTCAGCCTTTTCTTTGTTGTTTTCAGATCCAGCAACTTGAGCAATTAAACCTTCAAGATCCTTAACTTTTCTGTCTATTGATTCAATTGCTGTTTGCAATGTCTGAATTGTTTGCAACAAAGTGTTGTTTGTGAATCCAGCCTTCTTTATCTTGTTGAATGAATCAGCGACTTTTCCTGTGTAATTAATAATTGCAGGTAAAATTTGTCTCTTCATCATATGCAACAATGTTTCTGCTTCAATTGAAACAGATTGGATGTAGTTTTCAACACGAACTTCGTATCTTGCGAGACATTCTTGTTCTGTGTAAACTTTCATCTTCTCGAACAACTCAATGTTCTTCTTATCCAACAAAGCTTCAATAGCTTGAATTGTGTTGTTAATAATTGGTAATCCACGCTTTTTAGTTTCTTCAATCCATTCACTGGAATAATTATTTCCATTGAAAATGATTCTTCCGTGTTTTGTCATTGTTTCTTCAATGAGTTTCTGTTTCTCAGCATCTTTATCTGCAGCTTTTTCGAGTCTTTCTGCGAAATATCCAAGAGATTCTGCAAGTGCTGAGTTGAGAATTGTATTGACAACAGCTAATGATTGTGATGAACCAAGCATTCTGAATTCGAACTTGTTTCCTGTGAAAGCCATTGGTGATGTTCTGTTTCTATCACTGTCATCTAATGATAAATCAGGAATTGATGGTAAAATTGACATTTTGCCTTTTTCACGCTTTGGTTGATTTGGATCTGAATTTGCTGCTGCCAAAAGCTGGGCTGTAATTCCTTCTCCAAGGAAGCAGGAAACAATTGATGGAGGAGCTTCGAAACCACCAAGTCTCTGGTCGTTTGAATGTGATGCTGCGGACATTCTGATCAAATCTCCATATTTGTCAACAGAACGAAGGAATGCGCAAAGAACAAGAAGGAATAAACCATCATCTTCGGATTTGTCACGTGGTTGAAGTAAGTTTACGCCTGTATCTGTGCCAATACTGTAATTGTTGTGTTTACCACTGCCGTTTACACCGGAGAATGGTTTTTCGTGGAGAAGTAAGGCCATTCCTTTCTTCTTGGCAATTGTACGCATTAATTCCATTGTCATTTGGTTATGATCAGCTGCAATGTTGACATTTTCGTAAACAGGGGCAAGTTCGTGTTGCGATGGTGCGACTTCATTATGTTTTGTCTTTGCTGGAATACCAAGTTCCCATAATTCGTGGTCGAGCTGTTTCATGAAATCGGAAACACGAATCTTGATACCGGACATGTAGTGGTCATCAAGTTGTTGGGCCTTTGGTGGTCTGGCACCGAGAAGTGTGCGACCACACATCTTGAGATCAAGTCTTTCTTCGTAATGTTTTCTATCGATTAAGAAATATTCTTGTTCTGCACCTACTGATGCTGTGATTCTCTTTACATCCTCTTGACCTTTGAAGAACTTGATGAACTTAAGACCTTCTCTGTTAAGTGCTTCAATAGATCTGAGCAAAGGAAGCTTTCTATCGAGGGCATCGCCATTGTATGATACGAAAACGGAAGGAATGAATAATGTGCCATCCCTTACAAAGGCTGGAGATGTTGGATCCCATGTTGTGTAGCCTCTTGCTTCAAATGTGGCTCTTAAGCCACCAGATGGGAAAGATGAGGCATCTGGTTCGCCTTTGACTAATGTACTTGGTGGGAATTCGAGAGTAGATTCGCCAATAGCTGTTGGTGTAAAGAATGAATCGTGTTTGCATGCTGTAACATCGGTCATTGGTAAGAACCAGTGAGCGTAATGTGTTGCTCCATTCTCAATAGCCCATTCCATCATTGCTTTTGCAACATCTGGAGCAATAGAGTTATCTAACGAGCTTCCTGATTCAATTGTCTTGAGATAGCTCTGGTAAATCTTCTTATTAAGCCTCATTCTGATAACAGCCTCTCTAAACACCTTGGAGCCATAGATTGGTTTTAATTGGAGTGCTGATTCCATTAGATTTATTATCCAGAAATGAAATAAAATGACTCAAAAACGAAAAGCTCTCAATTCCTGACCAAATTAGCTTTGAATTCCGAATGTTCAATTCAAATTTTGCGAATGAATGGATAAATTAGAAATTTTAATATTAGCTACCAATACAGAAGTTTTTATAAATCATTCTGTCAGAAAATTTGACTTGTTTGATTCTCGGTGAAAATCAACGATAAAGAAATTCTATGAGTTTACCCTTATACTTTTTATATTCATCAGATAAGATTAAGGTGATTATATTAATTATCATATTTCATATCAGATCAACATTTCATATCCGAATTTAACTCTACTAGTATGATTTAAAGAGCTAGAATGCCAGGCCTTAGATTCAGTTAAAAGGTTTGAAACAACTGCTGCCATTTAAAGAAAAATATTTATGATCATATGCAATGAAGTTCATTACAGTTTCAATTGAATAATAATCTGAAAGTTTATATTTCAAAGTGTTAGTTCTGCATTTCAATTAGCAGGCAAGCAGCAACAAACAATCATTTGATTGCATTTGCATTCTAATTGCTTTATGTAGATATCGACATCAAACACACTACAGTACAGTTAAGTTAGTATTGAGAAATTGGAAAAAAATTCCTCAAAAAAAAAATACTATTAAAATATCTGTTAAATTTCAAATTTTTTCAACTTCAATGGTTGATCAAATGAGAGAAAATTATTTTTCGAGAAAGATGTAGCTTCCTGTTGCAATGTCCTCTTAAAGGCTTGCATTAAGGGTGCCCCGTATGTACGTTTATTTGAGAGGAGGAGGATTACCCTCTCAATTTTGAGGGATTCGTTAGTTTATTTTCTCGATGAATATGCAATAAAATTTGATTTTTACCTTATCAATATACTTCATATAATATACACATGTTCATGTAAAAACTTTTTTCCAAAATCCTCAGGAATTAAGGGATTTTTGAATTTTAAGAATTTTTTTCGAATTTTTTCGAAAAAAAAATATTTTCAGAACAGCCTTAACGGCTAAGATTTAGGAACAATGTTAAGTAGTCATGTGATTTTATCCCAAGCATATGGGGATTCTAAATTTTTGTCCCTATCGTTATCCCAATTGAATTTTTTTTTGGAATTTAAAAATTTTTTTTTCTCCATGTAAACTTAAATTTTAATTTTTACCACTAAAATGCAATATTTCAACAAATTAATGAGTAATAATATTTTAATTTATAATAAATATTATAAATCTCCTCAATTTAATGTAATTATTGTATTAATTTTTGTTGAAAATATAAAATCTTCAAGTAAATGATGTGAATTTAATATTTTTAGAATGTTGTTTAATTGTACTATATTATGCATGTAAAATTTTGTTACAATACATTTTATATGGGATCCCCATTGCCCAATTGAGAGAAAATTGAGAGGTGGGATTGGGCTAGCCCAATTCAAAATATCCCAGGTGGAAATAAAAAAATTAACAATTCAACATAAAAAAGCATCTTAAATAATAATGATAAAAAGAAATTTTGTATGAATTTCAATCAAATTTGTTTTTATTCAACTTAAGAAATCACTTCATTAATGAAAGAAGTCGGGTTCACAACATATCCCGATCTTGAAACGAAACAACATGTTTTTTTGATGCCCTAAACGGGGGGGTCGCCAGCAAAAAAAAAGATGTCAAAATTTATCCCAAAAATTTAAAAAAAACGAAGAAAGTGCATCCCAGGGATTATAAAATTTAAGTTTTCACATCTCTAATGTTAAGTATCAAAAAGAAAGGAGGTCTGATATAGACAACATATATCGTTGAAGGTTGAAAAATCTCTAATATTTGAGCCCAAAATTTCAAATTTTAATTTTTTGAAAAAAGAGGCCACCCGTATGTACGTTTATTTGAGAGGAGGAGGATTATATTTTTGAAAGGGTGAAACATTATGAATATGTTAATTATATAATAATATGTATTATTATAAAAAAGAAAAAAAAAAAAAAAAAAAAAAAAAAGGAAGTGGGGCTTCCAGGCACTTCGTGCCTTCTAGCCCTGAAGTTGATGAGTATAATGAAGTTTTTTTTTTCTTGGGATGGCCTTCCGGGCACTTTGTGCCCTCTAGCCCATAAGAAATTTTGCCCAAGACCCAAGAGGAGGACCGAACCCCAGCCGGTGACACTTTTTGTGTCGCTTTTTCACAAATTATATATGTTTTCATGTTTTGTCAAGACTTCTTCGTAAATGTTTTGTCAAGACTTCTTCGTAAATGTTTTGTCAAGACTTCTTCGTAAATGTTTTGTCAAGACTTCTTCGTAAATGTTTTGTCAAGACTTCTTCGTAAATGTTTTGTCAAGACTTCTTCGTAAATGTTTTGTCAAACATGAACGTAAATGTTTTGTCAAGATTTCATCGTAAATGTTTTGTCAAGATTTCATCGTAAATGTTTTGTCAAGACTTCTTCGTAAATGTTTTGTCAAGACTTCTTCGTAAATGTTTTGTCAAGACTTCTTCGTAAATGTTTTGTCAAGATTTCATCGTAAATGTTTTGTCAAGACTTCTTCGTAAATGTTTTGTCAAGACTTCTTCGTAAATGTTTTGTCAAGACTTCTTCGTAAATGTTTTGTCAAACATGAACGTAAATGTTTTGTCAAGATTTCATCGTAAATGTTTTGTCAAGATTTCATCGTAAATGTTTTGTCAAGACTTCTTCGTAAATGTTTTGTCAAGACTTCTTCGTAAATGTTTTGTCAAGACTTCTTCGTAAATGTTTTGTCAAGATTTCATCGTAAATGTTTTGTCAAGACTTCTTCGTAAATGTTTTGTCAAGACTTCTTCGTAAATGTTTTGTCAAGACTTCTTCGTCATAGGCACGGAGATAGGACGGTTATTTTACAAAACTGACAACACTTTGACCGAGTAGTTTTTTGTGCTGAACAAAAAGTGTCATATAAACATCTGTCAAAAACCGCTTTTTAACTTCACTTAAAATGCCACGTAAGCTACGTAAGAATATACGTAAGAGGAAGGGAGCATTGAAACATCCAATAGTAAAACTGACACCACAACAACAGTTGCAACAACAAATTATGAATGACCCCACTATGTTGCAACAAATGTCAAGCAACCCTATGCTTTTAAACCGAGTTATAGGTGCACAGAGTGGAGGTTTAAGAGCGGCACTTTTAGCGAAAATGGCAGGCTATGGTGGAGCTGCAGACGGAACAGCCTATAACCCTCAAAGTCAAATGAATTTGAGTTCACTCAAAAATCAAATAACAGATGTCAAAAAGTCAAACATAGACATACAGAAACAAATAAGTGAAAACGAAAAGAAACTAGAATATGACAGACACACAAAGAAACTCAATGAGTTAAACGTAGAGAAAAGAAGAAAGAAGAACAACTGAAAGAACTAAGTACAGAGGAATATGCGAAAAAAAGTGTCAGAAAAAAGCAGCAGAAGTAGCAAAAATGGAACAAGATGTTATAAATTTGAAAAACCATACTACTCAATATAAAGTACTGAAAGATGAAGAAAAATAAAACAAAAAGCCCTGAAGACATATATGGATAGCGATGAGTATAAAAAAAAGAAGTTGAAGCAAATGTAAAGGCAGGAAAAAACTTTTACAGTTGCAAAACCAAACCGTACAGTATGAAAACTTAGCACAAGAAAGTCAAAATAACGACGCAGCCATGCAAAAGGCAATGAAAGCGCAAGAATATATAAAAGCTAATAATGACTGGTTAGATGCCCAAGCCAACGCCAAAGCAGCCCAATTATAGGGTCAATAAGGACAAATACAAGCGGATGAAGACAGTTCAAATGAAGCTTAATGAATGCTGACTTTAAGAATGCCTTCGAAGCTCTTCATAGTAAGGTGAAAACTAGTGAACGACTTCTCATCTGGAAAGAAACTGAAGTCTGAAGTTTCGACAAGAGTTAAGAGAAGTAGCACAAAATATGACGAAAATAACAGATGCAGCAACGAGACAGGCAGTTCAAAGTGCCTATGACGCCGTTAGAGCAACTGTTGTGGAAAGTCAAGAAAAAGAGTTACAACAGACCAAAACAGACCTAGTAAATGCTTTCTTAAGAACGAAAAGTCAGGTAGGACATTATGCTGCAGATGGAACTTATATACCAGCTGGTGGAACTTATATACTAGCTAGTGGAACTTATATACCACCAAACCCTCCAAGAGAAGCACCTGCACCAGGACTACCTAAAACATTTACATCGTCACATGGACACAGACACAGGCATGCACCACAACAACAACCAAAACCAACAGTTCAAAACCCTGCACAACAACCAACAGTTCAAAACCCTGCACAACAACCAACAGTTCAAAACCCTGCACAACAACAACCACAAACAGAGCAAGGACATAAAAGAAGTAGAGAACAAGGAAACCAAGAATTCTTAAAAATGCTTAAGGAAGACTATGGTTACCCAGATACTCTTGACTTTAGTGACAGATATAAAGAAGCTATTAGAAAGTTCAAGGAAGGAAATACTGACCCGAACCTATTTAGCTTTATGGTTCAGCACCAAATGGGATATAATTTCAAACCTGGAAAATACAAGCTCGCTAAGGGATATGATTTAATAGCATATCATCCAAATGACATGAATGAATTTACTCCTAGATATTTGGTGTCAGAGCTAAATGATAATTCAACTCTCTTCATGAAACGCGTAAAAAATAGAGACGGAACGAAAGAAGAAAGGTTTATGAGTCCGGATGACTTAGATAGGGAACTTTTTAAAAACGGTCTCGGAATATATGAAATGCCAGCAGATGAGGTACAAGAAACTCCACAGGAAGAAGTTCAGATACAACCAGACATGGAAGAAATAGTTCAGCAACAACAGCTAGAAGAGCCTGAAGGAAACGAACAAGTTCCTCCTTTGGAAACTAACTTCACAGAACTAGATGAAGATTTGGAACAGCCGAAAAATCTTGACCCTCAACAAGTGTATGCGGAGAATATGGAATCTTTCCAAGAGTCTAAGAAAAATTCGGCTGACATAGTAGAAGAATATCGAAAAATGTTCGCGACATACAAAAGACTTTCCAACATCAGATGAAAATATCCAGCATAGAATGGAAGTACTGAAAGATAATGTACACAAATACAACAATCCTTTTTACTTACGAGCATATAACGTTCAATCTTTGGATGAACTCGGTGAAAATAAAAGGTTAAATTTCAACAAAACATATAGAAATGAAACATTGTTTAAAGTTCATTCAGAACCTAGCCAATATGGAAACAAACCTACTTTGTTTCTGCAGACGATGGAACTACAATGAGATGGGGTCATAAAGCTAATCCGGATAGGTGGTTCATAAACTTACAACCACAATTCCAAGAAGTTGTAGACGCAATGGAAGTGAATGGTGAACCAGATGTAGCTGGTATTTTCAGCGCGGCTTTAATGCCATTGAAAGATATGAAAGATGCAGATATTTTGGACCAGTATGAAATGAACAGGCTGATGGAAATATAACACCTGACGTTCTAGAACATTTATCTCAAAGAACTACACAGAACCATAGAGATGGTATATTTGGTGAAGAGTTTAGAAAGAAAGTTAGGGAGAGAGAAGGAAGAGAACCTATTGTACATGACCTTGCAAACGAAAGTTTACAAAATGTCATAAAAACTTACTTTGCAGACAATGAACCGAGAAGGGATGAATATTTAAGAAAACTCAAAGACAGTACCAAATGAAATGTTAGTATTGAAAAACATGTTCCTTGACAAAATAAAACCAACTACAGAAATAAATGACGCAAGACTGAAACATTGGGTAAAAGCTTTCCCATTCACAAAAGATATTATTGGTAACATGGAAAGAAAACCAGAATGGCTACTACAAAACATATATTTGGAAACGAGCTTATTCCATATGGACAAGCTCTGTTTGAAGAGCTTGAACCGGAAACTCAGGAAAGAGTCATGCAAACAATACGCGAAGACTCAAATACAAACTATGACAAAATCTTTCTAGGATATAGGTTACCTGAGTTGGGCGACCAGAGCCAAAGGCAAAAAGGACATGGGAAATTTACAACATACTAGGTGAACATGAGGCAAAGATGCAACAACTTGAAGCAGAGGCAAGTTACCAAAAGCGACACCAAAGAAGAAGAGTAGAACAAAGTAAAGCTTGGTCCGAGTGGGTTCTATTATGATATATAAATCCAACTATTCTATATTTTTACCCATATGAAATGTACGCCGCTCAGAATATAACGCCAACAGTTTTGGATGCCATGAACGGAAATGTTTCCGAATGGTATAACGAATGCGACAATGCATTAGAAGGTCAGAAATAGTTCCTGGAACTTACGAATATACAACTGCTGTTTCTTATGGAAACGTAGGTGAGTTTGGAGAAGGTTCTTCAACAACAGTAGATATTGCTTGCGACAGGTTTTCATATTATTTCTATTGACAACTCATTCTTATACGTGGAACAAGACATTGAAATAAAACCTTCTGCCAAGTTGTCTGACAAGAAAGGTTGCAATGGAATTTTCTATGTCGGATACCAATATGCTCCAGAAGTTTTCATGGGATATAAGATATATTCTAACTCTGACTTAGTTCAAACAGTAACATGGGCAAACTATGAATGGTTCGCTTTAAAGAAACTCAGTAAACCACAAGCTAGAGAACAAACAGACCAGTATGCAAATATTGAGAAAATAAGAAGACTTGACCCTAACGTTCCAGGAGTTTATGTTAACCTTTCTGGTTCAGATGGAACTGCTGCCACTAAAGTAAAACTGAAACTTAGAGTTCCTTTGTCATCTTTCCTCATCTTCAGGTTTTTAAAGATACTTGCCAAACTGGGCAGGAAAATTTCTATTGAACTTACTCCAAGCAAAAATAACTTAGTCATTGCACCAACACAAGACCCATTCACTCTTACAACGTAATGGGAACAAAATAAAACGTCATTCGCCGACTTTTGCAAAGACAAAGGTTGACTTAGACTTTGGTTTCTCAAACTTCAACAATGAAGTAAACTATTATTTCAATGCTGCTGGAACTGCTTGGGACCCAGTTAAGTTCACATGCGAAAAGTTTGAATGCAAGAGAATAGAAAGCAGACTTGCAGTCTATATGTTGGACCAGATATTTCAAATGCTTTAGCTGCCAAATATATTGCAGTTCCACTTATGTTCCCTATACACCAAATATCTGTCAAGACTTTGCAGGTGAAGTTGGAAACCAAGTGCTGACCCAGGTGCAAGAACAGATATTGCTTTAACAACTGCAATGAAACATGCAGATACTATGTTTGTACTGTTCAGACGAACTATAAATGACTATTCTTGTTTCTACAACCCGGTATTAAATATCATATAAACATAGATGGCAAATATTATCCAAGAGAAGAATATTCTACAGTTGAGGATATGAGGTCATACAACTTGACATTAGATGCTATGAACTTTAACAACAACTTCACAACAACCATTAACCCTGAAATGCAAAGTTCTATTATGCCATATGTGAAAGTATGGACTCATACAGGAGGTCAAAAAACTCAATATACAAATGGAGACCGTTCAAACTTTTGGCTTGGCATTCCATTTGCTGACTCAGAAGACTTTATGGGTGGTATTTCAACTGTTGGTACAGTTCAAATACAATATACTGGTGACAGAGACGGTCCAGATGAACTGAGAGCAAAGAAGTTTACAAAACCAATAGCACTTTTTCACGGAAGATGCTCTTTTGAAGATTCGTTCGATGAAACCTGCTGGGGCTCCTCAGATTGGCATAACGACAGCTTCCATCGAGCAGATTTTGGCAGCAGGTCAGTAAGTTGTTCTTGAACTGACTTCTCTCCGTCAAATATATTGACAGTACGCCAGTTTTGACATAATATTGTAAGATAACTTACCTTTAGAATATCTGTAAGTTTTGTTGTTATATTTTTGTCTGCTTCAAGAACTTTCACCATTTCAGTTATACAACTTTCTTTGCTTTATGGAAATATTTTGGTTCAGCAAATATTGCTATTCTATAACATTTTCCATTGTTTGTATAAAGAACTATTCTGTCAATGTATTTGTATTGTTTGTGTGTGTAAACTTTGTTCTGCTTCAATTCGAAGAGATACTCGAATACGTCCATCTTTTTATTCTAAGTAAAATGTCATTTCCGAAAAATAGAAGCGTAAGTGTTTCAAAAGGTTTAATGGCGGTGGCAGATGTGAAGTTAAATTCACCAACTCAAACAAACAGTCAAAGTGTTGTTGTCAATGTCAAAGACAGAGATGTTGAAGTGGGGAAACCATACGAAGACGAAGATGGTAATAACAATTGTTCCTGTAAAAGAACAACCAACATATCCTGAAGTTAGCAGAGACTTAAGTTCT